CACCAGCACGTACAGTGCTGCCTCACGTTTTCTTCCCATGCCAACTTTTTTTGGCCGTAGCAGTTGTGCCAAAAAAAATGAATAAAAACAATAATTCCCTTTTTACAATTAACAAAAAGAAAACGTAAAATCGAGATGAAAGTTTTAAATTTCCCCCTTTTTTTTAACTACATATGTTCTGCTTTCCGTAACTAATTTGTACTATTAGAAAGGAGTTAAAAAAACAAAATCACTACTTTCAAATTCTACTAGTGCTACTCGAAAATTTCCAATCAACCGTCACTTCGCGCGGATTTATAGCTTTAGCTTGCAGATGCGGTAGATCATGGGAATGATTGATCTGATTGGTCATTTGCGTTGGTAATACATGCCCCACCCATTAGTCACTGAAACAGAGGCAAACTATTCCTGCTCGTGTTCTTCGATCCTTTGAAATATAGTCTGAGAGGTGTCATCACAAAGTTTGTTTTTTTAAAAAAGAAGCTATTTGGACGGTTTCTTTCTAAAATCACAATTATAAAAAAGATTTAGAAAAATCCATAAGGGGAATATTGTCATCTTGAAGTTGAACGAATGGTTGCAGTGGTTACTATGGACATATTTGTGAGAGCAGCTGGGGATTCCGATAAACACCTAATAAGTAGTCAGTCGGTGAGAATCTAGAAAACCTCGGCTTTTTAGTTTTCGACTTTTACTTTATTTTGTTGATTTTATAACATTATGTTCTCATAAGTTGGATGAAGAAAACCTAAAGATTATAGGATAAACTATAGCTGCCACAATCTTCTCAAACATATCGAGCATCGAAAACCCGAGTTCTATTCGAGTAGGAGTAGATGAGTGCTTTGAAGTTAGGACTATAGATGATAAGGGGCACCCACTTTGTACAGGAAGGACAACCTTTTTGTGGGGGCAGTGGAAAGTGAGATTTATCTGCTGATGTTTTGCCAACCTAGCTTACACACACACACCATCAATCAAGCTTGATTAATTAGCCAGCAATGGCCCATTTCCATCCACAAATATATCTTCCATTAATTGTTCCACCCTCCCCCTTTGTGCCAATCCATATGTCGACAGACCTCCCCCACAAACAGGTCATCTGGCCTCTCATGTGCACATCAAGAACTTCCAAGAAAACAAATTAATGGATCGAAAAACTAGGGACGGCACCTTAATCAACTACTTCTAGTAGTTCTCAAATATAAACATTTATGCGATTAAAAACTGTACAACCATAATATATAAACATTTATAGGACAATAATTAATTCCAATACATGGAAATCAATACAACTTTAACCAATTATAGGTGCTTGGGAGATGAATTTAACCAATTCAAAATTCAAAATTTAACCACTGAAAAAACTAAAATCAAATATTTTCTCTTAATATCAGTACATACTAAACAATCTAAAGATGTTTATATTTTGAAACAGATGAAGAACCAGCTAAGTGTAGCTAAGTACATTGTTCAATACTACACGGTTGATGAGATGAAAAACATTGTGTTTATATGTCATCATTGGCAGAGTGTAGTTAACACTCTAGTAGTATGTCTCTAAGGCATCCACAATGTGCTAAAAAGTAGGTAGTAAGAAGCCCTACTACCTGGTTCACCATTGTGGGGCATGTAATAAAGTGGGCAATAGTATCATCTGGGTAGTAGCACTACTACCAAGTAACAAGTAATAAACAAATATTAAAACTCTATTCTCTCTCATTCTTTCTCTCTACTTCACCCATCCACTCCTCTTAAATGTGGGACCCAGCTTATCACCTATACATTGTGAGAATCAAAATAACTACTATCTAGTTTTGTGGGTCCTATCTTGCTACCCACTTAGTAAATATACATTGAGGATGCCCTAACTCTCTATGTAGTGATTGGTTGCATGATTGGCAGATAATGCATGATCGATCGATGATAATATCGGTGATTAACTAATTAATCCGTGGTTTGGGAGTGCACTAAATTGGAGTTAATTTGCATTTTTTTTGCAGCAGCTGGATCGATCACTTTCGGCATCGTCCTAGCTGGACGGTGTGCACACACCGCGTGCTGCTATCAGTTGCCCGGCCTGACCGATGGCGATTTCTGGCCCATTTTTTCCCCTTGGCTCCAACGTGAGCTCAGCTAATCTGATACCGACTTGTGCTGCATGGTCGGTTCGTTGGTCTGCAAATTCTAAGTGAAAATTGATGGCGTGTGTGTGTGTATGTTCTGATTAATTAATTAGGTTCGTTTTCTCTCTGCAATATAACTATGGTACGATACGTACTATAGTAATCGTCACTTTGATAATGATGGATGCTATAGCACGTACTTAGATTTAGGCTAAGCTCCCGGAATTAGGCAGTCTTACGTCCGTCAGGATGCATGGATACACCACTACGTATGTATGCGTACGTAGCCAAATTAAGGAGGAGACCACAAGAAAAAAAGAAGTCTAGCTAGAAAGAGATTGGCAATTCTTTTGGTTTAATTAATTATGAGCTGATAACGATGCCTGAAATGCTACATACTACAGCGATCGATGCTTAACTCTACTCCGTAACAGCGAACACACGAGTGGTTTGGTTTTGGTTAGTTGGTTTGGGTGGAGCAGTGTACTCCTTCCGTCCCAAAAAAAAAAAGACAAACCCTGAATTAATTTTCATGTCCAACGTTTGACTGTCCGTCTTATATGATTTTTCTTATAATTAATATTATTGTTGTTAGATGATAAAACATGATTAATACGCTTTATACGTGACTTATCTTTTTAATTTTTTAAATATATTATTGTTGTTAGATGATAAAACATGATTAATACGCTTTATAGTGACTTATCTTTTTAATTTTTTAAATAAGATGGAAGGTCGACACGGAAAACTAGGGTGTCTTTTTTTTTTAACGGAGGGAATAGGTGCAGCAGTACCCTCCACTGCAGGAAGGCATATACTATCCCTGTGTGGCTGCAGGTGGGCCCCACGAGGGGGAGTGCTGCCGTTTGGGGAAGGCATCCCATCTCGGCGTCCGATCTTCGCTTGATATACCGGTACATTTACCGCCGCCTGCTGCGCCTCACCCGTCCCGTCCATCACGGGCATCATCCATTTAACGGTGTTGCAGTAGCAGGCCAGGTAGCCAGATGGAGTACTAGGAGAAGTAGGGCCCACCCCAAAATTCTACACCTGTCACATCGAACGTTTAACATCTACATAAAGTATTAAATATATGTAAAAAAATAACTAATTATACATATTATAACTAATTTGCGAGACGAATCTTTTAAGCCTAAAAGATACGACGGATTAATTAGGCTTAATAAATTCGTCTCGCGGTTTACTAACGGATTATGTAATTATTTTTTTTTTGTTAGTTCTCAAACACACCATGCAACATCTATATAGTATCCGATATGACACGTCAAAACTTTATACCTCTGGATCTAAACACCCCCGTAGTACTACTCCCTCGTCTAAAAAAGGCCAATCTAGAATGTGACGTGTTCTCTCCTAATACAACGAAACTATACCATCCAGAATCGTTCCAAAATATAGTAATGTTTTATTGGATGTGACACTTTTAGTGCTATAAATTGTTTAGAATGCTATATTTTGAAACGGATGGAGTGCTATCGAAGAGCTTGAGATTTCGAGAAATGGTAATGCAAGTGGTTGAGTGGAACGAATAAATTAGCTTGTAACTTAGTTTAATTTCTAAATTTCATGACTATAGATTGTTAGAATATTGATAATTATTTAGATTGTTTAAGGAGTTGGTGCGTTCGAGATGGCATATCGGGTTGGTCTTTTCGCCCCCACACCCATAATTATTAAATTTAACGAAATAAATTTTCTTTTTAATTTTTTTTGAAAAAGCTTCTGCATAGAATATTTTTACACAAAACATATTGTTTAATAGTTTGGTCGAAACGTGTTAAACGAAAAATGAGAGAGTTGTTTTAAAGTTGCTGAAAAGAACTTAGCTTTAGATATTCCGAGAAGAACTACATTTTCAAAATAGGCAATAGTGTCGAGGAAGCGATTAAAAAAGTAGCATGTGTAAATCTATATAAAAGCTTAGTTCACTTAGTAACTTACTTTTAAAATTTTACAACAATTGATTTTTTTAAAAAATTACACAGTACAACATAGACACTCACAACGTAGTAGATGAGAATTTAGGATGTTTAGAGGAGCTAGAAATTCTAGGAGTAGCTGAAGATACTAGGGTTGTATTTGGCATGTGGTGTCCTACATGCGCAAAACGGAGCAGCTCATTAGCACATAATTAATTAAATATTAGATAGTTTTTTTAAAAATAGATTAATATAATTTTTAAAGCAATTTTCGTATAAAAGATTGATAGAAAACATATTATTTAGTAGTTTGAAAAACATAAATGTGAAAAAAAGAGACAAGTAAGATAGGAAACTCAGCTATTGAACACAGGCAGGTGTACTCCCTCTCTATTCGCAAAGAAAGTCGTTTTAGACAGCGACACGGTCTCCAAAACATAATTTTGACTTCTTGTTTCTATAAAATATTTATTGAAAAGCAATATATGTATACTTTTATGTAAGTATTTTTTAAGATAAATCTATTTATATAATTTTTATATTTTTAAACTCAACAACTTAAAAGTTATTCATGATTTATATTCTCAAGGTTTGACTTAAATATTGTCATAAACATCTAAATAACTTTCTTTACGAGTAGAGAGGTAATACTCTCCAAAGTCCAAACAAAAGAATGAGAGAGAAAGAAAAGCGGCGAACAGGATAACAGCAGGGCGCAAAGCTACACACACGTACGCACACGCGCACAGGTAGATAACACCAACGCCAAAGCACAGAAAGACGAGACGGATCCGACGCGAACCGAATCATCACCACTCACCGCCCCCCAACGATCCAGCCAAAAAGCCGACGCTTAAATGGATAAAATTATTTTTAAATTCCCATTTCATTTTTAAATACACGCAAATTTAGAAGAAAAAAAAAGCATCACCCTCCCCCACTCTCTCCCTCTCCGTCTCCCTCCTCCGCGTCGCGATCTCTCTCTCTCTCCCTCCTCCACTCCCAAACCCCTCCTCCTCCGCCTCGAGCTCCGATCCGATCCCCCCCGCGGCAGCCGCCACCGCGGAAACCTCCGGTTGCGGCGAGCCACCTCCTCACGGACGGAGATACTCGCCGTCGGCGAGGCCCCCATTGGCGCTCGCGCCGCTGCCCGTGGTGGTGATTGCAGCGGCCATCAGGATAGAAGAGGCGCGCCGCTGCTGTGTAGAGGAGAAGGGCTGTGATGGTGTGGCGGCGGCGGCGGTGGCCGCGGGGTTGTTGATGCGCGCCGCGCGCGCCCATGTCGGACGCGTCGTCGGATCTCGCCGGCGGTCGGGCGGCCCCCCCCGTGGAGCGCGACATCGAGCAGGTGCGGTGCTGCTGCCGCCTCGCCGCCACTCCCCCATTTGCACGACATCTCAGTGAATCGGTTTTCCCGTACTTGTTTTTCTTTTAGTTTGTTTTTTTTTTTGGTTTCTCGTGGGGTGCAACTCTGAGGAAGAGAGAGAGAGAGTAGTACTCCACACCACATGCTTCTGCTTGGGTCTCTGTGCTCATGTGCTGTGCCGAATTGGTTGCTGGATTCGTCAGTTCGTGCCGATTGGGCCTTGGGGGTGAAATGGTGCCCGAATTCGCGGAGCTAGATAGAAGCTATTTGACCGTGTTCCAGTTGGTTTTCTAGTATTTGAATTGAGCTGGGATTTCTAGTTGAATTGAATTGGGAGCGACGGCTTGCTCTTGCTCTCGTGAGATTCCGGGAGCCGGAGAAATGATTAACCTGATATCGTCTATCTGGATTCTGGAGTTTTAGTAGTATGCATTTGAGGTCTAATTGGAGTTAGTCCTTTGTACATTTTCTGGAGTTGGGAGCCTGAAGGGAGTTCAGTTTCGAATTAGTCTTGGAGCGTCAGGAGTTCGTGTTGTTTTTCAGTTACAGATGCTTGGCTTGTCCTCAGGGCTGTTGGGCATTTGCTAAATGATTGTCCATTCTGATGTAGTTGGTAAAGTGGACCTGAATTTCGGAAATTCTGATGGGGCTATAATAGGATTTTTATGACTTGTTAAAATTGTCGAGAGACTGAGTGCATATAAAGTCTTAATGCTGCTGTGGATTGAACTCCTGTAGATTTCGAAGGAGGTTGTCAGTCAAATGGATAGGAGATGCTTATTTTGCCCGTATAATCCTCTGTCTGCTCTTTTGTCGCTGAGATGAGTGGATTGTTCAGCTGAAATGCCGTTTATTTTGTGTTCTTTTCTGCTACTTTGTATTCTAGTTGAGGTAAAACCTGTTCAACAAGATAAAATGGGAAGTGGGGGTGAAAGCAGGACGGTTTCTGTTCAAGATTGAACCAATACCGCGACACGGCATAGAAATTACTCTATTCAGTTCATTATTTTTATAATTAATGACCGAATGCCTATAGTTAGCGGAAGATCACATTTCTTTATTGTTTGATTTGTTATGAAAGATACTCAGCCTTCGAAACATTTAGTGACTGGTGTTCTATGCCTATATTACTTTCCCTTGTGTCATGGCATCTGAAGGTTGCATTCTCCTGATGATCACTAGCCTCTTTTGATTAATTCGACTTTCTGCAGGCTATCACCGCCCTTAAGAAAGGAGCTTACTTATTGAAGTATGGACGTAGGGGAAAACCAAAGTTCTGTCCATTTAGGTTATCCAATGTGAGTTTTTACTTTCCCACCCGTTAAGTTTTTTTTTTCTGAACTTCTATGTGATTTTCTCACTTTTAAGGTGTCTTTTTGTATTCCTTCAGGACGAATCTGTACTGATATGGTTCTCAGGGAAAGAGGAGAAACATCTAAGGTTGAGCCAAGTGTCCAGGATAGTTCCTGGGCAACGGACTGTAAGTTAACACTCCTAAAAACTATCCAGAATTTTACAAGGCAGGGGTGGATCTAAAAAAATGTCATTGAGGTCACTCTTTTCACATATCATGGTGAAAATGCCTAAGTATAAGAGTGATTTATTAGTTCCTAAGAATATTTGGTAGTGTAATTAGCAAAAGTCATAGGTGTCATCCGACACCAGTAATTATACTGTGGATCTGCTCCTGCTACAAGGTGATCCTGTTTAACTATGCTTGCCCATTATGACAAACTATTCTGATTAACAAACATAATTACAAGAGAAGTTTGATATTTATATTCTTGCTGTTTATGTTTCCTTCAGCCTCTTGCATCATTCTTTTGTTTTCTCTGTGGTAAACTAAACTACGGCAAACTTTACTAGTGTCTCTGCAAGTTCTTACTTGTTTAAGTTTCTATAATATGTATATTTTTTTTGAAAGACGTGTCTATAATATATTGGCACTAAACCTACTAACCTAGTATCATTAAGTGGAATAGCGATTCCGGTCTATGCAATTGGTTCAAATCACTGGTAGCCTTAAATCTGTATTTGAATAAATTGGTTCATTGTCTAATCTGACCAATCTACTGAGGAAGCTATTAGCATCACTCCAAACTGTCATGTGATGGTTTGACCGTATGATCGCCTCCCATTTTTAATGAATGTTCTGATGAGTTTGGTTACAGGTATTTCTAATCTGATGTTGGCACACAACTTACTGACTAGAAATCATTTTTTGGGATAAATCTAGGCAATTTTTCAGAGGTATCCACGACCTGAGAAGGAATGTCAGTCGTTTTCTCTGATTTCACATGATAGATCATTGGACATCGTAAGTTCTTCATGGTTCACATTTCATGTTTATCTTTGTCGATCTCTTTCAAACTTTGATGTAACCTGCATTACTTTCTTTTGCTTTTGACTTGTATGGAGTCTCTTCTTTACATGGAAATATGTTTTCCTTAATAATTTCAGATTTGTAAAGATAAAGATGAGGCAGAAGTGTGGTTTGCTGGGCTGAAAACATTGATTTCACATAGCCATCAAAGAAAATGGAGAACAGAATCGAGAAGTGATATCATATCCTCTGGTGCAACTAGTCCAAGGACTTATACACGTCGGAGTTCTCCATTGAGTTCTCCCTTCAGTAGCAATGACAGTGTCCATAAGGTATTTGCTATCCATCATCTCTTGAATATGAATGATCTACTCTTGTATTCCATCATCTTTCCACTTTGCTCATGTCTCATCTCTTGTTCAAAGTCATGCCAACATCTGTCTGTGGTCCTGAGTGCTCTACCTGTAGTATTATAGTTTAAGCTAAATAATATCTCACGCGTGGTCAAGTATTGTTATGTGTGTTTTCATTTCATTGACATGAGCAATAGTTAAACATAAGGGAGTATACAAGTTTTAATTATTTTTATGACCTTCCTTCTCATCATGTTGAATCATATGCTATTCCATTTGATACGACACTATTTTTAACACCAATTCATAAAGTGATTTCTGACAGTTATTTTACATCAGGATGGCAGTGATCATTACCGACTCCGGAGTCCATTTGGGAGTCCACCAAAGAATGCATTGGATAAGGCCTTTTCTGACGTTGTGTTATATGCAGTTCCTCCCAAGGGCTTCTTCCCATCAGATTCTAATGCCGGATCAGTCCACTCTATGTCGTCTGGACACTCAGATAACACAAATGGTCACCCAAGAGGCATCCCAATGGATGCTTTTCGGGTCAGTTATTCAAGTGCTATCAGTTCGTCAAGTCATGGTTCAGGTCATGATGATGGGGATGCTTTAGGTGACGTTTTCATATGGGGAGAAGGAACTGGGGAAGGAATTCTCGGTGGTGGTAGTTCAAGGGTTGGAAGCTCTTCTAGTGCAAAGATGGATTATCTTGTACCAAAACCATTAGAGTTCGCTGTGCGACTTGATGTGCAGAATATATCTTGTGGAGGAAGGCATGCTGCATTGGTCACTAAACAAGGGGAGATCTACTCTTGGGGTGAGGAATCAGGTGGCCGGCTTGGGCATGGTGTAGATTGTGATGTGGCACAACCAAAACTCATTGATTCTCTTGCTCACATGAACATAGAGCTGGTAGCATGCGGTGAATACCATACCTGTGCTGTTACACTATCTGGAGATCTGTATACATGGGGGGATGGCACCTTTAAATTTGGGCTTTTGGGTCATGGAAATGATGTCAGTCACTGGGTACCAAAAAGGGTTGATGGGCCATTAGAGGGTATACATGTATCATCAATTTCTTGTGGCCCTTGGCATACGGCCCTAGTAACTTCTGCTGGCCAGCTGTTCACATTTGGAGATGGATCTTTTGGTGTTCTAGGGCATGGAGATCGTGCAAGTCTTTCAGTCCCCAGGGAAGTAGAATCCCTAAAAGGTCTACGAACGGTTCGGGCAGCTTGTGGTGTTTGGCACACTGCTGCTGTTGTAGAAGTCATGGTTGGGAATTCAAGTTCTAGCAATTGTTCATCTGGCAAGATATTTACTTGGGGTGATGGAGATAAAGGCCGTTTAGGACATGGTGACAAGGACTCAAGATTTGTCCCAACATGTGTGGCTGCTTTGGTGGAGCCCAATTTTTGTCAAGTTGCTTGTGGGCATTGCTTGACAGTGGCTCTTACAACCTCAGGGCATGTATATACAATGGGTAGTGCTGTCTATGGTCAGCTTGGAAATCCACAAGCAGATGGTTTGCTTCCTGTACGTGTTGAAGGGAAGCTGCACAAAAACTTTGTAGAAGAAATTTCTTGTGGTGCTTATCATGTGGCTGTATTGACATCCAGGACTGAGGTGTACACGTGGGGTAAAGGTGCAAATGGTCGGTTAGGTCATGGTGGTACTGATGATAAGAATACTCCTACATTGGTTGAAGCATTGAAAGATAAGCAAGTCAGAAGTGTTGTGTGTGGAATTAACTTCACTGCAGCAATATGCATTCATAAATGGGTATCTGGAAGTGATCAGTCAATGTGCTCTGGATGCCGTCAGCCGTTTAACTTGAGGAGAAAACGTCATAATTGCTACAATTGTGCTCTAGTATTTTGTCATTCATGCAGCAGTAAAAAATCTTTGAAGGCTTCATTGGCGCCAAACCCGAACAAGCCTTACCGCGTCTGTGATAGTTGCTACAGCAAACTCACTAAGGGGCTTGAAACAGACACAAACTCCTCAACTAAGCGAGGCACTGTTGTACAGGGATTCAGTGAAACTAATGAGGAGGAGCTGGAAACACGGTCAAATACCCAACTGTCGAGATTGTCTTCTATGGAATCTTTTAAGAACATGGACAGTAGATATTCGAAGAAAAACAAAAAGTTTGAATTCAACAGCACTCGTGTTTCCCCTGTTCCAAATGGCAGTTCACACTGGAGCGGGCTCAATATTTCAAGATCCTTCAATCCTGTATTTGGATCCTCAAAGAAGTTTTTTTCAGCATCTGTTCCTGGATCAAGAATTGTTTCTAGGGCAACATCACCTGTCTCAAGAAGAACAAGCCCTCCTAGATCGACAACCCCAACGCCTACTTTGGGTGGTCTAACTTCTCCTAGAGTTATTGCCAATGATGCCAAGCCTACAAATGATAGTCTAAGCCACGAGGTCTTGAATTTGAGGTCCCAGGTATACATTCTGTTGCATTTTTCTGTTTTATCCACTGTTTTTTTGTAGCAATTTGATGATTTCTACCGTTTGCTTTTTAGGATTGTAGTTGTTAATTTTCTGGATTTCCAGCACAACGAGTCAGCAGATGATATTAGCTTAGTAATCACGTAAAGCTGTTGGCTTGTAAAACTAACAGATAGCATTACAAAATTTTTGACGCGATAGCATTACAAAATATGTGCATTCTATTCCTATTACCACTTTGAAATCTGTAAAACGGATGTCTGCACTTCCTTGTGTTCTAACAGTAAAAACGTACAAGCTAGTCATTAAGTGCATTATCATTTGACCAAATATCAACCTTTTGAGTTCTATCTGGTTTTACCCAAGTCCCTATTGAACAGTGAGGATCTGATTGCTGATATAGTAAACCTCTCCACTTGCAGGTGGAGAATCTTACTAGGAAGTCTCATCTTCTGGAAGTTGAGCTGGAGAGAACTACGAAACAATTGAAGGAAGCAATTGTAATTGCTGGGGAGGAAACTGCCAAGTGCAAGGCTGCAAAAGAAGTAATCAAATCACTCACGGCACAAGTAAGATTGCATTTTTGTGAGCTTGCCGTTTTGTTCCCCTTGTTATGCATGAATAAGTAAGAACCAACCCCATATCAAACAGTAAGTTACCTAGTTTAGCAGTTTGGTACAATGGCAGATCTAATGGTCTCAACAATTTAAAATACATCAAACGCCACCATGTTCCATAACCCAAGTCTCTATTGACATCTATTTATGCCATTCATGTGATATTTTGTGTAATATAGTTTCCACTCGCTTTTATAATAGTTGAAGGGAATGGCAGAGAGATTGCCTGGAGGAGTAACCAAGAATAGCAAACTGCCGCCCCTATCTGGATTTCCTATGCCAAGTGAGCTATCATCCATGGCTACAGAAAGTTTGGGTAGCCCAAGCAGTGTAGGAGAACAAATTTCAAATGGTCCTAATGGGCTGCTTGCTTCTAATGGACCAAGTTCTGTTAGAATCAAGGCAGGTCATCCAGAAGTTGGCAAAAATGGTAGTAGACTGCCTGAAGCAGAATCATGCCATGAGGCTGAATGGGTGGAGCAAGACGAACCAGGCGTTTACATCACTCTAACCGCCTTGCCTGGAGGTGCGAGAGATCTCAAGCGGGTTCGGTTCAGGTATATCCTGTTAATCCTGTGCAAGAATCAAAGTTTTGTTTGGTTCAGCTTTTCACTCTTGGTTTGTATGAATCCAGCCGGAAGAGATTCAGCGAGACCCAGGCAGAACAATGGTGGCAGGAGAACAGGACAAGGGTATACCAGCATTACAATGTTCGGATGGTTGAAAAATCAGCCTCCAGTATCGATAATGAGATTGCATCTCGGTGACATTAGATTTGACATTTGGACAAAAGGAGAGCTGAGATCCTTTACGATGTGAAGGCGCTCTCTGTTCGGTTGCTAACCTGGCCCCCATAAAAGAGGAGATTCTCGCTATGTAAGAAAGAGAAAAAGAAAGAGAGAAAGAAAGGCGGCATCTCAGTTTTACGGTTTCTCCCTCGCTCCCCCTCCTTTTCCCCCCCTTGTGTGCAAAGTAGAGTGCTTAAGAAGTAATGTAAATGCTTAGTGGAAGAAAGCTAATTTGTCAAATGTAAATGCATACGCAAGCGCATCGATTTTAGATTATGCATTTTAACTAATTTTCCCACAATGTCGTGCCAGTGCCAGTCCAATATCTGGACCTACCTGAAATCAGAACATTGGGCATCTACTGCGGTCTGCGTGGATGCAGAGGATCTCACCACCCAGCCAGCCAGCCTGGTGCTTTTGTTGCTGGAGGCAGGTTGGAAGATGCAAAAGAAATGTCTTAGCCTAGGGGTGGTGAGCTGAAATTTTATATAGTTTTATCTTAAAAATATGAGCACTAGGTACGATCGTGCAATGATTCATGGGCCTTGACCATCTTGACCAATTACCACTCCCTTAAGCCTTAGAAAATAAATGGAAGCAAGAAGATATGAAGCTCGTCTTTTTTTAAATTCTCACTAGCTCCCTCAAACGGTTCAAATTTTCACCCACCCTATTCACAATCAAACATTAAACCAGAAACAAGCTAAGAAACTTGACTTTTCTAAATTCTCACCGGCTGTTTTTATAATCAGAGCCTTGGAATAGCCTTGCCTGCCCTTCAGTTCTGACCGGCAATGGACCGGGCGACGTGGCGTCATCCCACAAGGCAGCAGGCAACTCCAAACGAGCCCGAGCTACATTACAGCCCGGATCGGCCACGATAAGCTCCCCATAAAAATAAAACAAAAAAAGGCAGGAAACAAAAGGACTCATTTCTATATCAAAAGAATTGAAGGGCCTCAATATTGAAGGAAACAGAGGTAATCAAGAAAGAAATTTTTGTTAGTGTTAGCAACTATAATTTTTCCGCCGCGTCAGATCCTTTCACAAAGCTGAGTTGCGCCAGATAACTGCTTTCCGCAAAATCATGCAGGCTCCGGTGAGGCCGAGCACCTTCATTATCAGTGCTGCTTGTTCCTTTATTCACCATTTGTCTGCAAGCATTGGAATCCTGTGGTGGAGAAAGCAAATAGGTAAGACTTCACAGTGGAATGTTACGAAACGGTGTGATCCAAAACGTACCTGTAAAAGTTTTAACATTTGCTCTTCGATGGTACCACGCATGGCCAAAGTCTCAACAAATATGGGACGAGTAGCACCCATACGATGTGCACGACTAATAACTTGCTCCTCCATACTGATCAAATGAAAAGGGGGAAATAGAACACATTCGTGAATGAGTCAATGGCACACATTGATAGCGAGATGATGTCACAAGTTATTTCGGCAATCGAAGAGCAATTAGAGAGTAAGATTACCTCCTATCCCATATTGGTTCCATCAGAAAAACATAAGAGACAAAACTCAAATCAAGGCCCAGTGCTGCAGTTCCATCCATGACTAAGGCCATGCATGCTGGATCATCTTTGAACTTCGTCAGTGAACTTCTCTGCGTTATAATTGTGGCAAAATCCACATTAGCATAGTTTCCCCAAAAATAGGCAGTTCATTTTAAAGAGGGAACAGAGGGCAGTGTGGAACAGGATGAATAAATTGTAAAACGTACCTTACTGCCTAATGGCATGGGACTGTACATTCCAGCATATGTTATGCCCCCAATCGTCAGCTGAACAGAGAGGAGATCAGCGACCAACTAGTTCACATTCTTAAGTAAACGCAGTATGACCACTTCAAATTTACCTGCTGCTCAATCACATGGATATGCTCCAGAAACTGAGAGAATATTATTACTTTGTCAGGCATTGTGTGTGGTAACCTGCCCTCCACATTATTATGGTCTTGACAAGAAGATTGACTAGAAAGGCAAGCACCATTGGCCATGTTCCTAGAGTACCCATGTTTTATGTTTTCTGCCTTCAAACTTCTCAACTTATTAACCAAATAAGCAACTTTGCTGCTTGTTGTCGACTGCCAGTCTGGATCCCAGTCATCCTACATAAGATGGGAAATTTGTATTTAGAGACAATCTTTTCAACTGCAACAAAAGAATGATGAAGTAGCATAACATAGCACACAAGTACTGACCTGCTTATATGAAGGCTGCAACTCAATTAGGTCTTTGGGCACTGGCCATTTTGGGTTTGGATTTTCTGGCCGTGCACGAGTTTCAGGAGTCTGCATCTCATAATGGTTGCCACAGCCAGGTAACGTGCATTTCTCACTATCAAGAGCTACACAATCAAGGCACAACAGATGCCGACAGGGCGTGACAACAGGCAAGCGGCACCAATCTCTGCACCTGAATATAGCAATAAGGAAATTTTATTAAGGAAAATCATCAAAGTGATGGATATTACATATATATTTTTGTTTAAACCTTTCATACCTGAAACAGCTGGCACCATTTAAAAGAGCATATCTTATGGACTGATACTCCCCCGAAGAAGGATCAAGGCCCAGCTGCATTAATGCATCCATTGTTTCCTGTATATCTTGACCAGCCTCTGCTACTTTGATATGCCCCGCAACACAACAAGACAAGCGCACATTCTTAATAGTTGTAGTACGGAATTTCCATTGCTTGGGGTTCAGAAGTGATTCCACGTGAGAAGGGTCATTCCAATCAGCCATCAATATATTTCTGCGGATAGTAACAGCCAGTTCATTGTAACTTTTCGCATGCCCCTCACTGAAGTCCAGGAAAGTTATCTTTTTTATGCAAGGAGGAATGTTTTTCAGGTCTTGTTTCCTTGCACTAATCATAGTCCTCTGAAGTAGCTGCAGGAGACGACTGCGTCCGTCTTCCATTTGTGCCTCAAAAGGCCTATGAATTCCAGTGTCCCATGACTGGTAGTTTTGACCGTAAACTTCCTCATGAAGAAACTTAAGCATGGGATGAAGGTGAGCAACTTGACTAGTTGGTGTGTTTGGCGTAGGGGTACCAGTTAGAATCCATCTATTAGAAGCAACCAATGAAACAGCCATCTGCAATTTGTTTGTGAGGGCGAGACTGGAACCTAATGTGTGTCCTTCATCTAATATTACCCTAAACCAATGGATCTGCTTTAAAACACTTCTCTTCTTTGGACCCCATTCTGCACTTAATCTACTAAATGTGGTTATGACAATGTCATAGTCCCATGCAAGGTTGTGAGCAGATGGTTTCTTGTGATCTCCCCATACATAAACATTAAGTGTGTCCGAGGAAACATGCCGCTGTATCTGTGTTGTCCAGTGATCAATTAAGTTAGCAGGTACCACTATCAAGGTTGCCCTAGACAAATAAAGCCTCACCAAATCCAGCGGCTTTTCAAGGGCAATTCCAAGTGCAGCCGAATCAAATGCCAAATCATCAAGCATAGATGGATAATACCATCGAGTTATGCCTTTCTCAACCTTCCTCACAAGGCCAAATGCTTGAAAAATCTTGTAATACGGGCGGGCACCCTTTCCTATGTTAGCACGTGCATCTAGAACTGGCCGTGTCAAACCAACTGCTTCCATCTCGATATGTTTCTTGGGAGAAAGTTTCGCCAACCACAACAAAGCCTTCATGGTTTCTGAATCGATCAAAGCAGCATGCTCTTTCAATATGTTTGTAAAAAAAGATGCATTTTGCTCGTTTCCTGGTGGTGTACCTTTCTTGTGAAATCCGGGCAAATAAGTTATCTTTCGCTTTAAATCCCAAGATTCCTCTGGGATGCTGCACTTCTGACGTGCAGAATCAGGGTTCATGCTGCAAAACCATGCTGTACTGGAATCAAGTGCAGTTCCGTCCAATAATCTCCGCCACTTTCTGCAAGCATCGCATTGAACCCAGGTTTCACTTAACTCAGAGGTGGCATCTCTCTTCCTTTTATTGCCAACTGAACCATCGCTATATGCCTCCATGAGGTTTTTCCTAACATGTTTCAAGTTTTTGGTAATCTTTAGCACATGAGTAGCTGGAGTTGAATGAGCACCAGTTGGTGCTGACATTGGCGACTTCCCACTCGGATGTGCAGCGATCATATTCAAATCAGGGTTTACTAACCTGCCTCTCTTTCTTGATGACCTTGTACTAACAACTGAACCACCATTATTCAGTGACTCACTTGAACATGTATCTTCTCTAATCACGTCCTTTCGCAACTTTTTTGATCCCGACAAAAAGATGTTTCCATTAGAAGAGTTGCTAGCACTAAGCTCGTAGTATCCATATTTTTTATCTGGTTTATGCATGCACCACATAACATTCATCCCTGGTGGAGGGACTGCCAGAGTCCCATGTGTCTTCAGAATAAGAGACAGTGCAGTCACTGTCTTCCCTAACCCAGGTTCATCACAAAACATACCTCCACAAAAATCATGTACAGTTGGAGCACTACCAGTGGATATTTCACCAGAGGTAACATTTATGTAATAAGGGAAACCATCCATGGTGCACAAACCCTTGTATAGAGGATGTTCTAGGACCTGCAAGTTCTGCTCCCTCCTTAGCATCCATTCAACAGCTGCCTCTTGATGAGGAAAAAGCTTAAGTTTCATGCAAGGCATGATAGAAGCAGAAAGATTCCTTAGATGATGACAAGCAGCTGCAACTCTAATCAAATCTCTGGGTTTCAGTCGAACCAGCACCTTATACAAGACATCATCAGGGACAGACCAAATACCCACTCCCGATGCTGCCTCATCTGGTGTTATTCTTGTTATCTGCATCCTCTTCTCCACCATAACACTAGGTAGAGTTTTGAAGATTTCATGCAGGTCAAACGACTTATCATTATTCAATACAGATGGTATCTGATGTACCTCACAACCAAGGACGTGGCAATCGGTGCAGGTCCAAATATACTGGTCATCACAGTGTGGATTGTCAGGAGAGGTCCAGTTAAAAGCAAGCAAAGCATTCCTGGCATCCCAATTGCAACTGAAAAAAAAAAAATCTTAGCCTACGAGGTAAGTAATAATGATGAGAAAATTACAGAAACAAGTGAGACATGAACCAGGATCCACTTGGTGCATCACATAGTCCTAGATTTGCATCTTACTAGTTACCATGAGAAATGCACTTACTGTTGCAGTTTTCAGCCAATATTGATAGGAGCACGCATGGTGATACGCACTGAATTTAAAATGAACAAGCATTTCAGATGGGAAAATGCCTAGGTTGGAATTGGCACATATTTAAGACCTTCCAACAGTTTCAATAAAATCTTCTGATAGGATCATGGGAAACTGAATGCAAACTGTAGCCTTATCAGTTATCAGAGACATGACGCATCAGGGGATGCCAAATTCAGATTTACTGTGAGGCACAAAATGAGACAAATGACTACAATTTTCACACATGCAGGTCACAATTCGAATCGCAGGGGGGCGCGCATGAACAATTCGCCACTCAATCGACGAAATGCCCCCAACCTCTAAACCTCCCCGGAGAAGAGCAGCCATGTGCAGTAGCGACCACCCAAATTCGAAGAGCAGAGGGCAATGCACGCACCTGACGTGTTTGAAGACCGCGGCGGCCGCGGCCGCGCGGGACCGCGGGAACTGCCACCCCGACCAGACGGAGACGGGGAGGTACACGTCGAACAGCACCACCGCCCTCGCCTCCACCTCCCCATCCCCTCCTCCTCCCTCCCTCCCCCTCCTCGCCACCGCCCTCAGCACCCTCCCCTCCACCTCCACGCACCGGCTCGACACCAGCGCCCTCAGCTGCCGCACGACGCCCCCTCCGCCGCACGCCCTCCCCTTGGACCGCGGCGTCGCGCCACCGCCGTCGGGGATCGGCGCGAGGGAGACGCCCCCGCAGGCGAAGAGCGAGCACGGGGAAAGCGGCGCGAGCGCCTCCACGCCCACATCGGATGAAACGGAGACGACGGCGCGGAGGTAGCCCCCCAACTTGCGGCGCACGTCACCGGCAACCTCCTCCTCGTCGCCGCCCATGCCGTTGAGGCCAACTCACCTCACCCGGGCACGTTCACGTTCACCGCCGCCGCCCGCGCATGTCGAGCCCCCGACCTAGCCACCCCTCGTCGCAGGCGAGGATCACGCGGCGGCGATTCCGGAGGCCAAATTCGGATGGATTTCACCTCGGAAGCGGAGGATTCGGCGAGGAGGAGGAGGAGGAGACGAGAGGCTATGATGGGGGAGTAAGCGTAACCGTCTACACGCTGATAGATCGGATCTCTTCCTATGACAGTGGGGCCGAGGTTTAGGTGGGGCCCACTGTCATAGAGGGAGGTGATGGTGTGTTGTGCGATCCGGACTCGGGGGAGTGGGCTTCGATATTTTTAGGTGTGGGGGAGGAATCCGTGGGCTTTGGGGTGAGTGGGGGGAGCACTGCTTCGGCGGCCCATAAACCGTGGGCTGTATACAAATATGTGGGCCGTGACGCATCCACAACATATATTCGGTTTCAAATGACTTTTTTTTTTGACAGTCGGTTTCAAATGACTTGACACTATTGATTGACTAAGTAAAAATTTAAGTTTGACCATCGACGATTTTATTGGTTGGATCATGACTAATATTTTATGATGCATCATACTTTGTTAATATGGAATGGTTTTAAATTTCTATAGATTTTCTTAGTAAAATGGACGAGCGGTCAAAGTTAGAAATGAATAGTATCCTGTGAAAAGTATTTGAAAACAGAGGTAGTATATATAATCGGCACACGTATTATATTCATGTTTGAATAAATAATTTGGAGTGTGTATATACACCATTACAACCGTACACCAAATAAGAAATTAGGGCACACAATTACGTATGCATTTTCTTATTACTACTTTATCTGTTTCACGATGTAAGTCATTCTAGCATTTCTACATCGTGAAACAGAGGGAGTAGCTAGTAAGGCACCGTACGGACGTACATGTACCACTAGCTAGCTTGATCGTGTTCACGACGCCGGCACACTCCGGGCGCCCTACTTGTGCTGGAACTTGGACTTGATGTTCTCGACCACGCCGCCGTCGACCTGGAACGCGCGGGCCAGCACGTCGGTGGGCACCGCCGGCGACGACGAGCCGAACAGCGCGTCGGCGGCGGCCTGCGTTCCGGGGAGCTGGCTGTCGAACGCTGAGATCGCCACGGCGGGCTTCTCGCCGACGCTCCGCTCGTAGTGGAGGAGGCCGCGGGGGAAGACGAAGACGCCGCCCTTGGGGACGACGCGGGTGATGAGCCTGCTGCTCGCCGGCGCCGCCGTGGCGACGACGAAGCCGACCTCGAGGAGGCCGTCGGCGACGAAGAGGATCTCGGTGGCGCGCGGGTGGGAGTGCGGCGGGTTGGCGCCGCCCCACGGCGCGTAGTCGACGCGCGCCATGGACACGCCCAGCGTGTTCAGCCCCGGGATCCTCTCCACCGTCGCCGCCGTCACCGCCGACCCCATCGGGTTGCCGGAGTACACGTCGGCCGGCTTTCCCAGCCCCGGGAAGAAGAAGTCCTCCGCCGTCACGTTCGCCTCCGGCTTGCACGGGAACCCGTTCACCCTCAGCGCTGCACACACAAGATCACGATCGATCAGTCGATCACTATAAGATCTCAAATCGATCAGAATGAAAGCTACTCTCTCCGTCTCATTTTAAGTGTAACCATAAGTTTTCGTGATTAACTTTGATCGTTCATTTTATTTATTTATTTTATAATTAATATTTTTGTTCTCATAAGATGATAAAATATGAATAGTACTTTATTTTATTATTTTTTAAAAAAATAATAAGATGGACGATCAAAGTTAAAGCATGAAAAACCATAGCTGCACTTAAAACCATTGGTCACTCACGGCCTTGAAGCGACTTGTAGTCGGCGACGCAGATGTCCTGGAGCATGTCGGGGTCGCCGGCGAGCAACGGCGCGGCGAGGGAGAGGATGACGGCGGCGAAGGAGGCGAGGAGGACGACAGTGGGGAGCTTTGCCGCCATGGAAGCTAGCTGGTTGTTGCTAAGCTTAATTTTCCTTGATTGATGTAGCTAAGTGAACTGGAGTACTATCTGTAGCTCTTAGCTGTGTGAGTACGTACGTGTGCGTCACCTGCAAGTAGTTTAGATCAATGATCACTTTTTTTTTGACTAAAAAGTTATGGCTTGATGAAAAGCTAGGGTTAGGGGAGGTGGTATTTATAGATATGTGGATCGAGTAGCTTAATAGAGTCGTGACAGTGGAATGGATATATGGATAAAATTGTGGCCATGCAACCAATAAAAATGTACAAATCGAGTGAAATTTGATGAATATAGTCTATTATCTCATGTGTCGATGTGACTGTGTGTGGGGGAGAGTGAGAGTAGTGTAATTAACTCCTCATGTTAATTGTTAATGGAGGCATGCACGTTTTGTTTTATGCAAACTAGCACGCATGCACATGAAAGAGAGAGTAATTGGGGATTAGAGAGATGGAGAGCGAGAGAGAGTAATGCCCAGACTCCAGGTAATAGTACAAGATGGATGCATTTTGCCTTGTAGCTTGCACGGTATACTGTGCACGTGTTCCTGTTCAGATAATCAGATGCTGGCGTAAACGCAAGACTGCTGAGGTTGACGCCAAGTACGTACGCAGGCAGCTAGCTAATTGACTACGTACTAGCTAGCTATAGTGTGTACTGTAATGTACGTATATACGTACGCTAGCTAGCTTGTTTAATCAAATCGACAAGGTAATTCGCAACATTAAACAAAAAGCAAATCACTTGGACTTCTAGATATCAAGCTAGCAGAAGTTATTCCTGTAGAGTATGTTGGCATAAGAAAAAAGGATATTCTAGTATACACATTGTGGACTTATATTAGAGAGCCATATTAGTGTTGTAGGTTTTGTGTATCCTGTTTTTTTAGTCACTTTGTTCTGTTATTCAACATAGATACATGTACATTTGTCTTCTGTTGTTCTGTCATTAAAAAGTGAATATTAGAGAATAATCTAATATCAAATAAATAGAAGGGGTGAGGCTTCAAATCCAGCTCAACTAACCCACCACCTTGTGAAGCTAGCCGGAAGACCCCTAAGACATTTCTCCTGTTGTTTCTACCATGAGAACTTAAAAAAAATGAAGAATAATTATTCTAACCCAGAAAATAATTTAAGTAATAACGATAGATATATCCAGGTGATCGAGAACTTAATTTCCAAGTCTCCAAATAGCATAATTTTTTATTTTCAATTTTTTCATTCCTGGGTAACTATCATCTATAGAAGTAGTCCACTAGTTAATTATTAAGAACTTTGGAGTATCAGATCGAGATGATTCTACTTTTCCCAAGCCATTTTTCATTTATATATAGTTCTCATTACGAAAAACTGAAAGAATACTTATACTTAATTAAGAATATCGTCTACGTATACATGGCGGTTCAAATACCTTATCGATCATGCGACGATTCCCTAGTGACAAAAGCACATTGATTGATGGTAATGGTTCACCAAATTCAAATTGTTTCTCCGATCGACGACTACATTATATCTGATAATCCCTTCCGTGGTAGTGATAGATAACCGGTGCCGACGAAGAAGCTAGTCGCACGACGTTGGGAGTACAGATCGCGCGATGGTGGACATATATACTTGTCAAGCCTCGCCGGTGCCAACAAGGTGAAGGAAGCTAGCGGCAGGGACAACGATGAAATTTAAAGGAGAGAGATGAAGAGACAAGAATATATGGATTATATATGTTAATATATTGTTTCACTTCTTTTTTTTTGGATTAATCGATCTTAGCTAGCTGTTCAAATAATGGGTGAAGGGGCGCAAAACTGTTGTTGGAACAGAAAGATGCATACGTACGCGCATACCATTGACGACACAGTATACGTACGTATAGTAGGTAGGGTACGTATAGCTCATGCATGGCGAAAATTGAACAGAAATTAATGAAGTAACAGTGGTAGTACTAAACCATGAAGTAATAATACAGTAATGATCAGGTCCGGCCACGTACCACACACACGTAGTACGAGACACGACCCGATCGATCGACGACGACTCAAAAACAAAAATAAAAATTACAAATCAAACGACTCACAAACACAAACACACACTGACACAAATCCTACCAATCAAATCACAAACTTTTTAACGGTACGTACGTACGTCCTCTTAATTATTATTATCGCGATAGGGCTAGCTAGCTCAGCTGCCATCTTGTTCTTCCTGCAGTATGCATGCATGCAATGCAATTCTAGTATTTGGGCGGGACGAACTTGGACTTGATGAACTCGACCATGCCGCCGTCGACCTGGAACGCCCTGGCCAGCGTGTCCGACGGCAGCGGCGGCGCGGCGCCGAAGAGCGCGGCGGCGATGGACTGCGTCCCGGGGAGCTGGCTGTTCAAGGCGGCGATGGCGAACGCCGGCGTGTTGCCGTTGTTCTTCTGGAAGTGGACGAGCCCCCGCGGGAAGACGAACACCTCCCCCTTGCAGACGGTGCGGGTGAAGAGCTTGTTGGCGGTGGTGACGAAGCCGACGTCGAGGGAGCCCTCGACGACGAAGATGATCTCGGTGGCACGGGGATGCGTGTGCGGTGGGTTCAGCCCCCATGGCGCGTAGTCGATACGCGCCATGGACACCCCCATCGTGTTCAGCCCCGGCAGGCTCTCCACGCTCGCCGCCGTCACCACCGACCCCACCGCGTTCCCCGTGTTCCCGGCCTTCATCAGCCCATCGAAGAAGAAGTCGTTCGCCGTCACGTTCTCTATCCTCTTGCACGGGAACCCGTTCAGCCGCAGCGCTGCACGACATACATATATACGTTAATATGAATCTTCGCACTGTCTTGTACGGGTCGTTAAAAAAAAATAGGTCAATTCATATTTTATGAATCGATGAACAATAATGGTCCAACACTTACGGCCTTTGAGGGACTTGTAGTCGGCGACGCAGACGTCCTGGAGCATGTCCGGGTCGCCGGCGAGGGAGGTGGCGGCGAGCGCCATGAACACGACGGCGAAGGTGGCGAGGATCAGCTTGGCCATTACAGCTAACTTGGTGAGTTATTTAGTTCGATCAAACTATGCAAAGTGAAGTAGCTGCAGCTAAGAAGATCAGTGAAGCTGAGCAAGCTAAGCTGTGTGGTGTGCAGTGAACTGCATGCAGATGATGAGCTGAGGACGATGAAGAAAGGAAGCAGGGGACGCTGCTATTTATGCTTGCCGGGGCCTGTACTAGCTAGCTACTCTCCTCGTGTAGCTAGCGTAGTAATGAAGAGTTAAGTGGATGGGTGGTTGTGCCTTAGCCATGTGATTAAGCTAAATCACAAAGGCTAATTAAGATGATATATGGTTATGAATCTTCCTCACACGCTAGCTTACTACTCCTAATATATTAAGCTTTTTCAGTGAGAATTGAATGGTTAGGCGAGCGATGTTTTTCGATCTGTCCTTGCCAGGGGGTCTGTTGCCCTCTTGAGATCTAGAAATTAATTAATTAAGGCGAGAGCAATCTATAGTGTACTGGTATATGGGATCGATCGAGAGATCCAGGTGTACAGTGTACTAAGAACCTGAGGAATAAATTTAAAGCAGCTTGTTCATTTTGTTATCAAATCAACAATACTTTTGATAGTATTATTTTGTTTGGTTTGATGCTTTTACCAAAGTTAAGTGGAGTTTTGAGAGAGAGAACTTTTAAATTTGCCAAATTGTGATAAGGTACATAGTTGAAGTGTGTGTTTAGTTTATTGTCATTTCAAAATTCAGCATTACTAAATTTTGATAGGATTGAAAATGACAGCAAACTAAATAGACGCTTAGATAGTAATTAACTAAAATCGTCAGTTTATACAATCAAATTAAACTACCAGTCTAGCTGTACGTACGTACTCATACATGCATGCACATGCAGGAACAGCACGAGAGATCGATCAATGGAGCAGTTGACCGACAGTTGCAATTAAGACGTACTAATGCTGTAATGCAGAAATCATCCGTCCATTAAACTGTAGCATTGTGTAATGTAGATATCAGCTTTGTGCTTTTCTCAACTGTAGGCATTTGCTTTCCTGTGACTTGCAAGTCAGAAGAACTGCATTAGCTAGCTGCTGAACTTCATTCGCTCACATGCAGTCGACAACATGAAAGGGGAATTGATTAATTATCTTTTTTACATCCAGATTTGAGATTAATTCAGGAGGACACCGATCTGGCAGATCGAATGATCGATGGAGAATTAGTTACAGCAGCTAGCCATGCCTGCATAGCCAATGGTTAATTTGCACCAATAATTAATCACCCTACCCTAGCTACCCGGTCAGAATCGTACGAGGCGTAGTAACGGTATATGCAGAGCACATGCCGTACCCCTCTATTCATTCATTCATTCATATTAGAACCGTTTTGATCCTTTTTTTCAAATGTTTCTTAATGAAGTTTATAGAAAGATCTCACAACACCTATAACATCAAATTAGTTTTAGTAAATATAGCATTAAGCATATTTCGATAATATGTTTATTTTGTATGAAAATGTTATTGTATTTTTTTAAGCTTGATGAAACTTAAAAAAACATAAAAATCAAATTCAAAACGATTTATAATATCAAACAAAGTTACTCCCTTCTTTCTAAACATAAACATAAACATTTTTAATTAAGTTGTAGCTAGCCAAAACCTGATAACCATAAATAGGCTGGTGCCAGGGGTTTTGCCTCATGTACCAACAAATCACTGGCCAAATCAAAGAGACCCAACTCTCTAGCATCTCTTTCCTAGCTCTTTCAAGATACCGTACCAGTCCCATATATATAGTCTAGCCTATCGGCAATACACAACTAGCTATCATGGCATCGATATAATTTCTCCCAACGGTTTTCCTCTATCTAAATCACATTGTGACGATTGCCAATTTTGCTTGCGTCGGAGCTCGATCCTATGAAGGCAAGGTCTTATTTGCCTGTGTCCTAGGTCTTATTTGCCTGTATTCAAATTCTAATTAAAGAATAAGTTGTCTATCTATATAAATACAATACTCCCCTAGGAGGAGAGGACGCCGAATCATAAATCATAGCCACAAGCACATTGAGATAGACATCTAGGAGGAAGACAATCGCTAGCCGTCAACTCCAAATTAAGTCATCAGATAGTTCTCGGTAGATCCTCATTAGATTAGCTAACTTACTCTCCTTTGTAATCAAAATGGTTTATTCGATTGGTATACTCATAAACTGAATTAGAGCTATTACTCATATCGGGGGTCTGAATTGAAACCAGTATAAAAATCCTTTATCTTTCATCTTCTTTAGGTTCTTTACCATATAATCTGACGTATACCTGCGTATAATGATCCCTTTACTTTACAAATACCATAGACGGGTGTACAACCAATCGAGAAATGTCCCATAAATTAAATACTTATATTGCATATAAAATTTGAATTATGTAACTTCTTGTATTTAAGAACGGAAAAAGTTAGCTTACTCTTTCCGAGGCACAAATTAGTGTGTACAGTGAACGTCATAATAATATATGTCGGTGGTGAGTTGATATAGCTAGCTGGACCTGCTACGTACGTATACCTAACCTTGACCATAAATATACTACATGTACATACGTAATCACGTACAACGTCTAGATTCACATACGTAATAAGAGTACATGCATGTGAATCATTTACATGCACACGTACGTACCGACGAATACACAGTATATAATACCCATAAATACTCATACGTACAAATATATACGCGCCGTCTGGTACGAACCTTAGCTAGCTACCATATACATACGTTGTTGGTGTGTAAAGTTGGTTAGTTGTACTAGTATATCTTTAATTACCAGTTTATCCCGTGAACTAATTATTAATTGTTAGCATATCTTCAAGCCGCCGTCGATACAGATATATAGAAAAGTACGTACTTATACGTACCTATACGTAGTAGCTAGCAAGTTAAATTAGCATTATTGCAACATATATGTATGTGTTTATATATATCACATTGCTAGCTCGTATGAAGATTAAATTGGTCAAAACAGTGAGTTGGCGTTACGACCTGCACATCCTGAGTTAATTAGTCGTGTCCTCGCACGAAATATTTTAACTTTGATCAAGTTCAAATTGCTTCAAGTTTGACCAAGTTTATAGAAAAAATAGTAACATTTTTTACCCAAAAAAAATATTATAAGAATATATTTATTTATTAATTTAATAAACTAATTCGGTAATGCAGATATTATTATATTTGTCTATAAACTGAGTCAAACTTGAAGAAGTTTGACTTTGACCAAAGTCACAGCATCTTATAACCTAAAACGGAGCGAGTACATTTTATCTCGATTGATATATAAAATATTATTATATTGTATTTACGGGAAAAAGGAAATTAAATATTGTTCTCCATATATTTCTTTTCAGAAAAATCACTTTTCAACATAAACCGGTGCTCCGGTCCTAATATAAAAAATGTATATGAAAATCAGCTATAGTTAATTTTATTTAGGTAATGTCTAGAATCTAGATGTCACTTTTCTCACCCCCTCAATGGGAATCCAATGATTCTCATTATCTCCACTATTAATTATTCAAAACAAAGTAAGTTTTTTCTTAGACAAAAATTAAACAGTAAATTACAGTAACCTAAACATGAAATTAATTTTAAATTAAAAAATAAACAATAACATGTAAAAGTATTGAAAATCAGATAAAAAAACATAAAATCCTATACATTAATGTGACAATATAACTTTAAAGTACAGTTATATTGTACAAAAATGGCACATTGCATAGACTTTCAATTATGAGCTTAGCAACGTGTTTTAATTAGGTGACTGAAAACTATAATTTTTCAGGCGTATTAAAATCTAGCAAATTAAATCCCTTTTATTTATTCTTTCATTAATTATGGACTAAAATATATCCGTCGTGGCAACAGCTATCTCTGGAAAGTCGTTGGTAATTAAGCTTGAAATGACGCAAAAAGCTTTGGTTTGTATATATACCTAGCTACTCAATAACAATAAGACAATAATAGCCGTATCTAAACAAGATCGATCAAAGGATGCATGCTGCATGGCCGGGTTAGTTAATTAGAACGTACAAATGGACTTTGCAACTTTGCATACGCATGCATGCACTAATGACATGACTCATGAGGTCCATATTACTAGATCACTATTTGATTTTCTTTTTTCGACTCTATTGGTCATTTCAATCTCTTAAATTCATCCGCATACGTGAACATCAGTGATCACTATTCACTTATGCATGTGTGTCACCAACCAATATTAATTATTATTATTATTAATTGAAAGATGAAGCTAGCTAGGGCAAGACAAGGGCAAAGCTGTACTGCCCCGCAGCTAAACTCTCTACTCCTACATATAAAGCTAATCTCTCAGCACCATTGCCGGCGGGTGGTTAATTATTAATTAATCGATCGTTGGTGCATATGTAATTGATGCAGCATAGTATAGCTAGTGTAATCCACTGTTTATATCTCATACTAACTTCGTCCCAAAATATAATAACTTTTAGCTATAAATCTAGACATACATTTATCCAGATTCATAGTTAAAAATGCTTATATTTTAGGATGGAGGAGTACTAATTCATTGGTACTACTTTTGCCTTAATTGGTTGGGGGAGCATCTTTTGATGAGTGATGAGATACATATGCCTTGTACGGCTTTAAGAATATACTCGCTCTGTTTTTAAATATGAGCATCATTAACTTTTAAGCGTGTGATGTTTGATCATTCGTCTTACTAATTAAAAATAAAAAATAATATAGTGAAGACATGAGAAAGGTATAGCAAGTTACAACAAAACAAGAAAAATACTTACATACCTTTTTTAGTAAAGACAAATGGTGGAAACATTGCCATGTCTAAAAGTTATAATTATGTCATATATTTAAAAAGGGAGAAATATAATATATATATTTCAAGTTCTGGGCTAAGAAAAAAAATCAAACGACTTATATTGTGAAACAGGGGGTACATGTATTTCAAATTAAATAAAATCATTTATGTGCATATTTCAAAATAAATCTGCGTGGAAATGCTATTTTGGAACGGATGTACTCCATATTTACAGTGCCATATTTGTCACTAAATAACTGTCAATTTTTTTAACATGCAATTTACACTATGAATCTTATATTGCACGTGCGCACAGTAGATTTTAAAGTTTGCACTGTAAATTTATAAGTACTCCCTCCGTATTTTAATGTAGGACGCCATTGACTTTTCGATCAATGTTTGACCATTCGTTTTATTCAAAATTTTTGTGTAAATATGAAAATATTTATGTCATGCTTAACGAATATTTAATGGCGAATCAAGTCATAATAAAATATTTTTTGAATAAGACGAACGGTCAAACGTTAGAGAAAAAGTCAACGGCGTCATACAGAGGGAGTATTAGACAACACTACAACAGAGCCTATAGCACGAGCTGATCAAAAGGAATTCACACTTTCAGTTACCCCACTTGGTGTACTATGTTCCAATTCGCCTGATGAACTGCGCTTAAATGGAAAAAAACAAAATATAACTGACCGTGCTGTTAATCTGACCGTATCCTGCAGGCCCCGGAAAGGATCGAGTATCGAGCGTCCCAAAAGTCGATTGCGACCTGGCCAGAAATCCTTTTGCATAGGTTTGTAAAGGAGACGACCGTACCATTTAATTATCAATCAGAAGAGGAGGATATATATGTACTCCACTACCTATGATATATGTAAGTTGCATTCATTAATTCATATTGTTCATCGATTTTTTTTTTTAAAAAAAAGAGAACAGGTAGATCACCTTTTTTTAGAAAGCAGCAGAGTTTACAGACTCGACTTCGCTTTACTCATAAAGGAAGCTAATAACATCATATGAGACAAACAGCTGACTAAGATCAGTGTACCCAACAGCTAAAACTCTTCCAGATCAACAAAAAACATTGATCATGGTTTTTCTTTTCATGGACGATTTTTTGCATCTCAAGCAAAGGGAAGTTTAATTGGACAACCCTTCACCCTAATTACGCGCATGAGTACTTAACAAGCTAGCTATTATTGGCAAGTGGACACTAAAACGCTTAAAGTCAGCTTTCTTTTTTTTTCTTTGGAGGTTAAAGTCAGCTTTTCAGGACAAGACAACACATGCTAATTATTTTAAGTGGTAACATGGTCACTCATGAGCATGACTGAAAATTATGGCTTTACAGCCATATTATTATCTGAGAAATTTAACATTGACATTTTTTTACTAATAGTTACTTCAGTTATATTGCTATTTACTTCTAATAAAATGGCAAGGTTAAAGACACCTAACAAGTTGGCCTAAAAAGGATGATGGTATATATAAAAAAAGAGAAAATAATTTCATTGTATTCCATTATGGGAATATCAATTTTTCAGTGTATATAAAAAACACAGGAGCAAAAAAAAATCTACTACCTCCGTTTCTAAATAGATGACACCACTAACTTTTAAACCCATGTTTTACCATTCATCTTAATAAAAAACATTGGTGTGGTGATAGTCTGGAGTCATGGGTGCATGACTTCACTTGTCATGGTTAAATAGCAATGTCTATAAATATAGATGTGTTTATTCTTAGTTGATGCTGATGCCGAAAGTTATTATTTCTTTACAGTAAATTTCACAAAACTACTGATACTTTAACCAAATAATCGTAAAATTATAGATTTCAAGTGGTATATCACAAAACCACAAATTTAAAGCCAACTATCACAAACTATACATTTAGTATTGAAGTTATCACAAAACCACATATTATAGCGTTTAAATTCATAGCACTACTATTATATTAAAGCTACAAAAGTTATAGTTTTATGACTAAATTGATGCTACACATGTAGTTTTGTGATAGTTTTATATTAAAGATAGAGTATGTAGTTTTATAATACACTAATTTAAATATATATAATTCCATGATAAATTTAATACTAAATACGTAATTTTATGATACACGAAATTAAATTTGTATTTTTTGATAATTTAGCTAAAATATGTGTAGTTTTGTGAAATTTACTTATTTCTTTATTATGCTTAGTTGGTGAGAGGCTTCATGTATGCTTAATTAGTTGGTGTAAAAGTCAAAAGTCATACCTTAATAATATGTGTGACTAATGACAGAAGCCAGTACATAAAACATTTTCATTATCAAAAATAATTATCTCTAATATTGTGGCTAACACCTGGGGGGTCCTCCTAATTACTGTCACTTAAACTTTTTTTCAATCTGCACGGACATGGGCTAGTAGTACACTCAACTTTGTTACTTGCATCGTGGGCTTAGCGTCACGCCGAAGTGACCCCTCAGGCCCAGCCCGGTTGGCCCACTTCAGACAATGTGGGGGGTGTCGTGTTCCGTCCACGAGCCCACGACCTCTCCCCCGTCCAGGCTGCGAGCGAAGCCGAGCCGTTTTCTTCCCCATCGATCAAGGCGATCGGCGGCCATGGAGGCCAAGATCGGGAGGCTCGTCGGCGCCATAGGCGCCTTCTTCTCCGGCGGCGACAACGTCCCGTGGTGCGGCCGCGACATCATCGCTGTACGTAAACCACTCGCACGCCAACCCTTTACCCTTGTCCCCTCCTTTCGATACTCTCCCTGTCGCCAGGGGCGGAGTCACGATCTCGGGATAATTTAGGCTTGTGAACCTATCTGAGGCTGTGTTCCTTACCTGTAGTTGGGAGCAAATCCCTCCCGTACGAAAAATAAAGCAATCCATTAGTGTGTGATTAATTAAATATTAGTTAATTATATTTTAGTAAATAGATCAATATGTTTTTTTAAGCAACTTTCGTATAGAATTTTTTTAAAAAAAAACACACCGTTTAGCAGTTTGAAAAACGTGCGCGCAAAAAACGAGGGGAGTGAGTTGAAAACTCACACGAACGAACTCAGCCTAAATTCTTTTGAGATTGTATGGAAATTTTGAAAATATATAGGGCCTTATTGTTTGAAGCTAAAATGTGCTCTATCAAATTATTATTGGCACTTTAAATAGTACTCTAGATAATGTTTGGTTTTACTACCGAAATATGCTAATAATAACATATATATTGATAAATTTTTAACACTACCAAAAAATCCACGTAGGTTTTGACATTGCCAACATTATAGCATGGTAGCTAACCAAACATACCAAGTAAAATTGTCAAATTTAGCTCAAGGCTTGCATTTTTTTTTTGGCTCTGCCACTTCCTGTTGCCTCTTGCGTGTTGCCATTCAATAGTTGATAGAAAATACTATGTTTCATACTACCTCCGCCTCAAAATATATTGAGAAATTCTCTTATATTTTTGTATGGAGATAGTAATAGATAGTACAACTCTATCTAAAATAACTCATCTTTGATCACAGAAATGCAAATTAAGATAGTAAAAAAAGACTAAAGTACTTCTCATTGATAATTTTTTTTTATTCCATTATTTGGTTGGTGTGAAGGCATGGGAATGTAAGGGGTATTAAAGGAACAAAACTCATCAATCTGCGAATTGAGATAGGTCATGCGAAAAAGTAAAGTTATTTTGTAACATTTGGTAGAGACTAAAGATGGACGAGATAGGTCATGGAAAAAAAATAAAGTTCCTTTGTAACAGATGGTAGAGAGTAAATATAGACTTATTTTAGGATGGAGAGAGTAATAATGCAGTAGGATCCAATAAACTAAGTCAAGATCGATCACTGTTGGTTCGTTCTTATCCTGAATTGATCAGTAGACAAAAGTGAAGGCCAGATCATTGTTGATTTGCTGTGTCTGATCTAATCAGGGTGTCGAGAGAGAGGTCGCGGAGGCCGCAACCGAAGAACACAAGAACGTGAGCATCATGAGGCTATCCTGGGCCCTCGTCCACTCGAGGAACACGGACGATGTCAACCGTGGGATCGCCATGCTCCAAGGTAGGTGCAATGTAACCACACAATGACACAACAAAACAATAATTTGGCATGTGATGATCTAACCCAGACTCTGACAAATGTTGTTCTTGTGTTTGTGTTGCTTCCTAGCATCTTTGGGTGGCTCCAAGAGTCCACTGGAGGCAAGGGAGAAGCTCTACTTGCTGGCTGTTGGGCATTACAGGAATGGTGACTATCCCAGGAGCCGGCAGCTTCTTGAACACTGTTTGGAGGTTTGCTCCTGAATCCTGATAGAGTGATATAGTTGATAATATGTGTCATACAAAGGATGATCTAATTGTTAATAAGCTTGTCTTAGCGTGTAGCCGTTAACCGTACAAGTCATCTGTTCATGCCAACTGTTCTTGTTCGTAAATTCAAGAGATCCTATGGCTCAGCTTTGGAGTTACTGAGTAGATTGGCTACTTCAGATTATCTACTTAATTATACAAATAAATCAAATATTTCGATAAATAAACAAATAACTTAAAACAAGTGGTACAAGTATTACATTAGAAGATTTTTTTTTTTAGAAAAATGTCTTTTTTAAAGCGTGGAGTAAATAATCCGTTTAAATAATAATACAATAAATAGTATGAAAAGAAATAAGCCTAAACGTCTTACTAAGTAGATATGCATATACCAGTTTAGCAACCTGAACATCTGTTGGGGTGGTGCTAATCTTGTTCTGTTCCGAACAGAAACCAAGGTATTATGCAGGAGATTAGATATCTTTTTTTTGTTAAGGCCAAAAGCTTCTTAATTATAATCTGTCCCAATGGGGCCGGACTAATGTTTGTTTAGCATCTCACATACAGTAGTCATCTTGCCATTATCTAATATCCGCAGTTGCCACCTGTATTCAGATTCAACCTGGCTGGGGGCAGGCCCTGTCTTTGAAGAAGACAGTTGAAGATAAAATTGCTAAAGGTGAGATAATTAAACCCAACAATGCAAATGCATTGTACCATTGTTCTTTTATGGTCCTTCTGTTCAAGGATATAGGGTATTTTGGAGAGTAATGCGGTCTTCGACGTTTAACTTTAAACGACTAGTTTTATCTGAAATGTTTATAGGAATTGTAAAACTGTTGCATATTTTTGAATTATTTTTACATGACAAATCAAGTGATACCACTTCTTTTTTTTTGTGAAACAAATGATAGTAGTATCATTTTTGCTTTAGTCTAACTTTTCAGGCTTTCAGCCTTCTTCCATTCGATAGTGTTAATTTGAAACCTATCTTGAGTTGTATATTTTGAAGTGGCGTAAAGTAAGGAGACCGTAAATCACTAAATTGTTTAATCTCCATGGAACAATGGAAGTATTAGCAATAAAATTAATGAGAAGTAATTAACCTTCATCCGAGCGACTGACAAGTTTGATTTATGCAGATGGTGTGATTGGCATAGGTATAGCCACAACAGCTGTTGGACTGCTGGTTGGGATAGCTGCTGCTGTTGCTCGGAAGAACTGAGGCATAGCGGTTCCAGATTGATTTATGGGAATTGAGATTTCTGTCGTCAGATACTCTTTTATGCTGGTGACATTTTTGTTCAAGTTCTAGTCTGCAAGAATTCCCTCTTTATTGACACAATTTAAGGTAGTATGATACAGTATGCTCCGAATGCTTTACAATCTCACCTCCATCTCATAATTCTCTATCGGACAATATTTTCCACGTGATCTTTCAGAATTGAGATCAATCAATCCAATCCAGTGATCCAATTTTAGTTTTTGTCGTTCATACTTCTCTTGTTATTTTCTTTAAGAGAATTTTTTGTAGTATTTGAGAAAGTATTTCAAGGTATCAAAATTTACACTAAAATTTTTCGTATCTCACGATACATATATAGTACTTAAAGGTGCTAAATTTTATATTAGAAAATGTGGTATCTTTTGATATCTTCTTAAGAATGGTAAAATTACCATTTCCTTAATTATTAAGGTCAAGCTGTAGATGCTGTGAATTTCTCATCCTTTTTGGCAGGAGTGAACAGTAACCACTGCACAGCTCCACTGAATTGAGAAGCATTCAGCAAAGCATCCATATTTCTGTGAATTACTATCGCATTTCTGTGGATCAGCGTTTTCTGTGAATTGCTGTCGAATTTTGCATCATATTTGGCAGTAGGTCACTGTCGGCCGGTTGTATGTCTGATTCATGCCCAGAAACTTGGTGTACTGTTCAGTTCGTATTTGTGGACAATTAATGGTTCAAGAATACATATTCTAGTTCCAAAAAAAAAAACTGATACTGCTCGCGACTTTGGAGTATAACTAATTAGCTATAGCTATGATAGCACTAATTTAGACATTAGACAATTCAACGGTCACTTAATTTGGCGTTCACAGGCTCATGCGTACTGCAGCCTGGCCCATAATCAGAAGTCACTTTCGGTCCAAGCCCGTTACGGCCGGGGGGAACCTATTTTGATTTTAGGGTTTGTCCCTCGATTATCACTATATTCAAATAGTTAGGGAAGAATCTATTATAAAGCTAATAACATTATGTATGTATACTTTACAAAATTAAATTTTAGGTCGAAACCCGAGTTACATATAATAAATCATGAAGTATATCTAACACAAGAATTGATCAGCCCTCCATGAAGGATGTAGATCCTCTTCATTACCAGTAGTACTACTGATATGTAGCCGTGGCTGATATGTGCGTCCGGCCATCTGGGCCAACACGTGTTTGCTACTGCACATGTAGCATCGTCAACAATCCTCTCTAGACCATGAATAACCAGTCAAAACTTCGATAGGTAGACGTTATTGTCACACGTACGTGTCGATCAGTGCAGAACTCCGGTTATTTATCCTTTTAATTTCCTTTTTTTTTTAATCTCTCGGCCAGAATTGATCTCATCCGATAATAATACTGTTCATCGATGGATGTTTGAGGCTGATACAAATCAGTATCATACGTTTGCATATCATAGAACACTATAGTTTTCGGTTGTTTACTGATAGTACATATATCGACTATTATTTTAATATATATACACACAAACATACATATCCTCTTTAAATGGAGAGAGATAAAACTTAACGAAAGATCATTTTACATCTAAGCCACCAGCCAAAATAAATTTCACAAAATATTGACTTCACCTAATCATTGAATAAATGGCTGCAATTAATTAATTTAACAATAAAAAGTAAAAGTTGAACAAATATCGATTAAATTTAGGGACTAGCTATATAACATCTGACTAAAAATTATTTTAAAAATATGTCAAATGTAACTACAAAACAATTATTGCAATGTAATTTTAATAATTGTACCATTTTTTATTGTAATTACGTAACATATAGTTATAGTATAAATAGGATGTAGGTTTGTGTGAGTCATGAAAACCATAGTAGGCCAGTGGCAGTGCGGAGGGGTAGTCACGTGCCCGTATTCCAAGAGAGGTCACAGGATCTATCCCAAATTATCCCACCCACACCCAGTACCATGCTTTACTTTTTTTTTTCTTAGAAGCACAGATATTGATGCGTATCAAACGGCTAGCAGGAATCTCAAACACATCCAATACCGTTTGGATGTTAGAAAGTCATGTGACAGTTACCGCCTCGTTTTTTTTATGCTTATACTTATCAGCCTTTACTTTTATATCATTAAGAACATATAAATACAAGTTTTATTTATAAATTATTTTTCATTTACAAATAGAAGTACGTCATTTCGCTTTTTCCTCCGATATGCCAAAATGATGGGGCTGTTAGTACGAAGTACTACCTCCGTCCCAAAATAAGTGCAGCTGTGGATATCCGTGCCCAACGTTTAACCGTTCGTCTTATTTGAAAAATTTGAAAATATTAAGTCACACATAAAGTACTATTCATGTTTTATCATCTAATAACAATAAAAATACTAATCATAAAAAAATTTCAAATAAGACGAACGGTCAAACATTAAACGTGAATAGCGTAAAACTACACTTATTTTGGGACGGAGGGAGTACTGTTTATATTGGACAACTGTATATATGTTAGTGAGTTACGTAGGAGTACGCACATTTGCACGTAGTACAATTGCCTGTCGATCAGCTGGGGATGGGAGACGAAACAAAACGCTATTATTGCACGTTAATTTGCAGTTTTGCATAGTACACCACTTAACTTGCACGGTTCTCCTACCTCCACTACGTGCCGAACCAGCCTGCGGCTATATATACTGTGCACTATACACAGTTTTACACATATCCAACCATGCAATGCAAGCGTACTAAATTTGCAGTGTCAGATTAATTAACACCTGGTAGTTGTGTGCATGTACATGCAAATGGACTCTTCCTACCTCCACCTCGTCCTCCCCGCCGCCGCCGCCGCCGTCGTCGTCGCCGTCGTCCTACTCCTCTCGCTGTGGCGGCGCTGCCAAACCACGTCGAACCACCGGCCGCAGGCGAACCCAATCCTCGGCAACCTCGTCGCCTTCCTCGCCAATGGCCACCGCTTCCTCGACTGGTCCACGGGCCTCCTCGCCGCGGCACCGGCATCCACCATGCAGGTGCACGGCCCGCTCGGCCTCGGCTACTGCGGCGTCGCTACGGCGAGCCCCGACGCCGTCGAACACATGCTGCGCGCCAGCTTCCACAACTACGTCGACAAGGGCGACCGCGTCCGCGACGCCTTCGCCGACCTCCTCGGCGACGGCCTCTTCCTCGCCAACGGCCGCCTATGGAGGCTGCAGCGGAAGCTCGCCGCCAGCTCCTTCTCCCCGCGCTTGCTCCGCCTCTTCGCCGGCCGCGTCGTTCTGGACCAGCTGCGCCGCCGTCTCCTGCTGTTCTTTGACGCCGCCGCTGACGCCCGGCGCGTCTTCGACCTTCAGGATGTGCTCAAGCGCTTCGCCTTCGACAACATCTGCAGCGTCGCGTTCGGCGTGGACCGGGACGACAGCTCGCCGTCGTCGTCGTCGCCGTCGCGGCTGGAAGCCGGCGGCGATGGCCGGGACGACGCGTTCTTCGCGGCGTTCGATGACGCCATTGATATCTCCTTCGGCCGCATATTGCACCCGACGACCTTGGCGTGGAAGGCGATGAAGCTCCTCGACGTCGGCAGCGAGCGGCGGCTCCGTCAGGCGATCGGCGTCGTCGACGAGTACGTGACGGCGATCATGGAGTCGAAGCAACGGTGCAGTGACAGTGAAGAGGAGTCGGACTTGCTGTCACGCTTCACGGCGGCGATGATGGAGGAAGACGGCGGCAACGAGCTCGGCGCGATGTTCGACTCGCCGGAGGCGAAACGCCGGTTCCTGCGCGACACCGTCAAGACCTTCGTCCTCGCCGGGAAGGACACCACGTCCTCGGCCCTAACATGGCTGTTCTGGTTTCTCGCCGCCAACCCGGAGTGCGAGCGGCGCGTCTACGAGGAGGTCACCGCCCTGCGTGGCGACACCGCCGGCGACGAGAGAGACGACGGGTACGAGGAGCTGAAGCGGATGCACTACCTCCACGCGGCGATCACCGAGACGATGCGGCTGTACCCGCCGGTGCCCCTGGCGTCGCGGGTGGCGGCGGCGGACGACGTGCTCCCCGACGGCACGGTGGTGCGCGCCGGGTGGTTCGCCGACTACTCGTCGTACGCGATGGGGAGGATGCCGCAGCTGTGGGAGCGAGACTGCGGCGAGTTCCGCCCGGAGCGGTGGCTCGACGGCGGCGGCGGCGGCGGCGGGCGGTTCGTGGCGGTGGACGCGGCGCGGTACCCGGTGTTCCACGCCGGGCCGCGCTCGTGCCTCGGGAAGGAGATGGCGTACGTGCAGATGAAGGCCGTGGCGGCCGCCGTGGTCCGGAGATTCTCCGTCGAGGTGGTGCCTGCCGCGGCGGCGAATGCGCCGCCGTCGCCGCCGCCGCACGAGACGGCGGTGACGCTGAGGATGAAGGGCGGGCTCCGTGTACTGCTCACGAGGCGCAGGGGCGTGTTGTCCCATGCATAGACCATCGCCTGGGCATGTGGGCACGAAGCTATACATGGCCAAATGGGCCGCCTTATCATGCCGGGCCGGGCTCAAGTGCTGCACCAACGGCCGAATAAGACTTTCGTGCCGGGGCCGACCGAAGGCACGAAAGCCCACCTTGTCTTGTAAAAAGTTTATTTTGCTTTCCTCATCTCTTTAGGCCGTCTCTTATATAGCTCTAAATAAGTCTATTTTAGGTCCCTCATATCATTAGGCTGTGCATTATATGATTGGAATAAATATATTTTGGAACTCTCAACTATTTTGTCTCCCTTATCATTGGACCGGGCCATGACGGGCTAGCCCATCGTGCCGAGGCAGAGGTACAGGCACGGGCCTAACACCGGTCGGGCCGTTAGGCGCCGGGCCTTTTCGACAACTATACACGAAGCTTACCCTTCTCAAAAAAAAAAAGTCAACAACTTCATGCAATGACTTTTGACTGGTCCATGTGTCCATTTGGTCTAGTATTTAATTATATGAATTTACAAATTTTGTTGGAGGTTATATATAAACTTTTATATTATAATATTAATGCGATTTTTTAAAAAAAAACAACTTTCCTACATAAAATTTTTATGAAACACATCGTTTAGCAGTTTAAGAAATGTGAGTGTGAAACACAGGGATCATCAATGTATATAGCAAAAGTGATCCATATAGATGGGGCTTTTATAAATTAACTTTAACTATAGTAATTCCAAGAAGTCTATAGACACAAGGTAGCATTATAAGAAAAGAGAGAAGTAGAGAAATATAATATTATTTATTTTATATGGTTAATCCATATGCATACGAGTACCTTTTGCTATTTTCTTTATATGGACTAGTTCATAACGTTAAGTTGGGAACTACTGCTATACTGGCCTGTTTGGCACAACTCAAACTCCAACTCCACTGCTGCTAGAGCTGGTGCTCAGCCAAACAGTTTCAACTCCACAAAAATGGGAGTGAAGCTAGGTGGAGCACTCTCTCAAAATGAACTAAAGAGATGGAGCTGGGTTTAGGTTGCTCCATAACTCTACTCTAGACACAACTTCTGGAGCTAAATTTAGGAGTTGGAGCTATATCCATAAGGCTTTGTTGTTCTAGCATAAAAGAATTTGTAAGCGGCGTGGATATCGGAGGAAGCAATGAACACATGATTAATTAATTATTATAAATTTAGAAAATGCGTTCATTTGAATTTTTTAAAAAACTTTTATATAAAAATTTGTTGTAAGAAATATACTGTTTGCAATTTAGGAATCATGGAAAACGAGAAAGTTGAAGTTTAGAACTTTACAGAGGGAGTATATATATCTTTAATGGGATGGAGGGAGTGGTATTGTATTGATAATAAATACTCTAGTAGTTGTGGTACTCACTACGTCTTATTTTATGTATAGCTGTGGGTTTTCGTATCCAACGTTTAACCGTCTGTCTTATTTAAAAATTTATGATTTTTTTAAATAGTAACACGTAAAGCATTATTTATGTTTTATTATCTAATAATAACAATCAAACGTTAGACATACAAACTCATAACTACAATTACAATTAGAATGGGAACGAAAGAGTATTAATGGGAATGAAATAGTTTACTGCACATGTGATGCCGATGTGTTGAAAGGGGACATACAACTACAGGATAGTCGAAGAATTTAATTGAGCGGTCCTGTGGTGCCGGATGAACGGAACCACGGAATACCGACTCCGTACATGGTCATGGACGGAACACTTGCACCGCTTCTGCTTCTGCTTCTGCTCTTCCTCCCCGCCCTCCTCCTCTACCTCCGGCGCCGCCCCGCCGCCGCGAGCCGCATCAACAACAACCACTGCCCCCACCCAAACCCCGTCCTCGGCAACGCCCTGCCCTTCCTCCGCAACCGCCACCGCTTCCTCGACTGGGCCACCGACCTCCTCGCCGCCGCCCCGACCTCCACCATCGAGGTGCGCGGCGCCCTCGGCCTCGGCTCCGGCGTCGCCACCGCCAACCCGGCGGTCGTCGACCACTTCCTCCGGGCCAGCTTCCCCAACTACGTCAAGGGCGCGCGCTTCGCCGTCCCCTTCGAGGACCTCCTCGGCCGCGGCCTCTTCGCCGCCGACGGCCGCCTCTGGGCCCTCCAGCGGAAGCTCGCCTCCTACTCCTTCTCCTCCCGCTCGCTCCGCCGCTTCTCCGCGCGCGTCCTCCGCGCGCACCTCCACCGCCGGCTCGTCCCCTTGCTCGACGCGGCGGCGGGCTCCGGCGAGGCCGTCGATTTGCAGGACGTGCTCGGCCGGTTCGGGTTCGACAACATCTGCAACGTCGCGTTCGGCGTCGAGAGCTCGACGCTGCTGGAGGGAGGGGACCGCCGCCATGAGGCGTTCTTCGCCGCGTTCGACGCCGCCGTCGAGATCTCCGTCGCGCGCGTGTTCCACCCGACGACCTTGGTCTGGAGGGCGATGAGGCTCGCCAACGTCGGGAGCGAGCGGCGGATGCGCGACGCCATCAGGGTCATCGACGAGTACGTCATGGCGATCGTGGCGTCGGAGGAGCGCCTCCGGCTCCGCCGCGGGGAGGACGAGCGCGAGCACGAGCAGCACCTGCTGTCGCGGTTCGCGGCGTCCATGGAGGAAGAGGGCGGCGAGCTCGCCGCCATGTTTGGGTCGCCGGGAGCGAAGCGCCGGTTCCTGCGCGACGTCGTGGTGAGCTTCGTGATGGCCGGGAAGGACTCCACCTCCTCCGCCCTGACGTGGCTCTTCTGGCTCCTCGCCGCGAACCCGCGCTGCGAGCGGCGCGTGCACGAGGAGGTGTCGTCGTCGCGGCACGCGGACCCTCGCCGCGCCGACGCCGGAGAAGACGGCCACGGCGACGGGTACGACGAGCTGAGGCGGATGCACTACCTGCACGCGGCCATCAGCGAGGCGATGCGGCTGTACCCGCCGGTGCCGATCGACTCGCGCGTGGCGGTCGCGGCGGACGCGCTGCCGGACGGCACGGCGGTGCGCGCCGGGTGGTTCGCCGACTACTCGGCGTACGCGATGGGGAGGATGCCGCAGCTGTGGGGCGAAGACTGCCGCGAGTTCCGGCCGGAGCGGTGGCTGAGCGACGGCGGCGAGTTCGTGGCGGTGGACGCGGCGAGGTACCCGGTGTTCCACGCGGGGCCACGGGCGTGCCTCGGGAGGGAGATGGCGTACGTGCAGATGAAGGCCGTGGCGGCCGCCGTGATCAGGAGGTTCGCGGTGGAGCCGGTCCAGGCGCCGGCGAGCATGGAGACGCCGCCGGCGTGCGAGGTGACGACGACGCTGAAGATGAAGGGCGGGCTACTGGTGCGGATCAGGAAGCGGGAAGATGACGCAGCGCAGCAGAAGTTGACTTGACCACTGATAATAAGCAATTAAGAACTCCAATCATGTTGGGGGTAAAAACACTGTTGTTTAAAAAAGCATTATCTATTCGGCAGTATCTTGTTGAAATTCGATCCAGCATAAAATAAGCCCCAAAGAGACAGATACTACATCAGTTCCTAAATATTTAACACCGTTAATTTTTTTAAACACGTTTGACTGTTCGTCTTATTCAAATAATTTAAGTAATTTTTAATTATTTTCTTATCATTTGATTCATTGTTAAATATACTACTACTCAAGTTTTTGAATAATATTCCAAAACGTTTTTAATAAGATGAATGGTCAAACATGTTTAAAAAAATCAACGGCGTCAAATATTTAGACACGGAGGGAGTATGAAACAAAAGGTAAGTACTCATCATGCAAGTATGTTCGGAGCAAACTTTATTTATTTACCATCACATAAACGAAATTGTTGCTGGGATAGTGCGTGTCAATATAGGGCATGTGAATTACGAACCACAGCGATGATAGAGCATGCGTATACTCTCTTTTATTGCGTCAGTCAATCGCCTGAATGCCCTTACATTCGTGTTACAGAATGGGAGAGACCTTACAGCATTCTCATGATAAGCTGGATTGGTAAGCATGCCATCCTTGGATGCGGTACTCTCTCGCGGTCTCAGCAGGATTGTTCGCCCTTATAATCCCACGACCGACTATAATTATGTCGCTGCCTCTGTCGTTTATGACCTGTATTTCACAGAAAAGTAAGCGATCTATATCATCAGATAAGCAGAGCAGCAGACTGCATCAGAAGAAAAATGCCCAAAAGCTATCAGAATGGATGAAGTTTATTAACTGAAACTGGATGAAAACTATAGTTCAAAGAAGATGAATACTGGTAATCTCGAATTGCTAACTTAAGCAGACTGCATTAGTTATTATCCATTAAAAAAACTTAAAAGCAGTAAGGTGTGAAGACAACAGAATATCAGTCAGCAAAAAGGGTATGTATTGCCAATGTTTTAACTCACAGAGTAAGGAGTGTTGTACTGTTGACCAAGCGAGTCTCCCCCAGCAACCAACTGAACTCCAGGAGTAGCATGGATGAACGCTGGACTTGACGGCGTCACTGACCAAGATGCAGGATTTACTGATATAAATCCAATTACAATATCAGAATGTTGCTCAGCAATCTTCACGGCTGCAGCAGTGTAATCTCCATGAGCAAGGTTGCCAGCTGAACTCATTTCAGAAAGCAAAAGTAACCCTCTTCCTTTTGGCAGACCCTTCAGTAAACGAACAAAACATTAACCTTCAGTAGCCGGCACTACAACAGTCAAAAGCTATTAGCAGCAGCAACATTGAATTTCTGATTTGTTTTTTTTTAACTCATCGTTGATCACATAGGGCATGGCACTACGTAAATAGCATACCTTCAGCTTCAAGCCTTCTACAATTCCAGGTCCAGAAACTATATGTGCATTAACAATATCAGCCCAGTCTAATATGCGGAATATTCCTCTGAACCAACACAAAAGACATTAACTATATTGTGTATGCATAACAGAAATGAACTTATATATACAGTCAAAAATAGACTTTTCTCACCCTTCATATTGCATAGTTACTGTGTTTCCAATGTCTGCAAACTTGCGGTCTTCAAATATCAAAAAGCTGTGCCTCTCAGCAATCTTCAAGTAAAATTTTAAGAACAAATTAAATATAAGATGAAACACATCAAAACTAAGCTATGCCAGTAGCTTTTTATGCCAGTAGCTTTTAGCATCACGAATAGCCAATACTACACTGATATAATGATATATACAAATGAGCTCTAGTAATTCATTAAAAAAAAGCACTGATAGTAAACAGAGCTGATTGCCTTCGAATGCCTAGTGTACCCAAAACACAAAAGGCATTATGGTGGGTGCACAGAATAAATCCAATAAGCATACGCCTACTAAATGCAAAAAATAAAGCATGTCCCATATGAAAACAGCATGAAAGAAGACATTCTATACTGATGGGCATGACAATCCATAATCATGGGCAAAAAGCATAAATATACTTTTAAAAGAGTAGTGGGTAAAAATCCCACACTTGATTCCAAGAAAACAAACTCCAATTTTACATCTCTATCCGGAGTTCTGCAATAGTATGAAACTACTCAGGACAAGTATTACTAATACCAAAGGATGGTGAAAATAAAAGGACAATCAAGTCATAAGTGAACATACCGAACGGAGCTTGTGGCCAAAATCCGGTGTAAAATCAGACAAGATATCCACATGAGTTTTCAACATGCAGATCTCTGGACCAATCTACATAAGAATTGGAGCACTAAGTTAAACAGATTAAAAGGGTTCACTTAGCAATAACAAACTAATGAACCAAAAAGAAAAACGAAAAGAACCAGGACAAAATCAATATGCTCTTACCTCATAATATATAGAAAGACGATGCAAATGTATCAAATGGGATTCAGTAAAATAGTGAAAAGGTAGATCTATGCCATCTTAGTGAAGAAACTGCACCCACACAATGACTGTATATTAGACCACTCTATTCACAACACTAGATGTGAAAGATATACTGCATCATCTAAGCATAGAAAATATGTAAGAGAAAGAGAAGATGTGATGGCAAAAAAGTATGAAACTAAGAAACTGGTCTATATAAAAAGGAATAATACGACAATAACAAATCAATTTGTTCACAGAATCATCTATCAAGGATTGTAGTTTCACATGACTAAACATAACCAAACATTTCCAAGGCTACAAGCACCATAAATCAGGAGGAATTCACGCAACCCCAAATCTGCCTTTTACCTTACTCAGGGAATAATACTGAAGTAGAAGAATATCATCCTAACATAACCAAACATTTCATAAGGCATAAACAAGCACCATAAATTGGGAGGAATTCACACAGCCCCAAATCTGCCTTTTACCTAACTCGGAATAGTACTGAAGTAGACCGATATCATCCTAATATACACCTATCATAAAATTACCCATTCTTAATAGCCTAAAAAGGAGAAATTGACTTCCTGACTGTTAAGTTCTAAAGTTTACCAAACATCTACACAATTCATTATCTTATAGTATACCTTATCGGCGAGATCAAGTAGCTCTGTTGCTGTCCCGACATCTGCAGCAACACACAAGTTGCTTTGCTTGGCCTCCATCAACTCGAACAGCTTCCTCCCCATCGGATTCGTCGCCAATCCAGCTCTCTCAGAAAATGCCTTCCTAACTACTTTCGGTTTAACCGGCAGTCCCGGCACAGCCATCTTCCTGTTTGCGTCGAGGAATCGCTTCACCTCCTGGGCCTTCTCCTCGCCCAGCTTCCCGCGCTTCACGAGGACGGCGAGCACCTCCGTGAGCGTCATGAGCGAGTGGAGCGCGACCCCGTTCGCGGCGAGGTTCTCCCTCCCGCCCTGCTCGCGGTCGATGACCACGACGGCGTCGGCGACGACGAGCCCGACCTCGCGGAGTGGCGCGACGGTCTCGAGCACGGAGGAGCCCGTGGTGACGAGGTCCTCGACGATGAGCACGGCGTCCCCGGCGCGGAAGGACCCGTCGAGGCATTCGGCGGCGGCGTGCGGCGTGACGTGGTAGCGGCGGAGGAGCATGGGGACGGAGGCGGCGGCGGAGAGGACGGAGGCGATGGGGAGCGCGGTGTAGGGGACGCCGCAGAGGAGGTCGTAGGGGCGGGTCGCCGGGAGGGAGCCGAGGAGGGAGGCGACGGTGGAGAGGAGGCGCGGGTGGGCGACGAGCATGCGGAGGTCGAGGTAGATCGGGGAGGTGATGCCGGACTTGAGCACGAAGGCGCCGAACTTGACGGCCTCGATGGCGTGGAGCTCCAGGATGAGGGATTCCATTGCGGCGGCGTCCATGGCTAGAGCCTTGAGCCGAGACGAGAGAAGCTGGGAAGAAGAAGGTGGAGAGTGAGAGCACGAGACTTGCGGACAAAAGACGGCAAGAGACGAGGAGTGAAGTGGAGAAGTGCACTTTGGAATTGTGTCGAGGAAAGTTTGGTTATAATTGAAACGATGTAACGAAAAAAGTTGGAAGTGTATGTAGAAAAGTTTGGTTATAATTGAAACGATGTAACGAAAAAGTTAGAATTTGAAAAAAAGTTTAAAACTAAACTCGGTCTTCGGCAGGTGCATGCATCAACAGCATCAGCATTCAGCGGCATAGGGTTTGGACTAAACACATTAATATGATAGAAAAGTTAGAAGTTGAAGAAAAAGTTTAAAACTAAACTCGGCCTTCGGCAGGTGCATGCATCAACAGCATCAACATTCAGCGGCATAGGGTTTGGACTAAACACATTCTCTTGAGAGTCATCATCAGTCATCGTCCATTGCTGAATATGACGGCGATGATATCGACTGGTTGGCTTAGAGCATCTCCAACAGACTCTCTAAAACGGACTCTCCAAACACCTATATAACCAGCTCTCCAATTGATTTGGCAAACCAAACTCATTCCTCACTCCAACAGCCTCTCCATCTACCCTCTCTATTACGAGCCTATGACAATTAGGGCCCACATGTCAGCCTCTATTATCTATTCTTCTTCCTCTTTCTCCCCTTCTTCTCTTCTCCCACTGCAACCATCTCGATGATGTCCACGCGATGCGCGGTGGCCGGCGTCTCGTCAATGCGCGGTGGCCGGCGTCGGTGGCAGCGGAGCGTCCGCTGCAGAGGAGGGAGGTTGGGCGGAGCTTGCAGCGGAGGGAGGGAGGGAGGAGGCGCCGTCGTCGCCGCCGGCGGACTCCGCGCCGTCCTCCGTGCTGTCGTCGTCGGGGGACTCCGCGTAGTCGTCGCCCTGACCCCACCCTGCCGCCATTGCCTCGAGGTCGGCGGCGCGGAGTGCGTCGATGGAGACGGCATTGTGCGGGCGAAGGACTGGCTCGTCGTCGTCGTTGCCGTCGCCGCCCCGCTCCAGATCCCGGAGGGTCGGGGAAAGACGATGGGCTGCGCCATCTCGCCACGGACGACGGTGGTGGCGGAGCCGGAAGGATGATGACGGCGGCGGCGCCGGGAGGACAACGGCGAGCACTGGACGGATGGATGCGGCGGGCAGGGAAGGAGCCGGGATGGGATGGGGAAAGGGGGAGAGAGAGAGAGAGGAGAGAGGGGGTGGGACCCACACCAGATAGCCAGCCGTCCTAGCTGGCCAACTTTGGCTAGTGAGGTGGAGAATTTAGCCAGCCGGATGGCTTGGAGAACCATTTAGCTAGTCTATTGGAGTAGATTTTTTGCCCAAGTTCACTAAATTTTAGCTTGGAGAGCCATTTAGCCAGTCTCTTGGAGATGCTCTTACTGCGATGGAGGAAACGACGGATGCCAAGCCAATTTTGGATAGCACACAATTCAGAAAATCGTAAAATGTTGCTGCTTATCTTTAACCAAAATCTCCATTTCCATTTCGTTCCCATGAAACCAGGGTAGCATTTTGGTATAGTAAAATCTCCGGTTTTTGTTGGGCAAGGGGATAGTAAAAATAAATAAATCTACGGGAGGCATGAACTCGAGCACATGAAGAACAGTAGCCTTTCAGGCCAAACCGAGCTGTACCAGTTTAACCACGGCAAGACGAAACGGCCCCCGGAAGTTTCAGCCAATCCGAGCTGTAGCAGTTTGCAGCAACTTTGGCTGTGCCTCTTGTCATCGCCACATAACCATGCAAGTTCAAGTTTACAGTATCCATGCGAGAGTGCACCAAAATAATGATGGGATGAACGGCAAGGAGCATGAACGATACTACATCTTTGTATATTGGCAACTTAGTTTCATGACTTCATCATCTTGAACTCTAAATTATTGTTGCAAACAGCGCGAGCCAATACTGATGGAACGCAGAGCATGCTCTTATTACAGTAGCTGCCTGAATGAGTGAATGCCCATTATTTGGCATAGGGTGTGGACTAAGGGCCTGTTTGATTCAGTTTAGGATTATTATAATCTACCTTATTAGGAGTAAACTGAAACAAACAAGTAGATTATTGTAGCAGATTATTATAATCTATAAGCCAGATTATTATAATCTAATAAGCTGCTCTAAAGGAGCTTTTTTCAGATTATTGAGTGGCTAAAGACCCACTACCCCTACATGCTTGAGAAAAATTAACCACTATGCCATCAACCGAACAGATAGCTGAGGGTATTATAGACTTTAGCCTTTCAAACCCAATAATCCATGCCTCCAATAATCCAGACAAACAAACAACTCACAGCTTATTCTATGTCAGCTTATTATAATCCAGCTTATAGCAATCTGGCTTAATAATCTAGATTATAATAATCATAAGCTGAAACAAACATGGCCTAAACACATTCTCAATTTCTCATGGCAAGCTGGATTGGTATGCTCCCCACCCTTGGATGCGGTACTCCCTCGCGGTCTCGGCTGGATTACTCGCCTTTATAATCCCTCGTCCGACTATAATTATGTCACTGCCTCTGTCGTTTATAACCTGTACGTAGTAAACAACGGCGTCGCAAGGAATATATCAGTTCATAAGCATATTGCAACAGGACGGAACGAAGAACTGAGTTCCTGCCTAAGCATCCAGATTATTTACTGACGAATAATAAAAACATAGGAAGATGATGCAGGCATGATTAGGCCATGAGACATGTTAAAGATGGTGCAGGTATGATCTGAGAACTTCAAGATATAGGTTTTGTTAAATCATCTACCGTATGAAAGGCCTCCAAATTGTGTAAAGAAGAAAAAGATAGCATGAGCTCAAATGTTTAGCGCCTGATAATCCAAAGTGAACGTAATACCCAGATAAACTTGAGCTAAGGTAGTATAAGTTAGAAACAAACTATTATTTGGCCCACGAGACAAAATGGATATGGAAAGCATATCCAACTAGGACTTCATCACATAACAATCAGTCTCAACGCCTCTCTGTATTCCACAGACTACACAGGCATCAACAACCTTGATGTTTCGTGCTACTGTATTAATAACTGGGAGACTAACAATCTGCCTTGATGGCTGTCTGTATTCCACAGCAACCTTGATGTTTCATGTTACTGTACCAATAACTGGGAGACAACAACCGACGGTCATTCTTTGGTAACTAGTTCTTACTAAGTTTGACTCTTTGGAAGACCTCCAAAAATGCATTAAGACATAAGGAGAAAAAAGTGAATCAATCACACAAAGGAATTCGATGGTAAGGTTAAACTCACAGAATGAGGGGTATTGTACTGTTGACCAAGAGCATCTCCTCCAGAAACCATCTGCACTCCAGGAGTGGCATGGATAAATGCTGGACTTGATGGCGCAACTGACCAAGATGCTGGATTAACGGATATAAATCCAATTACAAAATCAGAATGTTGCTCAGCAATCTTTACAGCTGCAGCAGTGTACTCTCCATGAGCAAGGTTGCCAGCCGAGCTCATTTCAGCAAGCAAAAGCAGCCCTCTTCCTTTTGGCAAACCCTTCAGTACAAAACACAAAAGTTACTGTGAGCATTATGTTAAATCAGCTACCTGAAGATGCAACAATACTAACAAAACTTTAAACTCTGGTATAAGTCATGTAAAGCACAGCATACCTTAAGCTTCAGACCATCCACAATTCCAGGTCCAGGAATTATATGGGCATTGACGATATCAGCCCAGTCTAATATGCGAAATATTCCTCTGAAACAAGGTTAAAGGCACTTATGTCACACAAATACATAAAGGAGATGAGAAGGGATAGGTTGTGGTGCTGTTTCTCACCCTTCATATTGCATAGTCACTGTGTTTCCAATGTCAGCAAACTTGCGGTCTTCAAATATCAAAAAGTTGTGCTTCTCGGCAATCTAAAAATAACGTTTTATGGGTCAATTAGTAAAGAACAGACCATGTGAAAACTGACCAGGACAATAACTTTAGCATGCCAAACTATAAGTAAATAACATACCGAGCAAAGCTTAGCTCCAAAATCTGGAGTAAAGTCAGACAAGATATCCACATGAGTTTTCAGCATGCAAATCTCTGGACCAACCTACATAAAAATTGGAGAACCAAGTTAACAAGCATTATTACCTGGGTTTAGCAATTACAGCGTAATGTTAAAACACACCAAAAGGAGAAAAAAAACAAAGCTAAAAGTAGTGAATCTGCTCTTAGCATATCTAAAGGTCATGCAAATGGATGAAATGAGACTGGAGGAAAAAACAAATCAGAAAGTACAAATAATGCTAGCTTGACTGCTTAAGGAAGAAACTGCAACTGTGGAGCATTCTTTTTGCAACACTAGATGAAGCAGCACACAGCATATCTAAGCACAGAAATGTTTAAAATACATTTTAAACAGAGAAAAACACACACTGAGCATGTCTCAACTATCAAATCAATGTTTCTACTTCCCAAGGACTCCAGTATAACAGACCTAGTCTAAGTAGACAGTTCATGAAGCAAAAGCAGGTGCTATATAAACAGGTATATCTACCGAACCCCCAATTTGTTTCTTACTAGATAACTCAGGGACTGAGCCTGACATATCAACATAAAGTATGCACAAATTGTCCATTATCTAAGAACTAAAAAGTACACACAAATTGCAGGATTATCCATCCAACAGGAGAATTTGACTTGTCAGGGTTGAAATGCTTATAAATTTATTTAACCAACCAATCTACCAACTAACTCCACAAATAGTAGTGACATGTACTACCTTCTCTGCAAGCTCAAGGAGCTCCTTTGCAGTTCCCACATCGGCAGCAACACATAAATTGCTCTGCTTTGCCTCCATCACCTCGAAAAGCCTCTTCCCCATCGGGTTCTTGGCCAATCCAGCCCTCTCAGCAAACCCCTTCCTGACCGCTTTGGGCTTAACGGCGCCCGCCGCTCCGGGAACGGTCACCTTCCTATTGGCGTCAAGAAACTGCCTTACCTCCCTCGCCTTCTCCTCGGTCACCTTCCCGTGCTTGAGCAGCACGGCGAGCACCTCCGTGAGGGTCATGAGCGAGTGCAGCGTGATCCCATTGGCGGCAAGGTTCTCCCTCCCGCCCTGCTCGCGGTCGACGACGACGACGGCGTCGGCGACGACGAGCCCCTGGTCGCGGAGCGGCGCGGCGGTCTCGAGAACGGAGGCGCCGCTGGTGACGAGGTCCTCGATGATGAGCACGGCCTCCCCGGCGCGGAAGGCGCCCTCGATGGACTTGGCGGTGCCGTGGGCCTTGGCCTCCTTGCGGCGCATGACCATGGGGACGGAGCGGTGGACGGAGAGGACGGAGGCGATGGGGAGCGCGGTGTAGGGGACGCCGCAGAGGAGGTCGTAGGGGCGGGTCGCCGGGAGGGTGTGGAGGAGGGTGGCGATGGAGGAGAGGAGGCCCGGGTGGGAGACGAGCGCGCGGAGGTCGAGGTAGATCGGGGAGGTGATGCCGGACTTGAGCACGAAGGTGCCGAACTTGATGGCCTCGATGGCGTGGAGCTCCAGGATGAGGGATTCCTGCGCGGCGGCGTCCATGGCGGCTAGGCTTAGCTAGGGTTTTGGGCGGGGTTTGCGCTGTGCGGCGGCGGGAGGAGGAAGGAGGAAGCCGACAGGAGGAGGTTTTATTACTACTGTACCTCCACTAGGACGGCTGTTTTCCCCTTTCTTTTGCAGCATAGGGTAGCCTTGGAACTTGAGATGGAAAATGGATGGCTGAGATGTGAGAATATTCCAAACGTTAAGTTCAAAATGTGCGAAAATATTGTGACCTGAAAAAAAGTTTTTTTTTAAAAAAAATAGAGGTTTAGTTTTTTTTTGGAAAATTTAAAAGTGTCTAACATTGTTTGTGCTCTCTCAGTTTTTTTTTTTCAAAATGTGAGGTGATTTATATGGGAAAATATATGGTGGAAACTACATACCTCTAGTGGAAACCTTCGTTGGATCGAAAAATAGACGCCTGAAATTCTTCCGCACGACCACCCCATTACAAGTAAAAATTTACTAATAGATTTACTCACGGTGATATAGACGAATCTCATACGTTTATTTTTTATCCAACGGTAGTTTACAGGTTTCCACTACATATATAGTTTGCACTACATATTTTTTCCGGTTTTATATCTAGTTCTCAATGTTCTCTTCCCCCATGTTGTCAGCAAGGCGGCTCCATGGACAGGCCTGAGAAACTGAAAAAATAGTTAGCTGCCTATTTGATGAAAGTAGTATCTAGTGTTGTTTTGTCAATGTTCCCCATATGTTCGTCAGTCATACTCCATGGATAGCTGAGAAACTGAAACAAAAATCTGTTTATTTGAAATTAAAATCGAACATTGGATATGTAGTTCTGTAGAGATGGGCACGGTACATCCGTTTTGTTCTGAACCATCATGCCATTTCAGATGGTTACAAGGAAGAGACGGTGTGAAATTAGGATTTTAAAAGACAAGCTTACAAATCAAGCAGATTTGTGCCAGAATGATCTCAACTTTAATAGACAAATCGCCTCACATCATGTACTCCTTCCTAACTTCTACAGATACATCTGATGCATGGAAACCTTGAACGCATGGTTGAGTTCTAATTTGCCACAGTAATTACACACAAAGCCCTAAGTGTTTGCAAAGAATTTGTTCGTGTAACCATGTTCTGAATTCAGAATGTCAGAGCAACCCATTTCTGCAGGCGCAGCTATTGCGTGAGCGGGACACACTCGAGCTCCATCTCAAGATGGCCACGCTCGACGTTCTGAAGCCTGACGGTCACCTCCTGCTTCACCTTGCCATCGATGATGGAGATAGCACTGTCCTTTTGGATCCAGATGCCTTCTTTTGCTAGCCATCTGTTGAGCTGTGCCGTATCAGCGACGACCGAGGTCTCATATGCCTTGGCTGCAGCAACCAGTGGCTGAATGTTAATCTCAGCCTCCCCCATTCGGTCGTCTGTAGTGAATGTGTCCTTGTCATAGACTTGCTGCCAAGGAGAACAGAATCAAACGCTAATCCAAAACAATTAAATAAAAAAAGACAGCTACTGATTATTTTCAATATCCCTCGAAAGATAAGATACTTACCAATTTAAGCATAGGTATGGGATCAGGTATTGATAGCAAAATCCTTTCATTCCATACAGGATTCAGGCTGCTCTTAATCACCTTTGTTTTCATCGACTAAAATGGTGTAAAAGGGATGTCAATGTCATGGAACTAAGAATTTTGGATAATTAAGATGCAACATTGGTATGAAGCCGTTTACCTGGTGTCCAAGGTTAAGGATAACATAAGGGTCGCTGGACATCATATCACGAACAGCTAGATTTGTGCCTCTTATGACATTGACCTTAATTAATCCAACAAATTCAACCATACCTATCTCCACCTAGGACAGCAAAATGTCAAACTCTAAGTACTGCAGGTAGATTCTAAATGGAACTGTGAATTTGAGACAATGTAGCCGTACTGTTTTCTTCACTGATTTACTCTCATGTTCTTTTCTCCTCCAACTGTTCCTGAAAGCATGGCCTAAACCATGCCTATTTGAACTGCTATGTTGTACGCGATTATGATTTTTTCCGCTCTTTTGTGAGTAGCAAGTAAGCTGTGTGTTGGACAAAAATTGTTGAAGCTCATATTTTCTCCTGCACAGATGCAGATAGAGGGGAAATATCATTTGTGAGACAGTCCTACTATAAATGAAATCTGCTATGTCAGGGTGTCACCCTACAAGTATAAGACATCAAAATAATGAGAAATTGGTAACCTAATTGCATACCTAACAAAGTCATTGCGCCCCTCTGATGAGCAATCTTGCCTTGGCTTCATGTAGTTTTCAGGTATAAACGCCTCGTATATCATGTTAACTGCAGCATTTCCACCTGAATCAGCTAAAATATCAACTTGTTCATCTGTCCACTCGTCTAGCTTTACTGAGACCACCTGAAATAGACAAATTTCTACTCCAATTACAGAAATGATATTCCATAGGCCATTAGTCTAACTTAGCTAAGAGTTTGACATCAAAATATACTATGTGGGATAGCTAAAATATTGAAAAATAAATGCTTGGGACTGTTAGCATTTGTATGTTTCTTCTTTAACAAGCCACTAATCTACAATGTTTTGTCGAAGACACTTACACCTGAAAAGGATTTCTAATATATGTTGTGTAGCTGTGTTTGTGCTTTTCTAGAATTAGACCAATGAAGCTGAACCTCAGAAAACTCTGTAGCCTACAAATGGTTGTTGAAACACATCATTTACTGTTAGATATTTCCCAAGCTTCTGCACAATTCTCCAGGATGAAAATGGCAACAATTACTAGGATGAGGACATAAGTTCCCTATATGTCACCAAGTTCTTCTCTCCACCATTTCTTTCCTAAAATATGTCCATGTAGAGATCGGAGGTGACTGGCAAAGCAAGTGAAAGGTTCAAGTGTTTTTCATCATACGCAGTGGATGGCCACATAAGTCACAGGACTGCACTATTTGAGTTACAGAAGGGGATACACTTAGTAATAGCAAACACGCAATGGACACGTCTAGAAAATCATCTAGAACCTAATTGTCCCGGAAGATCAGAATATGTTTCAGCGAAAACCTACAATGGCTGGAGTAGGAGAGCATCTTAAAAGAAATCAAATAAGAAGTAAACTCAAAAGTGGAAGAGCCATAATAAATTGCTATGGTACAGATATCATGGCTACCTTGGATATGTGCACCCCAAGACTTCTATGAGCTCCAGAGCACTTGATGCAAATAAACACACCAAAAGTCAATGACCTGCACACACCAGACGTACTAGTATTAGTATATAGCACTCTGGCTGAAATACCATGACAAAACGAAATGGTATCTCAACAGTGAATAAGATATACTTAATTTTGCTTCAACTAAATAAGTGGTCAGATAATTGTAATGCAAGAATTTTTTTTTTCACGACACACATGCAACAATTGTTACTACAATGTAAATTGCATTGACCTTTACATTTTTAAAATGTTCAGCTCGAATTCAGTTAAGTCAAGCAGGGAATACACACCATATATGAGCTAGAACAATTTCTTTTCAAAATCTTAAAAAATGATCTGCATACAGGCTACATCTATACACTGCAGATTTTGTTTCCTTAAAAAAAGCACTTACGGGATTCATGGATACTTACACCCATTTGGGATCTGGAGCACCACAGTCAGCACAAATTTTGTTTGCTGGTTGGTTTAAAAGATGCTCTAATCTCTCTGCTGTACCAACTGGACCTGGCACCAATCATGGATGAACATCGGTCATTATCACAAACAACAAATGGATAAGTAGCAACTTCATCTGGATTTCTATACAATACAAGGGGACATTTAGCTTCTTCTTCTCCCTCTTTCTTTTTGAAACAACTAGCTTCATCTGTCTAGAAACTTGCTAAGTGTTAATGGAGTGGCAGGAAGTATTTCATTCTGCTTGAAATTAATAACAGCAGCCAAGAAGAAGTTGAATGCTAAAGTAGACTTCACACTTTACAATTAATATTTATTTGTTCCTCCCTAACGGATGTTCATGTTGACGATTATATAAAAGGAAAAAAAAAGAAGCTATAGCAACTCTATAATTTCAATTGGAATGTAGGCAGCATCCAATTCCACATGCCAAGATTTCAAAGGGGACATCAAAAGGGAGAAACCTTGGGGATTGCCTCCTTGCTGATTGCCGTGGTCATTCGCATCGATCCTCGATGCCATTCCACAAATTCTCCTGCACACATGCAAAGGGGGTGGGGATAACATCAGACACCGAATTAGCTCAATCCGTATGAAATGCAAGAACCGAGCCAAATCAATCAAAAAGAACAAAAATTACCAAATCGCAATCGTCAGTCGCAGCATTGGGGCATGAAGAATGGGAGGGGGGGAGAGGGGGTGCTTACCTCGCGCTGCGCTGCGGCTTGGGGCTATCAACGAATTGGTGCACTGGTTTGTGCCCCTCCATGATCTTATTATCCTCCTCATAGACATCACATCCCCGCGATGGGAGGGGACGCGACGACAATGTGGGGATCCATCACCCCCCGCAAATAATTAAATCGGGGGGGATTTGGGATGCAGCTCAGATCGAGTGATTAAAGAAATGCGCGGCGGGAGGAAGAACAAGTCTTCGTGGGGGGCCGGCGATTTGCCGTCGAGGAGGAAATGGTTGATCCGTCGTTTTTGTTTAATGTTGAGCTGCGTATGAGCGAGCGAGTGGTTGGGTGGGGGTTAATAATAGGGAGCGGTGGCGGTTCGTTTTCCCGGTGAGCCTTCGCTGTCTTGTTCACTGCATGTAGCAGCAAAAATATTTCCTGAAACTAGTAAATGTTTCTGAAACTACAGAATGGACCTTGAAAATTCAAACGCATGTCTTTAAATATAAAATTTCATGCATGCGACGGCAATTCCTATGCAATTTGATAGATTGTCTAAGAAATCTTAAGCCTACCGTCGTTTATGAGATTCAAGTGGGCTTTAAAAAAAACAAAAACACACGCAATTTGTACACTTGATGACATGTAGACCGTTTATGGCAGACTTTATCTACTTAAACATTATATCTTTAGTATGACTAAGAGGAATTAGGATGAATATTTTATATGGTTCAGTTTTATTTGTCCCTTTTTTTCTAGTGATTTTCAAAATGACACTGTTTTACAGTGGGTGGTTTTTTTTCATTGTGGGAGAAGTGTGATTTAGGTTCTGTTTGTTTCGGTTTAAGATTATTATAATATAGATTATTGAGCCATATTACAATAAGTTGGATTATAATAAACCGACATAGAATAATCTGTTAGTTGTTTGTTTCTACTGGACTGTTGGATACTTTTGGTAAAAAAGATAGGGAAATTCTTGATTATTCAACACCGGATCGTTATTAGCTATTAGCCACCCAATAATTAAAGAAAGCACCTTTAGAGTGGATTACCATATTATAGTAATCTGGCTCATAGATTGTAATAATTATCATAATAAGTTATCTGTTTGTTTCGACTTATTTATAATAATCTAGAATATAATAATCCTAAACTGAATCAAACAAAGTCTTAAAGAGAAGGTCGACGACAACTTCATTTTTACGTTTTCAACAATAACTACAACATGGTACGTGGATATGCACGCACTTAGAAACTCATACAATAATATTAGATTATGTAAACAACTAGACATCGGTGCTAAAATTATCAAATTCAACTAGAAACCCACATGTACAATACCAGAACGAGTCTAGAGGATCTATGCCTAATGATCTTTTTTTATAGAATATATAGGAATATAAAAGCACAAAAAATCAATACACGTGCAAAAACACATATATTTAGGACGTGGGGGAAAATATAACGTGTTGTGTCTGACATAAAATTCGCCGGATATGGATTTTTTAGGCAGATATAAATCTTAATAAAACTATCACTATTGATTATGATAATTTGAAGTTATATAGCTTGATTTGCCTAGACTAGGTGAATGTTTAAATTCCCATGAAATATAGTAGAATCTCCTACGGAATCTAAAAATACAAAATTTCTCCCCTAAAAAGTAAAAACCCTTCATCCAAAGAAGCACTAGACCATTCGCATATTTGTTTAGAGAAAAACTACTTTGAGTTTGCTTTTATTTGGAGGAAGCAACAGGAGCTTTTTTTTTTTTTAGAAAGAGCGGATAATTTATTTATTACCATCCACATTTACATTCCTATTCATATTACAAGGAGGATTTGAGAACCAAAGATAACGCCCCTCCTGTAAAGTAGAAGCAAACTTAGCTAAGTTGTGAGCATCAAAATTACAAGCCCGATTTTCATGACGAAACTCTACTTTTGCAAAATGCTTCCTTTTTGCCTCAGTATCATTTAGGACTGCTAAATATTGGCACCTTGGTTTGGAAGCAACAGGAGCTAAATACACGAGAGGCCTCGCATGGGCTAAAAATCCTTGCCGTCAACGTGGATGGGCCGGCCTTGAAGGCCCATCTAAATGAGGCCAGAGTGGGCCTGTATGGCCCAAATACATCTCGCGAGGCAAGCGAGGCAGCACAGCACTCGACCACTCGCCTCACGGAGCTCACCCTCCCGCGGCGTCTCCTCGGCGGAAGAACCCCGAACCCCCGCGCCGCACGGATCCAAAACCCTAGCTCAGGTCGGCGGGGCTCGCGGCGGCGGAGATGATGCAGCAGCAGCAGCAGCCGCCGCCGCCGCCGCCTCCGCCGCAGCACCCGCCGCCGCCTCAGGCCGGGGGCGGCGGCGGCGGGGAGTTCTACCGGGGCCCGCCGCCGCAGCCGCCGATGCGGCAGCTCTCGGCGGCGTCCTCCACCAACATCCCCGGCGACTACGCCGCGCACCAGGGGCACCCCCCGCCGCAGCAGAACCAGCCGCCGTACGACGGTAACAGTGCCGCTCTTTTGGTAGTTTCGTCGCTGGCTAGGGTTAGGGGCACAGCAGCGGTATTGGTGCGCGTTCTTATGTTATCGTAATTTTGGCTCAATTCAGCTTATGGGGACAATTTCGGTGCTAAAAGGATGCGGAAGCCTGTCCAGCGGCGAACAGTGGACTACACAAGCACAGTCGTCCGTTATGTTCAAGTATAAATATAACAAACTTATTTCTCAAGCAGTTATAGTGATATATGTTTTGTTCTATTTTGTGGGAGCCTATTATACAGTTGAACTTTGCTTACTATATGCTCCTTTTACTGTGCCTGCTGCAAACATCACATGAATATGAAATGCTCATAAGTTGATTTTTCTGTGCAATAAGATCTAGCACCCTGTATTTTTCTTATTCTTCTGCTAGCACTGATCACCATTATGTATATGACATGCAGGCTCGCATGTGGCAGCGGGATGCTAGGGACAGGCCCACTGTGCAGCCGACTCCAGCTGCTGTTCTGGACGTATGTTACCTTACCCATTTGCCTTGCTTGTAACCAACATGTTAAAAGATAGTTGCCATACTGTTTTCTGTTTTTAGACTTTTATACTTCTGACGCTCACATTTCTTTTGTAATTTGGATTTCAACAAACCACTATGTACATTATATTGATGTCCTTTGCAATCTCATGATTGGGAAGATCTTGAATATTCTTGAGTCAAGGTTCTGGTTAAACGGAAATGTTATGCAGTAAAAATGATAGTCTTAGAAAAAGAAAACTATATTGTTGTATGAATGGATTGTTGTATGTGGATTAATCAAACTCCTGTTGCTATCTAGGGAGAGTGCCTATCAGATCCTGTCTTTGGTTGTTGTTTTTGGGCCATTTAGCTTGCTAATTAATGCATAAGTTTTCAGTTTTGCCACAACTATGTAAATCTGTCTGGATGTTATTTATGATATATATGTGAGATAAATCCTCCATGGTACAACGTAAAACTGAGGGTGCTCAATGGATTAAGCTGACAAAATTAGATCTTTAACTCTTCAGTCTTCAGGCAATATTTTACGTAGAACATACTTATGTCTCATTCCTTTTAATTAGCTGAGTGCTGCTATTTTGGTTAAGGGTTTTGGATTGATTACTGGGTAGTGCTGTCATCTTGGACAAAAGATGATTAAGTTTGATGAATTAATTGTTCAGTTTGGATGATTATGAAATTGTCTGTATCTACTGTATTTTGAATACATTGTCTGGTATCTGGATATCCTGATTAATGTGGGTTTTTTTTTTCAGATGTTGCCGTCTGTTGCATACCCCGATAATCCCTCAACAAGTTTTGCTGCAAAATTTGTACATTCATCAATAAACAAGAACCGATGCTCTATTAATCGGGTCTTGGTGAGTTCTATGATATCCATCTCTATGCTTTCCTAGTATCCCAACTGCTATTTTTATATTTTTCAAAGAGCTCCACTAAGCCTTGGCTAGTGCATGGTCACTGAAGGACAGCGATACCTTCAGAATGCTGAAAACTATAGAATCGATCTAACTTCTAGGTGTTCACCACCATTCACCTTATTGCTGAGCTTCCTTTTCTTCTGAAATCTAATTTTATATTTATCTGTAGGCAGCTACTCTTACCATTTTAAATCAAATATATTTGATGGTATATTATATTTTTACTTGTTTTCTACATTTTTTATGGTAGAATTAAGGATTGATGGCAGTACAACTTTAAAATGTCACTTGATAGGCTCACACACTGTTTGAAAAATGTTCCAATTTTTTTACACCAGCTAGTGCAGAGGGTTGATAACTCCATTCCAAGTATCTTTATATTGGTGTAATCTAACTGAATTCGTATATTGTGTACCACGTTGATATTATTAGGCTAAATATGATTTCTCCTTTTGTCATTTATGTGTCTAATGTATCGTTATTTGTTGATAAAGTGGACTCCCACAGGGCGTCGGCTTATTACGGGATCACAGAGTGGTGAATTCACCCTATGGAATGGCCAATCTTTTAATTTTGAAATGATCCTTCAGGTATTCTATAATTTTGCTCCAGATTTTCTAGTAATGTGTCATTGAGTTTGCTGATTTTTGGAGGAATTTGATAATAGGCTCATGACCAAGCTGTAAGATCAATGATTTGGAGTAACAATGAGAACTGGATGGTCACTGGTGATGATGGTGGTGCAATCAAGTATGTTGGCCTTTTGAATTTTTATCACTGTCAGTCTGTCACCCTGTTGGATACTGATCCTTAAGTTAACATGTTGATCTTTTCACTGACATGTCAAGTGCACGTTTTGACTTCCTTTGTAGGTATTGGCAAAGTAACATGAACAATGTTAAAGTTAATAAAACAGCTCACAGAGAATCAGTTCGTGACTTGAGGTGATGGCAGCCCCATGTGCTTTTTTCTTTACTTTACCTATACCAAGTTAATGTTCATTCTCTGTTACAATGCATCTTTTAAACAGCTTTTGTAGAACAGACCTGAAGTTTTGCTCCTGTTCTGATGACACTACTGTGAAGGTTTGGGACTTTGCAAGATGCCAGGAAGAAAGATCCTTAACTGGTAATGTTGTTGTACTTTTCTATGAGCCCGAACTACTTGATCCTCGCATGCATGAAGTTATTGCATGATATCTTATATTATTTTTACCCATCAAGTAACCTGAATTTGCCTTCATACTCAGCCAGGCCATGGTTGGGATGTTAAGAGTGTCGATTGGCACCCTACAAAATCTTTACTGGTTTCAGGTCAGTTATTATGCTTGCTAGTTTAATGAGCTTATTTGTGTAGAGCTAATTCTATTTTTTGTTATTTAGGTGGTAAAGACTATCTCGTGAAACTTTGGGATGCAAAAAGTGGTAGAGAGCTACGTTCATTGTATGTATTGTTTCATCGTTCGTATTACTTTGCTAATGTTGAAAGTCAGCAACACATCAGCACATGATGACCTGATGAGCTATATCTGCAGCCATGGTCATAAAAACATTGTACAATGTGTAAAGTGGAATCAGAATGGGAACTGGGTGTTGACTGCCTCCAAGGATCAGATTATTAAGGTCAATATTTTTTGCTTGTGTACCCTGTTCTGTTCATCCATTCTTTCTGCAAAGTGTTCTGTTTACACTGCTTAGTTTTCTCATCTATTTGACATGCTTGTGCTAGTGAGGTATACCATGGGAATGGGGGGGTTCATACTCAATGTTGATGCAAAATTTTAATGTCCCTAGGACGCATCATCAGAAAAAAAAAAACAGCTATTCAGCATGACTACTTCCTCCGTTTCACTTTATAGACGTTTTGGGTTTTAAATAGATTCATGCATGTCCAAATTCTTACAGCTAGTGAATCTAGACAAGAGATGGAGAGGCCAAAACGTCTTAAATGTGAAACAGAGGGAGTAATAATCAATTATTGAAACAAAGTTTTATTTGGTGGTTGAAACTATTGTCTAGAGAAGAATTACTGCTTTCTCCATAATTAAGTGAATTCAATATAATATTTTCTGTTTTCTTAATAAGACATTATAAGTTCCGTTTGTTTCATATCTACTAAATAAAACACACTATATTGGATAGTTTCTAACTTGCTATTGCTAATGTGTTTTATGCAGCTATATGATATTAGATCCATGAAAGAGCTTGAATCCTTCCGTGGACACAACAAGGATGTGACTGGTTAGATTCTCACTACATAATTTGAATTTTAGGTTCCCTTCCTGGAGTTTAAGATTTGATACATTTTTCATTTTTCAATCAAACAGCAGTTGTAATTTATTTGTTTCATTGCAAATCATGCATTATGGATATCAAACTACTGACTGAAATGTTGCATGGGAAATTGTCATATCCGCCACTCCCTTATTTGCCATGGTTGTTTTGAATAGATAATATACTCAATTTATTTATTTATGCAGCTTTGGCATGGCATCCATTTCATGAAGAATATTTTGTTAGCGGGAGCTATGATGGAGCGATCTTTCATTGGTTGGTTGGGTAAGACATCAGAAATGCAATTAAAATAAAAAAATTCTAGTTGGCATGGTAGTTTCTTTTCCCATTGGAACTTGGGTTTTTGTTTAACTGTGATATTGTAGTGTTAGACCACTCTGGCTTGTGTTTACGATTACTTAAGTTTACTGTGTGCTTAACCTGTCTGATGAATATATTTAGCTTTCAAGTTTCTTCTTGAACTTTTCACTTGTTACATTCTTTTAGAGGAAATACATTTTTTTGTTGGCTACAAATGACTCAATCTGACTAAATTAAAATTTCAATTGATTGGCAGCCATGAAACTCCACAGATAGAGATAAATAACGCACATGACAATAGTGTGTGGGACCTTGCCTGGCATCCTGTTGGTTATCTACTTTGCAGGTACTGCCAGAGTTACAGATACAAAATTCTGAATTTGCAGTTTAGATTTATGCTCGTCTTTTTCTTGAGTTATTTTTATTCTTCTAACCTATAATTGCAGATATGGATATGGAAACATAATTATGTTTACTTATTCCTTATTTCTGCATCTCAATGATTCTAACTGCTATTTCTGTTTCTCCTTTTATCTCATTATGCTGTGCAATGCGTCAGATTTCACTGATACAATTGTCACTTCCGTTCAGTGGGGGCAATGATCATGCTACGCGATTTTGGTGTAGAAATAGGCCTGGTGATCTTACCCGCGATAAATACAACAGCGGACAGATGCAAGGTAGCTTTTCCTTTTGTTGAGCTTCTTTCTTGGTTTATTCAACTTCTTGTTCTATTCATATTACAAAATACCACGAGTCACCACATGCCTTTGATGGATGATTAGTTAGACAATTTGATGGACATCACTTGTTCACTTACTGCACATGTCTCGGTGTTTTTTTTTATTTGGGACCAGACAAGAAATGTTTGATACATATAATAAACTGCTATTATGTTTCAGGTTACGGTGACCAACATCCTGCTTTTGCTGGCCGTGCTATGGGTGGATTCCAGATGCCTGAACCTTCAACAACACCTGGACCATTTAATACTGGATTATCACGAAATGAAGGCACAATTCCTGGCATTGGGGTCGCAATGCCTCTTGATGGATCTGATCATGGAGAGCAGAGGCCATCGATACCTGGCCTTCCACCTGGGCAACCTCCCTTGCCTCCAGGTCCCCATCCATCTCTTCTAGCCGGTGGGCAGCAACAGCAATATCAACAGATGCAGCAGCAGCATCCTCAATTTCCTCGACCACCACCTCCAAATATGCCTCAATTGCAGCCCCCAGCACACATGCTTCCACACGCGCAAGGATCTCGAGCACCACTTCCTCAGCTTCCATCAATGTCAGGTCCACCACCAGTGAATCCACCACTACCACCTATGCCTCACCCAATGGTAATTTAGTATTACCTAAACGTTCTGTTCTCTGCAAGATCTTTTGTTGCAAGTAAAGAAACGTGCTAACAACTGCTAGATTGACAGCTGATATATTGATTTTGATATTTCCACTTTGCAGGCAATGCAAGTACAAGGTTCATCAAACCAGATGATGCCTCAAATGCCACAGCACTTGATTGGCATGAATCAGACACACCAGGGCCCTCCTAGTAATATGCCTCCAATGGGTGGCTTTCCAAATGGAATGGGAAATATTCAAGGTGGATCTAGTGCTTCTGGCATGCAAAACTTTCCTATGGGAGGCATGTACAACAGGCCTCAGGGAAAAATGCCTCCACAAGCACAAGCACAGATGACATCCATCCCTGGTCTGAGCTCATATCAGGTAAAACCAGAACATTACATTTCAATGAGTTTGTTGGACCTTAAGGTGATTTTGTTATATATTTATGTTGCTCACATGCTGAGAATTATTTAGTGACGTTGCTGCTTGTTGGTCAATCTTCGCAGCCGGGTATGGGCAATGTGGGCCTTCCGCCGCCACCCCCACAGCATCCACCGCCTCGCGGTTCAGCGCCGCAATGATCTCTTGTAACTGTGCAATGATGATTGGAAGCCTTCTATTTTCCATGCGGTAAAACATATGTAGTATGATCGTATTCGAGGAAGAGAGGAGTCTCCAGCAAACGGAGACGGATATCTTGGATAATGATAGTTAGGATTGTTCTTATCTCTTGCACCGTCGGCTAGGATACATTTTGCTGCCCTTGGACTGAACGGGCTGTGCTGTAACAAACCTGTCCACCTAACAGCTTGTTTCTGCTCCCTATTTATGCTGCTCGTGTTGTATTAGTTCTTATGCTACTGAGGTTTTCAACATAGACGGAGGCTATCAAGCAGTTTTGTAACAAGTGAGAATCATTTTGCCTGGCCCAGTGAATTTGATTGGTTGACGGCGTACGCTCTATATTGTAAACACTTACACTGTTGTCAGGCAATGCTTGTCCGTGGGTTCATTTGTTAGATCCACTGATCACTTATAAGAGGAAAATTGTTTGAATTTGTAATTTTCACCGAGTAAACTGAGCCAAAGCGTGGTAATTACATGTAAAACGACTCCTTGAGCACATAAAAAGCATATGCCATTGTTATATGCGAGCTTATATCTGCCAACAGCCAAACTTCACACGAAAATTTGCCTGGTTCTTATTATGTAACAGGACTAAAACCAATACCAAGCTAGCGGTGTCACCAACACTACTATACAGAACGGATCAAAGGTTGTACCGAACTACAATCTGGAGAGAAGTTCGTCGGGCGCATCCATGGTGGCTTATAGGCGCTAATGGCATGGTCCAGGTCACCTCTCATCCCCTCAGCTTCATTAAGGTCGTCATTCTCCTTGGCAACCTTCCACGAAAATCCAAAAAGAAATAGCAAAGATTAATACGTGCTTCGCGAAAGAATGTGACACCGCTAACAAGGAAACAACTACATAAAAGGGAATTATAAAATTAATGCGATGAATGTACCTGAACCGGTCGATGAAGGAAAGTTGGAAGAAACCGAACCTTGCAGTACTCATTGAACAAAATGGTTGACACAAGCAAGGGAACCGTGGCGAATGAAGCCCCCGGTTTCGACTTCAGCATTGTAATTTGCATGAGTGTGACCGAAAGGAAGATGTAGCGATGAATATTGGGCCAATATTGTCCACAAGTATCATATGTAATCTCATATACATCTTCCATCTGTTAAAAAGATAGCAAACAAATAATCACTACATAAAATAGAAGGACCAAGGTTGGATGGCATAAAAATGGCTAGACTGAACCATATCCATCCAAGCAATCTGCTGGAGGTCACGTGTAGAAAATTTCTGTATTTTTTAAAATCTATGTAATGCTGCTTTGCAAGTAATGCAAAATTGAATAACTTTAATATGAAGCTTATTTTTAATTTATTAAGAAAAAAGTATTGCCAGCTTAAATCAACTTGAAGTCGCTAAAGAGAAACGCAAATATGAAAAGCAGCAAGTATTATGAATTAAATTTACCTGGTTGATGTACACTGCGTAACCAAGCAAAAAGTAGATAACAAGAATTGGAAGTAGAAGAGGCGCAACAACAGCATAGACCAACCCAATCAATACTGCAAGGGAAACGATGGGCACAACTCTGTAGTAAGGGAAGCCATAAAGATATGGCTGCTCACTATGTCCAATTGAATGTGCCTTGAAGAAATGCCATGTAAGCAAACCAAACTGAAGAACCTCCAAGGAAAACCCTGACATGCCGTCGGTCAAAATGTATGTGATGAAGAAATCTGACTGCAAAGCAAGCAAATGGATAAATTGAATGGCTGCTGTGGAACATAGATACAGTACAACCTTTTTTTTTCTTTGCTTTACCTGTGCAGAAACAGCACGGGCCAGACGGCTAGGTATGTCTTTTGGATGTGTAAAGGATTCTCCTATCTGGTGGAGTAGAGAACCAGAAAGAATGCTCAAAAAGAAAACATTCCCTAACAAGAAGTAAAATACCATGTTGCAGGCCTTGATTTCCTTCTGACTTTTTGCAATGCATCCCTCAAATGATGCCATGCCAAGCATCGCGAAGGGAATCAAGTAGATAAAGCCATTCAAGATCATGCTTGGAAGATACCCAGTTACGACAGAATTCAAACCTGGTCTGCAAGATGACAAAAGTATCATATAAATCAATGTTGTTATACCACGGTACTACATGCTAACATTGCCTACTGCATCACAATATATTAAAGTTTTGGCCACTAACATAAGTTCCACAGCTCTAGCCGGTGGAAACCATATTTTAATTTTCTCAAATTGTACTATCCCTTGCACAGCTGTGACAGGGATGGTGAAGAACACTATTAGCAGAAACGCAGCAATGAAGACACCAAGTTTGTATATAGCAATACGGCAGAAAGGAATAGCCAGATTTGTCCATAGTGCATCAGGTGGTTCAGGAGCATATGTTGTCACCAAGGACAGAGGATTGACATGCTGTTGCATTTCGGCAGCTTGGGCAGCATCCAGCTGTGATTTGAATGAGACAAAAGCAACCGGTAATTCCTGGAGTTGAAAGCAAAATTAGTATGTGATACAAATAATTCTCAATATAAATAGGTGCCTTCATTCTCTCTGTTTCGCAACACCAACATTGAAGATACTATTGGCACAAGCAAGTGGATTGGAGAATACATGAGAATGCAATACCTTCCGTTTAAGCATATTTTCACACTGTAGGAGGCGGATAGAGTGATGGACGTTCTTCAGTTTTTCTTCCAGTTTGCGAGTATCTATCGCTTCTAATGTCAACTTAAACCAGATCCACTTCCAAAAGTTACATCTTCTGGTTTCTCTTTTCCTCTTTATCTTGTCCTCAAGGGAGGATGCCAACTTCTGTAATGATGCAAAGGCACATTAATAGTGTAGTAATAGTCACTTAAGTATGGCACAGATTACAACTTCTACCTCAATGTATTAATTACTCACCTGAAGTGCCTTGATGTTTCCAATGTCGTGTACTATGTGATACGATTGGTATGTTCGGTAGTGCTTTGAGAAGAAGTGGTCAGCATAACACCCATAAGTTCCATGATCTGGGCATAGTGGAATTCCTCGAACTAAAATGGTATATTGGTCAGGCCGTTTCCTGTGATACTTCAAATGTGCAATTCTTCTGCTGGACATTTCTTTGTGCTCCTGGTTCAATTCAAGATGCCAGTGCCACATATGTATTGAACAGCATAGTTATGTAATAGTTGAAACGAAATCAAGAATACTTGCTTAGGAATAGGATAGTAAATAAAAAATAGCAAAATATTTTCAAATGGTGGGTGATCAAAATTTCAACATCAATTTTCACAACTGAACAGGGGAGAAAACACAACAGGATCAATTGTAAGATTGTAACAATTGGATCAATTGTAAGATTTTTATAAACACGTACCTTATGAAGCAAATACACCACATAGAATGATATGAAGCAGAGGCATGCAAAATGCACCCAAAGCCTGTTGTGACAAAGAACTAACTCAGTTAAGAGATTGGCACCATGCTGATTGCTAGGCAATACTTATCTGATGAACTTTCAACTCCTATGTACTATCATTAACACTCTGTAGTCTATCAGCTTAAACAAGATATGCCAGTGTCCCTTGTGAAAACTTGTATTGAAAGCAAAACAGCTTGCTCTATTGGAGAAAACTACTCATTTAAATTGGAAATTATAACCAGAGAGCAATTCATGAACGTTTGATTCACAAGAATGGGTTTCCTCCACTGATCTCTGAAACACTAGCATTTTCGACCTGACTACTCTGACTCTGAAGAATACCTGGAGAGGAGGGTGAAAGGAAGCTGCAGAATAGCTAACCTGTTAGAACCCCTTGCCACATTGGATACCGTGAAAAGTTCCATTGAATTTGACCTTTTGGTGTCTTGTAGACCTTCACAGGAATAATTTGTTGGTGCAAGGATGAACAATCCAACGATTGAGCAAACAGCGAAGCACTTGATCCTACATTCTTACAAAGAAATTAGTAAAATACTCCTATTGAGAGAGCAAGCAGAGTAACATTAGCAATTTTCTCAGAGTAGATGCAGATCAGTAGAACACATTCTTACCCGAATTTGAAGAGGCGGACGACGACGAGCGCGTCGAGGCCGTGGCGCCGCAGCACGTCGTCCTCGGAGAGCCGGAGCGCGGCGCGGATCCACCGGAACGACGGGGTCAACCGCCCGTGGCCGAGCGGCAGCCCGCCCCCACCGCCACCGGCGGCCATCCGCCGCGCAAGGTACACCGGCGCGTTGCCGGGCTGCTTCTTGAGCAAGGAGAAGAGCGAGAGCGCCACCAGCGCCAGGCCCAGGTTGATCGCCGCCGACGCCAGCAACCCCTCCGCGTCCATCCCCGCCGCAACCTCCGCCGCCTCGACAACCCCGCGGCGGCATCGCCTCTACCACGGAAACTAGTAGATCGCCGGTGTGCTGGCCGGAGCCGGCGACGTGGCGGCCGGAGGAGAGCCGGGGGTGAAACGTGGCGCGGCTCGAGCTCGACACGTGCGGCTCGCGCTCAAATGGCTCGGCCCACTCACCATCATGGGCCAAGGCCCATCTCACCCCGGGTCGGCTCGGCTCGGCTCGTGTTGCGACGCGGCTCGGCTTTAGCCGCGGATTTGTGTGGGCACAGAGGCGATAGGCCACCATCGGAGAAGGAGAGGTCGCCGAGGAAGAGGAGGAGGAGGGATGGCGGCGGCTGCGGCGGAGGGCGCGGCGGCGAAGGCGCTGCGGGCGGTGCTGGGGCGCGCGGCGAAGGCGGCGGAGCGGTCGGGGCGCGCGGCGGAGGCGGTGCGGGTGGTGGCGGTGGGGAAGACGAAGCCGGTGTCGATGGTGCGGGAGCTCTACGACGCCGGCCACCGCTGCTTCGGCGAGAACTACGTCCAGGAGTTCGTCACCAAGGCGCCGCAGGTTCGGAGTTTGATTTTCTTCGTGGATTTGCGGAATCCGCCATTTGGAAACGACTTGACTTGTGGCTGATTGATTCTGCCATTGTTGCAGCTTCCAGAAGATATCCGGTGGCATTTCATCGGCCACCTGCAGAGTAACAAGGTGAAATCACTGTTAGGTATGGTTAATTTCTTGACTTCTACTAGTTTTCTAACCAATTCCCATCATGCAGTATCGGTTCGTACTGAAGAACACATATCACATGGATAACCTGCCATTTTTCTTCAATATATCTATTTTAGAGAGAGGGAAAAGTAACAGTTATATAATGGTTAACTGATGATAGAGTTCACTACCTTAAAATGATGATTGGTGATGCAAAACTCCTACACTCACTGATGTTTTCGTCCAAGTGCCGATGTGCAGAATATAGTGTAGTAACAAGAACATCAATACATTCTAATAAACTCTTTTATCTCGTGATAATGTTCAAGCCGCCATCGTCTATGCTACTCCCCTGATACTTTCAAAGAAAAATGTTTCTGTAAAAAGGTTGAGATTACATTGTAACCATCATCACATTATAGATTTATAGTCCAGTATCCACTCTCCAGTGAACTGAGTTGTCAGTCTCTTCACTCGAGCTTCAAATGCATATTCTAGCATGCTTATTAGGCTAAAACACTAGTATTAACTCCTACCTTTTTTCAAAATGATGGTTGAAATGAACCTCTACGTGTCCCTCGGTAAGTGCAGCCTGTACACAGGGACTTAGGTCCATAAGGAACTAACCATTACAGGACATATGTTGCTCTGTCTTAATACCTCTTATTCTGTTCTGCAGCTGCTGTTCCAAATCTTCACATGGTTGAGGGTGTAGATAATGTAAAGGTAAGCAGCTTAAGCTCCGAACACTTTTAAGGGTTCAGTTCATTATAAATTACACCACACTAGTATATTGCAGCATGCTTATCTCTTTTTTTTTCCCAATAATGCTTTGATGCTTATCTGCTCCTTGTGATGATATTATATGGATATGCCAATTGATACATGATGTTGACATACTTTCAGATTGCTAACCACCTTGATCGTGCTGTTAGTAGCTTGGGAAGGGATCCTTTGAAAGTTTTGGTACAAGTAAACACTAGTGGAGAAGAATGTGAGTACAGAAAAAAAAAACGAAAATCTTGAAAATCCCTATCTTGAAGACCTATGGAATCTCATTTCCTGTTTAGCTTGATCTAATAGCATAGTTTTAGTTTTCTGGCATATCATTTGACATGTTTAAAGTCATCATCGGTTAAACTAATCTGACATCATTACAGTCATACCATTACATCAGAAAGTGCAGTGTAATGTATTGTATCTGACTTTCATGGTAGCAATGAATTTAACAAGGAAATATTTTCATTTATTCAGCAAAATCTGGTATTGATCCCTCCAGATGCGTCGAGCTTGCCAAGCATGTGAAGTTAGCATGCCCACACCTAATATTTTCAGGTCTCATGACAATAGGAATGAAAGACTACTCCTCAACACCAGAAAATTTTAAGGTGGGTTTCCATTATAATATCATCTCAAATGTAGCTCTGCATTTCACTTTCCATAAGATGTGTTATCTGAATACAGGCACTGGTAAATTGTAAACTTGAAGTTTGTAAGGCCATTGATATGCCGGCAGAACAGTTTGAACTCTCCATGGGAATGTCTGGTGACTTTGAGCAAGCGGTAAGAAATACTTTTCATTCATGTAATCGTGTCTATAGGTGAATATCAAATCAAAGTCACGAAATTAGGTTCAGAGTTCCCTGTTTGATCCTTTAGCTAAGCAGTTTTGATTTTCATCATTATGTTGGTTTTATTCAGATAGAGATGGGTAGCACAAGTGTGAGGATTGGGTCAACTATTTTTGGACCAAGGGAGTATCCAAACAAAAAGAATTGAAGCTATGTACATTGTACTCCTGACTCCATGTAAATGTGAATGTGAAACCTGATGTTTATAGATGTATAACTGAATGTGAAACCTGATGTTTATAGATGTATAACTCCAAAGAGCATATCAAAAGGAAAATTTTAGACATCACCAGAAATGGCAGTCCATGCCCTAATGGGAAGATCTTTTCCTTGAAAAACCCTGTTTGTGATTAATCTGATTTCGTACTATTAACGTGCAACTTTTTTGTCTTTGTACTACCTATGTAAAGCACTGTAAATTTGAGGCTCTTTTAGACTTTAGTACTTTTGATTGTTTCACGAACCATGGCTTTGAATTCTTTTACTGCACGTGTACAGATGTACATGTACTACTGCTCAACCGTACTTTTCAAGTTGCATTCATTTGGCCATTTAGGCCCAGATAATCTTAAGTTAAATCAACAGAACATGGCTCAGATCAGTTAATTAACAGGCCAAGTTTTCACTACCCAATAAACAAGGCCAGTTAACTTACATAGCCAGTTTACTACAGATCTTCATAGCATACTATGTCACATACAATAAGATTACTTGGCTGCTAAATTCTTGGACTTACTAATCGGTTTCCCATTTTCAAGTTTTAACAATGCAAAAGTGCCTAACTGTCATGCGGTGAGTCTCCCTGATTCAATATACGCATTACATACTTGACGATGATGTATACTGGCAGCAAAAGATTTAGCTGTTATTTACTGCAAGAGCTGATGATAACCAACAATGGTCATGCAAGAGCTATTATTTACTGCAAGAGCTGCTGATGATGATGATGAACGCACGGACGGGAGGCGGCCATGGCGTGATGTGATCGTCGTCGTCGAACCGGATTCTAGCGGGAAGGAGGAAGACGAAATAGGCCGATACGAAATTTGGGCTTGGATGTGTGGGAGCTGAAAGTCACTTGGGCCATCAGCCATCATGGCCCATACCACTAGCTCGCCTCTCGTCTCCGCGTCACTGAAATTCCCCACCCACGCATCGCACCGCACGTCGCCGCGCCGCCGCCGCCGGCGGGCTGCCCTCCCCTTCTCCGTCTCCGTCCCCGTATCCGGCCATCCTCCCCATCCATCCGCCGTGCTGCTGCCTGCTATAGCGCCCCTAGGCCGGCAGCCCGCCAAACGCTGCCCCAGCCACGCAGCCAGCCGGCTAGCCAACTTCGCTCCCGGCGACAGGGCCGCAGCGGGTCACCTACACCTCCCTCTCGCTCTTATCCGTTGCATACTTTGTTCTGCATCTCGTCTGATCGATCTTGTCCTTTTTTTTCATCTTTCTTTCAGTTGCAGGTTGCTTCTTCAATGGCAGGTTCGGAGGATTTGAGCGGTTTGACAGCTTCCCTTGGAGAGTTACACGTTGAATCATCAGCTCTGAAGGACAGTGAAATTTCTCATCCTGGTTCGTGTCGCTGCACATGCTGCTATGTATTTATATATTTGAACTGCTTATAAAGCAGCCTGCTATGTTCAAATGGTGGTTGTGTTTGTTGATAATACAAAGCAAAGGAACTAGAACTCTAGAAGTATGTCATGTTACAATAAAGTTGATTTGCGTGTGTTTTGTTCAGGCAATGCGTTTGATGATGATGCTATCGCTGATGATGATGTATGGGATGATGTTTCGGATTCTCCTGGTCATGGATCCACATTAGACAGAGAGTGGGCTCACAGGCAGAACCAGTTTCATAAGGTATGACCAAAGGCATCAATTGGATTATGGGAACTTTGCCCTATTCCTACAGGAATCTGTGAAATTCTTGTGTTCCATGTAAATCATCTTTTCTGCAATATATTTATTTAGTTATGAATTGTGAACTCATGTTTGAACCAGAATGTGTAAAGCTTTCCATTTTTCTTTAGATGGGATACAGGGATGGTATAGCTGAAGGACAGAAGGACATTGCCCAAGAGGGCTTCAATGTTGGGTTTGGGCAATCTGTGCATGTTGGCTATAAGTGGGGACTTGTTCGTGGGATTACCAGGTAAAAAAGGATATGTCATTCCAAGTGTAGTTCTTGTACACAGCTTCTTGTAGCATTCTAATTAATTTGGTTTTCTGTTTATTGTCCTTAAAACAGTGCATTAGCTAGTCTCCCAGACAACTTGAAGGAAAAGATGTTCCCCAATGTCCAGTGCAGAGGACAACTCCAAGATCTGAATAATTCTGTGCAAGAAATTTCAGCAGAAGACGCACTTCAGATGTTTCATGAGAGCATTCTTCGGAGTAGCCATTCATCAGAGGAACCAGATGCAACATTAAAGAGAGCTACAGATTCCAGTAGGTTGCAAAGCCTCTCAAAGGATCTTGTGATTTTGTTGCATGAATGCCCAGATGTGAAAGTTAGTGAAGAATTGACAGGAGATTCATAAACAAGTTGGCGGAATTGTGAGCACTACCAATCCTATGTCTGGCCTAGTTGCTACTTGTGTCGAATTTCAGTTTGCTGAACATTGAGGAAGATGGTGATTCAGGGGTGTTGTTGGAGATGGAAGCGATTCAATTCCTTGATCTCGCAACCCTGATTTGCTGTTTCAAACTCAGAAGGCTTAATTAAGCCTCAAAGACCAAGAAATTATTAAGAATGTAATTGTAAATCTTGTAACTAAGGTTTCATTGATCATATAAGCCTTTCCTTTTCCTGCTAGATATAACCGGTTTTGTATCTCTAACTCGCAGTATGCACACACACATTTCACTAGAACTTTGGCAGATGCTAAGATGATAACTTCCTGAATATCTTCTGCAGAAAGTCTGATGTATGACAGTTGCATTGTAACTTTGCATCTTCTGGTTCCAGGAAGTGTTACTTTTTTTATCAATTGAGAAGGTTCGAGCCACTCCTGAATGTTGCTACTGCCCTACTTATGTAATGTTGAATGTTGATATGGTGAATGGTCCTTGGTAATTTCAGTTTGACAGCTCATGTCAGTAAGTGGCCCGCTTATATTACATGTGGTTGGTGCGATTGGTGCATCAAGCTCAGCACCTCTTTTCGACATGTACCAGGTTGGTGAGAACATCAACACTTCTATCCGTTGCATGTTGTGAGTGTTGGTTTCCAATATTAATACCATTCATTCATGAATATACATGATTGATCTGGTTGGAGCGTTCATTGATATTTTATACAGTACCGTTATCTTGAATCTGAACTGTGAATGTCTTCCTTGGGTCTTTTGCTTGGTTGCTCCTGACTCAGTTGAATGAAATACTCCTGAGTCCTGACATGCCAATCGGCTGATTGGCACTTCTGACGGTACATGTTATTCTGAATAGATTCAGTTTATTGGATTGGAGTTTTTTTTTTTTTTTACCCAATCCAGTCGTTAAATTTACATCAGAACCTATGCACCAAATGACCAGGCAACAGAGTTTTTCCTTCCCTGTTACTTGTTACATGACATGTATTCAGGTTACATACTCGCATATCAATTCTGATTTCTTGTTCCCAGCAAGTTTGGCACCGTCTTATTGTCAACACACTTGCACAGAGACTGCTGTCACATATCCAATTCTGATTTCTAGTTCCCAGCAAGTTCAGGCCCATCACTTTACTATAGCTCCTAGTGGTATTCTGAAAAGCAACTTAAACTTGCCATCACATGTCAGTCAAGTTAGTCACAGCTCAGAACTTATTGGAAATAAGGAATGGACATAACTTATTAAGATGGAGAAAGATATGCATCTTTTGTTAGTGATTACAGGAAATATAGGAAAAATTGAATCGATAATAATAGCTCTGTACTCATAGATAATCAAGTCATGCTATTGTAGGGAGAACAAACGCTGTCAATAAGAGTTTTATTGATCTTTGCCCAAGGAATACATCCCAACACTCTTGCCACTTCGCAAGTCTCGTACACTTACTATTATTGATCACTACTAATATATCGACAAGAGCACACGAGACTTAAATGTACATGCCCTAATGTACTACACTAATCAACTCATTGTGCTCCATAAAGCTCAACTACCAGATCGAGATCTCATCACCTCAGTGATATTAAGCAGCTCTATCCTTGTCGAGCAGGTCTCTGGCACTAATATTGCAGTGACCACTGAGTTAGAACCTCGAGATGGTGATTAGTTCCAGCTAAAGTGCAAGGCCTACAAAAGCGCGTAAAAGATCAATCAATCATCAATCATATGCAAAAAATTAGAAGCACAAATTCTGCCTCCAGAAGAATTTTTACCCTATTGCTCTTTGTTCTTACCTCTAAGAGTAGTCATCTGCATGGTTGCGAAGACTTTGTAAGTGTGATGCTTTTCTTATCATCATCCTGTTGAACAGTTTCAAAGGCCTGGACAAGCATCTCAACTTTCCTCTTCTGAGCGCGGGCTAATTTGTTCACTGCCCTCCTAAGCGCATAATCAACCATCCATTCCTCGGCATTCTTCCGATCACCCATCATCTGATGCCTGAGATCAACCTTTTCAGCCTCTGGATCAGGCTCCACCGGGAGGAAATTGGGAGCCCTGGGATTAAAGAGGCGCATTTTCTCCCCCTGCTCAGATGTTGTCCTCTTAGCAATGTTCCACCTTTTTCTCTGACTGCTTGCTGCACCAGTGGGATCAGGACATGCATCTTTGAAGTTCATTCCACCGAATGCGGAGGATATGTCATCAATTGAAGATCCATTTGAAGCATCGACACCACCATCTGCAGAATTATCCCATTGTTCATCGTCAATTTACAGTGGTTTCAGGATTTCAGAATGTATATGAGATTTAGCATCAACTGAAGCAATTTGAGAAAAGAAATTTCACCTTCATATTTTGCATCCAGCTCCTCTGAAATGTCTGACTTGCAGGCATCAAAGTCCTCTGCTTCTTGATCCAGGTAAATCCCCTTCCCTCCATCGATTTCTTGTTTGCCGCCGCGAGATTTCGTCACGAACAAATCGACCGAACCACCCGAGATCACATCACTGGATCCGCAAGAACCGTCCACTGAACCATCCGAATCCCGCGCCTTGTCCTCGTCATCCCCGCGACTCCGATGATCGAACACGGCATACTCCCCCTCCCTGACCGCGGCGTCATTGTCTTCCGTGGAGAGATCACTGCAGCTCGCGCCCGAGCTCACCGTCGGTGCGGCTGCGGCGGCGGCGCCGGAGTATATCTCGACGAAGAAGCCATCGGCGGCGCCGCCGCCGTTGCTGGGCTTGCGGAACGGGGACGCGCCCTTGAGCTTCATGCTCTGCTGCGTCTTGATCAGCCGCCTCCGCGATGCCACGAGGGTTCTGAGGGGAACCACGTCCGCGTCGGCGGCGTGGCATTTGAACGAGCAGTAGGAGTACGGGCAGGCGTGCGCCGCCCCGCCGCGGAGCCCGAGCCCGCGCCCGAGCCCCCTCATGGCGGAGGAGCACGTCGCCCTGCTCACGAACGGACCACCCCCGTCGGCGAGCACCATCGCCTTCCCTCTCGCCGCGCCCCGCTCCCTCCGCGGCGGCGCGCCGGTGGCCGCCGCCGCCTCCCGCCCTCCACCCCTCGCGTCCGAGCTGCTCGTCGCCCTCATGTAGTTCGGGAGCGCCGTCCGCACAATGGCGCCACCGCGCGCGTGATCCGCCGGCAACCCGTCGTTGGAACCAAGTTGAGAATCTTTGGGCTTCTTGCGCGCTTGCTTCCTCTGCACCATGGCTTTCTTCTCGCGGTTTCTTGGAGTCCCTCCCGGAGGCGGCAAGGAAAGGAGGTGAATCTGGCGAGATGGCAATGGCGATGGCGATGGTCGGCGGCGCGGCGGGGCGAGCGGATCGATGGTTTTGGAATCGTCGAGGAGGAGGGGTTTGGATTGGGAGGTGGCGGAGATTTTGAATGGGCGGCGGAGTTGGAAGTATCCTTTGCGGCTGGAGATTCTGTGAACCCCTCCTAGTGGAGGAGTATACTTCTTCTTCCTCTGTTTTCGGGCTTTGCTGTGTGCGGCTCCGTGGCACGAGGGTGAATATATATAAAAGTTTGTTGCACTACTCTACTCTCTTGGGATGGTTTGACTTAGGCTTTCGCCGTGTTTAGGTTCAATTTTTTTAAAAAAAAATTTCAATTTTTCCGTCAAATCAAATATCTGTACACATATATGGAGCATTAAATATATACGAAAAAAACTAATCACACAATTTGCATGGAAATCACGAGACGAATCTTTTGAGCCTAATTATACCATGATTTGACAATGTGATGCTACAGTAAATATTTGCTAATGACGGATTAATTAGGCTTAATAAATTTGTCTCGCAATTTACAGGCGGAATATGTAATTTGTTTTGTTATTAGTTTATGTTTAATACTTAAAATGTGTGTCCGTATATTTAAAAAAAATTAGCACACGAACTAAACACAGCTTTTATTTAGTTCTCAAAACAAAAACTTTTCACCCATCACATCGAATGTTTGGACACATGCATGGAGTATTAAATGTGGGAAAAAAATTACACGGTTTGTGTGTAAATTGCGAGACGAATCTTTTAAGCCTAATTGCGCCATGATTTGACAATGCGGTGTTATAGTAAATATTTACTAATGATGAATTAATTAGGCTTAATAAATTCGTCTCGCAGTTTCCTAACGAAATCTGTAATTTATTTTGTTATTAGACTACGTTTAATACTTCAGATGTATGTCCGAATATCCGATGTGATAACTAAATCCAAAAATTTTCCTCAACTAAACAAGGACTTAAATATGTGGTTTTCTTTTGCTACTAGGAGTAGCTAATTAAAACTTGGGTATTTGGATAAAAAACTAGAGATAGGATGAGGATGAGGATGAGGATACTCTATTCTAAAAGAGTGTAGTTTTAGAGTGAACCAATAGTACAAAGTATTTATTTATACGATAAACTGGCAGAAATTATAATTTAGGTTTATTTGGTGGGCATATTTTGCTAGAGTATTTTAATGTAGTATGTTAAAATTGTGCTTATTAATTGTGAAAGCATTTTCACACTTAATAGCTGCCAACACAATGAATTGGATAATATGGATGGACATCCAGGAGTAGATATGTGGATATAATAGCAGAAAATAATGCATTCCCATTAGAAGAAAACATTTCATTACTTTTGCATTTATATTCTTTGCAACTAAAGAAGATGGTAATGAGTGTTTCATAAACCCTTGGATTAGCTGCTCATAAGTGCCATTCTCGTTTGAGAAAAATACATATACTAGTAGTAGATAATAGTACTTCTAGAACAATAATAAATCTAAGATAATGGTGTTAAATTTTCACCTAGTAGTAGAGCGCTATAAATGTGGAATCTGCAAGCCGATGAAGGGAGAGTAGCCCACAGAGAATCACGCGGGCCACGTGATGACGCGCGTCGCTCTCACCCACTCCAAACTCCCAAACCGTTTTATCCGAATTGAATACTACCCGATCTCACCGGCGCACGCACGGGCTGACTCGGGACGACGCCATCTCATCTGCATCTGCCGATCCGGCCGTAGCGTCGTCCGACCATCACGGAGACAGCAAAACGGCCACGAGAGGAGCAGGGGCTGTTTGGTTTACAGGGACTTATTCTAAGTACCTATCACATTTAGATATTAATTTAGAGTATTAAACATATACTAATTACAAAACTCATTCCATAAGCTTGGACTAATTCGTGAGACGAATCTTTTGAGTCTAATTATGCCATGATTTTGACAATGTGATGCTACAGTTAACTTTTGATAATTATGGATTAATTAGGCTTAAAAAATTCGTCTCGCTGATTAGCTCTCATTTATAAAATTAGTTTTTTATTAGTCAATATTTAATACTCTAAATTAGCGTCCAAACATCCGATGTGATATGGGCTAAAAAGTTTTAGCCCCATCTAAACACCCCTGGCGTTGCTCGTGGGGCAAGCCTAATGGGCGGCCGTCCCCCTACTCCCCCCTCTCTCTCCCCTCTTCCTCATCCCCTTCTACTCTTCTGACTACAGGAAACCATAAAAAAAATTTTAAAAACAAAAAGTTAGAAAAATTTATATATAGAAATACTATATATAAAAAAATTGAATTCAAATTCAAATTTGAATCGGGTATGTAAACTTTTGACTTATAAACTTTGGGTCTATAAACTTTAGGTGTATAAACTTTAGATGTATAGAAATACTATATATAGAAAATATTTGAATTCAAATTCAAATTTGAATCGGATATAATTCAAATACAAATTTGAATCGGGTATGTAAACTTTTTACTTATAAACTTTGGATCTATAAATTTTAGGTGTATAAACTTTAGATGTATAGAAATACTATATATGAAAAATATTTGAATTCAAATTCAAATTTGAATCGGATATAATTCAAATTCAAATTTGAAACGGGTATATAAACTTTTGACTTATAAACTTTAGGTCTATAAACTTTAGATGTATAGAAATACTATAAAAAATATTTAAATTCAAATTTAAATTTGAATCGGATATATAAACTTTGTGTCTATAAACTTTAGGGGTGTGTTTGGATAATGGGAAATGAGAAGTGGGATTGGAATTGGGAAATGAATGAAGGGTTAGGATTAAATGGATGAGGGAGAATGAATGGTTAGGATTTAAAGATGGGTGGGAAATCATTTCCCTTGGACATTTGCCAAACACTGCCTTGTATAAACTTTAGGTGCATAAATATATTAAAATAGGAAAGTAATGCGGTGCTAAAAAAAGTAAACGTGGAGGGAGGGAGGAGGGAGAGGTGGTGATCGCTACCCGATCGCGGTAGCGATCGATCGCGCATTAGACTTGTACTCCTAACGGGTGGGTGATCGCTCCCTCCCCCCTCCCAAGCGATCACCCGCCCCTCCCCTTTACTACTTTACCTCCCCTTCTTCTCTTACTACTATACCATACAAATTTGAATTAAAATTCAAATTTAAAATAGGTATGTAAACTTTTTACTTATAAACTTTGGTTCTATAAACTAATATTTGAATTCAAATTCAAATTTGAAACGGGTATGTAAACTTTTGACCTATAAACTTTAGGTCTATAGACTGATATTTGAATTTAAATTCAAATTTGAATTGGGTATGTAAACTTTTGACTTATAAACTTTGGGTCTATAAACTTTAGGTGTATAAACTTTAGGTGTATAGAAATACTATATATAGAAAATATTTGAATTTAAATTCAAATTTGAACGGATATAATTCAAATTCAAATTTGAATCGGGTATGTAAACTTTTGACTTCTAAACTTTGGGTCTATAAACTTTAGGTGTATAAACTTTAGATGCATAAAAATACTATATATAGAAAATATTTGAATTCAAATTCAAATTTGAATCCCGATATAATTCAAATTCAAATTTGAATCGGGCATGTAAAGTTTTGACTTATAAACTTTGGGTCTATAAACTTCAGGTCTATAAACTTTAGATGTATAGAAATACTATATGTAAAAAAAATTTGAATTCAAATTCGAATTTGAATCGGATATATAAACTTTTGACTTATAAACTTTTGGTCTCTAAACTTTAGATGTGTAAACTTGAGGTGTATAAACTTTAGATGTGTAAACTTGAGGTGTATAAACTTTAGGTGCATAAATTTACTAAAATAGAAAAGTAATGCGGTGCCAAAAAAGAAAACCAGGTGGAGGGAGGGAGGGGGAAGGGGGATTGATCGCTACCCTTTCGCCGGGCGATCGATCGCCCATTAGCACTTCCGTTTACTCATGGGGCCTCCTCATGGTAGACAGATTTCCAGGTCCGGCCACACAGTGCAGAGAGTGGGTTTCTTAAATTTTTTACCCTGGTAAACAGATATATACTTCTTCATCTACTATGTAAAATATAAGAAATTTTGGTTGAATACGACACATCTTAACACTACGATCTAAATTCATAAATTCATAGTACTTATATTTTGGGACGAAGCGAGTATAAATCAAAACATACTGTTTGCTGTGCCGGTTATCGTTCTGAATCATCCAACTGTTCCTTCAGAAACAGTCACAGGGCAAGCTCAATTCTTGTGCCTGAGCATTGAGAATGTAGTAGCATTTGTCCATATGGAAGAACGACAATGGCACTGATCTCATTGGTGATCATCTTTTTGTTCGTTGGCACGTACAGGGCCGGAATAATCGTTAACTGTACTATCAATCAACTTCGTTAACTATTATGCAAGTCGGTACTACTACTACTACTACTACTACTTAAAAGGCTAGCTTAATTAATTAGACAGTGTACTTAAGATGGGAGAAGATTGATTGATTGCCTCGGTGAATCAGAAGTTGACAGCCCTAATAGCTACTACTAGTACTACAAGAATATTCTTATTCGTAAACATAACCCTGGACTAATGGTTAACTGGTAGTACTAGTAAATTATGGGGTTTGTTATGGGTTTGTTCATTTGGTTGCCTGCAATATTGTGCAGCTTAGCTTAATTGGCTTGACAGTTTAGCCTTGATGCCTCAGCAAGTAAGCAACGTGACGGGGTTAATTAAAGGCTAGCATAGGGAACAAGGAAAACATCAGCATCGTCGATCTTACCGTGTGACGCAACCGCACGCCGCTATGTCGATCGATCGAGACCAATGCCAGAACAAACAAGGAGTAGAAGAAAAGTGAAAGAATAATAACAAGAGGAAAAAAAAAGAAAAACGAGTTTGTTCGCACGGGAAGTGAGCCTTTCGAAGCCGGTTTTTAATGATGGTAGATATACAAATTTCTCTCCTCCACCGCCTCCTCGCAGGCATTCCTGCACCTTTCCAACGACGAGGAAAGGGAGAAAAAGGAGGAAGGAAGAGAAGAGGGGAAATAGAGGGGTGATGACGTGGGCCTTCATGTAATTTTTAAAATTTTTAACCAACACTCGCTGACATGTGGGTCCTATTGCTTTTTCTATTTTAAGTGTCATATCAATGCTACGTAGACGCCACGTCAATCGAAACTGTCGTTCAGACCACCTTGAGATCTTATTTGCACTAGGTTTGGAAATTGAGGGTGGGATGTATTTCAGACTAAGCGACAAATTAAGGGATATCAAGTTAACCTACTGCGTAGTTCGGCCCGCACGTTCGTGTCAATCCCGCTAGGCCCAAATTTAGGCCCATTTCGTTCGTTGGATCATGTTCCGGGCCATCATAAATTGGGCTTGATAGTTTGCACAGAAAAAAGTACACCGAAGGTCCCTCAACTTGTCATCGAGTTACAAAATCGTCCTCCAACCACAAAACCAGATATCTGGTATCCCTTAACTAATTAAAACCGATCACAATATATCCTTGGATAGTTTTAACCCTAGTTTTGTCCTACGTAGCAGCTGAATCAGCATGGACCCACATGTCAGGGTGCCATGTCATCTCTCTTCCTTTCTCCTCTCTCTCTCTCACTCTTCTCTCCTGTTGCAAGCCGACCGGCAGCGAACACGGTGGCACCGGTGGTGCTGCAGGGGGCACACGGCGGAGGTGGGCGGCGCTGGTGCCGAGGAGGAGGAGGAGGAGGTCGTGGCGCTGTCGTCATCATCGTCCTCGGCGCCGGGGAAGAAGGTGGGCGCGGCGGCGGCGGCGGCGGAGGCTAGGGGGTTTGCCGCGGCTGGTGCGGTACGAGGTGCTGGTGCTCGTGCTGCAGTTTTTGTACAGCAGGCAGGCGTCGGTGGCGGCGCCCAAGAGCGGGCAGCTCCCGGGGTGCGGCGCCCGGGGTTGCTGGCACATGCGGTGCGGCGCTGCCGTCGACCTCGCCCTCGACACGCTCGCCGCCGCGCGCTCCTTCGGCGTCGAGCAGCTCGCCCTGCTGGTTCAGGTACTGCGAAAAATTCAGGAACACGACGTAGTGCACGCGTATGCATCCTGCAGCTGCAGATAATCAAAATTCTTCTTCCATCCTTGCAATTCGATCTTGGGATCTGCTGCTAACACTGGATATTGATTAAGAGTACATGATGGTAGTTAGGTTGGCATGATTGGAGAATCTTTTTTGGTGACATTAAGGAGTCAGCAGAAGCAATGTTCAGCTTTCCATCCACACCAGCCGCGGCAACCCCCTAGCCTCTGCTCGACTCCGAAGGAGCGCGCGGCGGCGAGCAGGTCGACGGCGGCACCGCACCGCGTGTGCCAGCAACCCCGGGCGCGGCACCCCGGGAGCGGCCTGCTCTTGGGCGCCGCCACCGACACCTGCCCGCTGTACAGAAACTGCAGCACGAGCACCAGCACCTCATACCGAACCAGCCGCGGCAACCCCCTAGCCTCCTCCACCGCCGCGCCCAACTTCTTCCCCGGCGCCGAGGACAACGACGACGACAACGCCACGACCTCCTCCTCCTCCTCCTCCTCGGCACCAGCGCCGCCCACCTCCACTGCGTGTCCCCCAGCAAGCTCCACCATGTTCGCTGCCGGCCGGCTTGCAACAGGAGAGGAGTGAGAGAGAGGGAAGGAAGGGAGAGAGATGACATGGCAGACTGATATGTGGGGCCCGCGTGGGTCCTATGCTGACTCAGCCGCCACGTAGGATTAAACCGGGGTCAAAACCACCGAATGACCTATTGTGATCGGTTTTGATTAGTTTAGGGACACCGGATATCTGGTTTTGTGGTTGGGGGATGATTTTGTAACTCGATGACAAGTTGAGGGACCTTCGGTGTACTTCTTCCTTTGCACGGCGAGACAGAAAGCAAAGCCTTCTTTATTTATTCCGGCCCAGTACACTACACACCATGACAAAACAAAAGTGGCCATCACTTTCTGCGCGCGACAGCAACATTATCCCACGCTTCATTTTGCCGCCATTGACCTCGCCGTCGCCATGAACATCTCCTTCATCGCCGTGAAGTGTTCGAGCAGCTTGGCCCTGTCCGGGAGGCACGCCTTGATCCTGTCGTCGGCGGCGTACTCCTTCGCCCAGCGGCAGAGGTCGGGGAACTCGTCGCCGGTGACCAGGCTCACCCCGGCGACCTCCTCTAGCACCTCCAGCCAGTAGGCGTACCCACTGGCGGCCAGGTCGAGGTAGCCGATGGCGTCGCCTCCGAAGAATCGCCTCCCCTTGAGCTGCGCCTCGAGGAGCTTCAGGTTCTCCTTGATCTCCGCCGCGAAGCCCTCCCGCACCTCGCCGTCGTCCGTCGACCACAGCGCCAGCCAGAACGGCTTCGTGCACTTGTCGTCGATGAATCGGGCCCAGAAGCGGGCGGCGGCGCGGAGGCCGGGGTCGGCGGGGAGGAGGAGGAGCGGGGCCGGGAACGCCTCGTCGACGTACTCGACGATGACAAGGGACTCGCAGACGGCGGCGCGGTGGTCGTCGTCGCCGTGGAGGAGGACGGGGACCTTCTTGTGGATGGGGTTGTGGGTGAGCAGCAGGTCGCTCTTGTTGCGGAGGTCCTCCAGGATGAGCTCGTATGGCACGCCCTTGAGCCGCAGGGCGGCCTCCGCGCGTTGGCTGTACGGGCTGTCGAAGGTGCCGATCACCTTCACCGGCGCCGGCGCCGGCGACGCCATGGTGGCTGCTCAGCTCGTACTGGATGGTTTGCTGCTGGTTGATTTAATTTGGAGGAGCTGATATTTAGTAGTGATTAGTGAAGCTTCCGTGCATGGGAAGGAAGGAAGGAAGCTTCCTCTAGTTTTTCGTTTTCGAGTAATTTGTTTACGTGATTGCCGATATTATATCTTTAAATTAATAGAAAAAAAGCCTTTACGATCGCTCTCATGACCTAGAAATTCTCACATTAATCCAAAAAATAAGAAAAAAAAATAAAACTAGATTATGATTAGTTAAAAACTGAAGAAAGAAAAAAAACATATTAAGAAACTCGAATCGGACAATCGGTAAAAAAAAAAGAAAGCCTAATCATACTACAGGAAACGGAATGTACAATCGGTCAGAAAAAAAAAGAAAAGAAAAACCTAATCATACTATACACTAGAAACGGACAATATTTTAGGAATACGCATGTTCACACCACTTTTAAAAACATTGAAAGACAAAACAATCCAAATCAAACTCTGCCGTTTCCGAACTGTATCAGTATTGTCATGCCAATAAATGCATAACCAAGCCAAAAATTAGCAAGCCAAAAATACATAACCACGTTCGCTGTGGACGCTAGAAATTCCCACGTTAATCGGAGAAAAAGAAAAAAAATAGTCCAAGCCAAAAATACATAACCACGTTCGCTGTGGAGGCTAGAAATTCCCACGTTAATCGGAAAAAAAAAGAGTCCAAATAGAAATACAATAAAAAATAGCTGAAATTCGGAATTAAAAATATGCAATATTGAAAGAGTAGTCCATATATGAATCCAATACATGATTAATTAAAATTCGGAATAAAAATAAAATAAATTTCGAAATTAGAAAAAGAAAAAAGAGGAGTTCGAATACAATTTTAAAATAACTAAAATTAGGAATTAAAAATAAGAAATATTAAAATAAGAGTCCATATAAGAATCCAATACAAGATTAATTAAAATTCGGAATGAAAAATTAAAAAAAAATCAAAATCAGAAAAAAAGAAAAGAAGAGTTCAAGTAGGAATACAATTTGAAGTAAACTTAAATTCGAAATTAAATATAAGCAGTGTTGAAAATAAGAGTACATATAACAACCTAATAGTAGATTTATTAAAATTCGAAATAAAAAATAAAATAAAATATAAAATTAGGCAAATTAAAAAGAGAGTTGAAGTAGAAATACAATTTTGAAACAACTGAAATTGAAAAATAAAGAATAAAAATATCAAAAGAACACAGTACGAAAAATAAAATAAATTCTAAATTTAGAAAAAGAAAAATACTAGGAATACCATTTATAAATAACTAAAATTGGTGATAAAAAATCAAGACTATTGAAAGAAAATACCGTCTAAAACACATGGCGAGATTAATTAAGTAACATGCCTATAAAGGAGTAGAGTGGTGGCGGTTGATACGACATATAAAAACTGTTAATAAAACACCAAATAGAATCCTAATAACGATTGAAATGAAGGACGATGGGTAGGCCGTGAAGCAATCCATCAAGGCGGTTGCCGGGACTTCTAGAAAGTAAAAAGAAAACTAATGCTAATCATATTCGATTTTTAAAATCTCAATGATAATAAAAAGGAGAAGCAGCGGGCGGGATGTATAGGAGAGCCGTCGACGGTTGACGGGACTTCTAGAAAATAAAAAATAAATTTCAACGATAGTTATGTTCGATTTTTAGAATCCCAATTACAATAAAGAGTAGACGGTGGATGGGCCGTAGAGGAGTATAGTGACATCGTTTAACAGGACTTCTAAAAGTTATAAAAAATGAAACCAACAAGACTGTAAACTCTAAAAACTACGAGGTCCAATTTTTATAGGTTTAGAACATATAAAAAGTAAAAAAACACAATGATAATCATGTTCGATTTTAAAATCTCAATGACGATAAAGAAGGGAGGCAGCGGGCGTGCCATAAAGGAAAACAATGGCAAAGCCGCCGATGGTTTGGCGGGACTTCTAGAAAATAAAAAATGAATTCCAACGATAGTTATGTTCGATTTTTAGAATCTCAATGACAATAAAGAGTAGGCGGCGGATGGGCCGTAGAGGAGTATAGTGACATTGTTTAACGGTACTTCTAAAAATTATAAAAAATGAAACCAACAAGACTATAAACTCTAAAAACTATGAGGTCCAATTTTTAAAGGTTTGGAACTTCTAAAAAGTAAAAGAAACATAATGATAATCATGTTCGATTTTAAAACCTCAATGACGATAAAGAGGGAGGCAGCGGGCGTGCCATAAAGGAAAACAATGGCAAAGCCGCTGACGGTTTAGCGGGACTTTAGAAAGTAAAAAATGAACCCGAACGATAATTATGTTCGATTTTTAAAATCCCAATGACAATATAGAGAAAAGACAGTTGACAGCCGTAGAGGAGTATAATGACAGCGTTTGACGGGACTTCTAGAAATTATAAAAACTATAAGATCTGATTTGTAAAGGTTTCAAGGAGAATGAGTAGAAATAGTGGTAGATCAAGCAAGCAAATAAAGGAGGATATGACAGAAGTAAGGGGTAGTAGCTGGTGTGACTTTTAAAAACTATATAATTAGAAATACGGGAATGATAAGATTTTGTCTTTCAAAGTCTTAAGACAACGAGATATCTATTTAATAAATTTTAAGTAAAATCATACTGAAAAATATATGATTTTGTTTGGGTGCTAGCCACGTAATTGCGCGGGACACCCAGCTAGTTGGATGTAACGTACTTAATCTGTTTATTAATGCTTTGCTAATGCCTGCAGAGTCAAAGCTCTCGCCATGACGCACATCACAAATGCTTACGGGCAAAATTCGAATTTTCAATCTTAAAGTTAAAGCTGATTTTGAGCTTTTCTTCACCGAAATTTTATTTTCCGCTTTTGCTTTTAGATCACTAAGAACACTTATATAAAAGTTTTATTAACATATCACTTTTTCTTTTAAAAATTTGCCGTAGGAATAAGCGAAATGATGGGGCCGTGAATGGGGGTTAGAAACCCATCTCCTCCGCACGAAAAACAGAACGGTCTATAAGCGCGTGATTAATTAAGTATTAGCTATTTTTTAAAAAAATAGATTAATTTTTTTAAGAAACTATCATATAGAAACTTTTGTAAAAAAAAACATATTGTTTAGCATTATTTAGTAGTTTAAAAAACGTGCGTACGGAAAACGAGAAATAAGGGTTGGGAAGAGGCTGAGACTAAGGGCAAGTGCAATAGGAAAAGTTTGCTTACTATTAGCCAATGACATCAGCTCATTTTTATACCTGGAAGAGGGAAGGTGTAAAGAGAGAGAAAAGCGGTAGACTAAATAGTCGACGGCTCGGCACGCGCGCCTAGGCAAGACGTAGGGACGAGAGATGCCGTGATTGGTGAAAGGATTAGGTGAGAGAAAATTAAAGCGGGCCCACATGGAAAGAGCTTGTGCTATTGGTTAATAGATTAGGAGAGAAAAGGAAGCTTTGGCCCACATGAAAAAAAATTAATGACTCTGTTAATTTTTATATATTTTAGTGACACACATCACCGTCTAATAGATGGCTACTTACTGTTCTATTAGACTTGCCCTAACGCAGCCGACTCTGTCCTTCGTTTTTCTGCAATGGATCACTGGATTGTGCTAATACTATCTCTCCATTTCTATATTATAATTGTTATGATTTTTCTCGTAGTCAAATTCTTTTAATTTAACAAAGTTTATAAAATAATCTAGCAACATCTATAACATCATATTAGTTTCATTAAATATAATATTAAATATATTTTGATAATTTATTTGTTATGTGTTATAGATGTTGTTATATTTTTTTTATAAATTTGATCAAACATAGGAAAGAAGAAAATCAAAGTGACTTATAATAAAAAAAACAGGAATGCTAGAGGACGGGATACGTTGCCCCAATGGGATAGCTTCCCCTCCACCTCCATCAGCCGCAAGAGCACGAGGCACAACGGCCGAGCCGGCGGCGAGGGGAGAGCGGCGGCGGTGGCCGGAGCCAGAGAGCCGGGGGAGGGGACGGCGGAGGTGGCTGGAGCCGAGGGAGAGAGCGACGGCATTGGCCAGAGCCGGGGCGCCGGTGGCTGGAGCCAGAGAGCAGGGGGATGGGGCGGTGACAGTGGCTGGAGCCAGAGAGCGGGGGATGGAGCCAGAGAGCCAGGGGAGGGAGGGGCAACAGTGGTGGTAGCTGGATCCGGGGAGGGGAGGAGGTGGCGGTGGTGTGGCGCTAGAGACGGAGGAGGAAGCAGCGGCGGTGGCCAGAGCTAGGGAGTAAGGGGCACTGGGGCGGCAGTGGTCGTCGGCGTCAATGTCGGGTATGTATCGCGTGATACCTGCAGGTATCACATGATACCTAATAGGTATCACCTGATACATCGCAAGTATCACCTGATAGGTATCGCGTGATACCTGATAGGTATCACCTGATATCTCACAAGTATCACCTTCTATGTGGCAAGAATCGCATGTTACCTGATAGTTATCACCTGATACCTCACAAGTATCATCTGAAAATATGGTAGAATCGTTTGATACCTGATAGGTATCACCCGATATTGGACCTGATACCTAACCAGTGTCATCCCGTTCGAAAACGGGATTCCATTATATATATAGCAGCTCTCCTTAAAATAAAATGTATTTAATTTAGCTTAATGTTCAGATGCAATTCCTCATGGTTAACAAACAACAGATTGTTCGATCTCACTAACCACATGGAAGACATTTGTCTCGATCTCGGCTGATTGCTCTGCTCGTTTAGTGCGGTACAAGCGCCCTGTTTCTCAGATATGTTTTGTTTTTTTAAAACCAGTCAATATAGTTGGAATTGTTTGTTTCTTCGTCAACAAGTTTGGAGATTGATAATTGATATCCTTTCGTGATAAAAAAAAGTAAACGATACGCGCGCGTGATTCATAAAAGAAAGAAGGAAAGAAAGAGAAAGCAGCGTATCCAATCTGAATATGCCATCACAAAGTTTCATCTTAATTTATTACTGCTAGTACTTCTTATTACAATCTTACAACGACACATTGAAAAACAGTAGCTAATAAATTGCAGATACCAGAACAGATAATTTATTAGCAATTTATTCCATGTTGAAAAAGAAACACATACGCATATTCCAGCATCGAAATTCACGAGTAATAAAATTATTTCTGCAACTTTGCCTTGGCCAGCAGTGTATACGCCTCTTTGTTTGCAGTGAACAAGGCGACGAGTTCATCTCTGCTCGGCAAGCACTGCCTCACGGCTCCATCGTTGACGTAGCGCTGCGACCACCGGCACAGCGCGGGGAACTCCCGCTCGCTCACCAAGCTCACGCCGGTGACCTCCTCGAACACCCCGACCCAGTGAGCCAGCCCACTGGCGGCGATGTCCACGAGGCCAATGGCGTCGCCGCCGAAGAACCTCTTGTTGCCGCCGTCGAGCTGCGCCTCCAGCGGCCGCAGATTCTCCTTCGCTTCCCTCACGAACGCCTCCTTCTTCTCCCCGTCCTCCATCCAGAACGACAGCCAGAACGGCCTCGAGAACTGCAGCTCGATCACACACAGCTAATGATCACTAAAAACTTTAACTGAATCTGTTCATCAGGAAGCAGAACAAGTACTGAACCAAACTGAAACGACGAGATCAAGACAGATGCATGTGTTGTTTAAGATAGATTAAATCGAAGATAAAAGATTGCATACGCAAAACGAGAAAACCATGAGTACATTATTAATTAAATTTTTAATTATTATAAACTTAAAATAAATCTATTTGATATTTTAAAGCAACTCCTACATATAATTTTATTTTTTAAAAAAAGTTTAAGAGTTTAGAAACGTGCTAACAAAAATCTAGGTAAAAAACTACTCCATACATCTTATAAAAAACCAACTTAATACTGAATGTGACACATCTTAGTAACTAGAAAGTGTCACATCCTATCATAGATTTGTTTTTTTGGATGGAGGGAGTACGTCTTAATCAGAAAACAATATGACAGCATTAAGCAGGAGAACCTTATCATCGATGAATTGGGCCCAGAAACGGGCCTGGGCACGAGCGTATGGGTCGGCGGGGAGGAGGGGCGGGCCATGGAAGGCGTCGTCGACGTACTGGACGACGACGAGGGACTCGGCGACGGAGCGGCCGTCGGAGTGGAGGAGGACGGGGACGAGCTTGTGGACGGGGTTGTGGGCGAGCAGCAGGTCGCTCTTGCTGCGGAGGTCTTCCAGGAGGAGCTCGTACTGCACGCCTTTCAGCCGGAGCGCCGCCTCGGCGCGGTGCCCGAATGGGCTCCCGAAGGCGCTGATTAGCTTAACCATTTTTTTGCTTGCTTACACCGGGTTAGTGGCTTAATGCACTTGTGACCCTGTGATTATATAGAGAGATTAAGAATGCTGGGCTGTACTAGTATTGTGGAACAGGTGAGGTGGGCTGGCCTGCAGAAGATTTGGCCCAATGCATTTGTTATATCGGTATGTATTATTAAGCCGTCAGGAACTGCTACTTACGGTCAAAGTTCAATTTAAATAACCGTGCAAAGTCAGAATCACGCCATATAAAAATTGATCTGGTGAGTAAGTAATAGACAAACGATCTGATCTACGCGCAGAATCTTCGGGTTTTATCCTGATACGATTCCATTTTTTTTTCTAGAAACACGATAATCTTTGCCTAGAACTTATTGAATGATACGTATGAAATATCAATACACTAATTAATGGCACGAGTACAAATTTATTCCCAGGTGGCACACAGGATTACAGGGAGATTAATTGATCGATCTATTCTTGCACTGAATCACTGATGCACCATCGCCCTGAACATCATCTTATACTTATCCTTGTTTCTCGTGTAGAAGGCAACGAGTTCTTCTCTATCCGGCAGACTCAGCTTCACGGCGTCGATGTTGGCGTACTCCTTGATCCACCGCTGCAGCGAAGGATACTCGTCGTCGTCCTCACTGCCGATCACGCTCACTCCGGTGACCTCCTCGAGCACACCGATCCAGTGAGCCATTCCGCCGGCGGCGACGTCGAGGTAGCCCACGGCGTCGCCGGCAAAGAACCTCTTCCCCTCGAGCTGTGCCTCCAGTAGCGACAGGTTCTCCTTCGTCTCCTTCAGAAACCCCTTCTGCTCCTCACCGTCCAGCCACAGGGCCAGCAACAACGGCAACGTGCACTGCAGGTGTTCGATCGAACAGTAGTAGCACACTGATCATCAGCAAACGCAAGAACCTGTAAATGTTCAGAGCTTACATGAACGCAATGATGCAACAACATGAAGAGATTTGCCTTGTGATCGATGAATTGAGCCCAGAAACGAGCCGTGGCGCGGTCATAGGGGTCGGCAGGTAGGATGGGCGGGCCGTCGAATGCGTCGTCGACGTACTCGACGATGACAAGTGATTCGCAGATAGCTCGGCCGCCATCGAGGAGGACGGGGACCTTCTTGTGGACAGGGTTGCTAGCGAGCAGCAGGTTGCTCTTGTTCTCCAAGTCCTCGTGGATGAGCTCGTAGGCAACTCCCTTGAGCTGCAGGGCCGCCTCGACGCGGTGCACGAATGGGCTGCCAAAAGCGCCGATGAGCTTAACCGGATCGGCCATGTTTGCTTTAGAGTGTTTTTGGCTATTATTCCTGTATTCTTGGCTAAACCATACATTTATTTATAGGGCCATGTCAAGTTTGCTTTTTGGCTCAAATTTGTAATTTTCAAATGGTGTGTTAGCTACTTCTTCTCCAAGAAGGACGACCTCCCTTATCTGTGATTTTTCCTTTTCTTTTTTCAATCAGTTTGACTATCTGCTTCTCAGTTGCTTCGGTCCAAAGAGCAGGAGCTCATCGGTTTTGTTTAATTAAGCTTGGGAGGAATCACAGGTTTTCTTTGCTTCGGTCCAAATAGCAGAGGTCATCGGTTTTGTCAGCGAGATTTAATTTACCAAAAGATAATATATATACATGTGCAGTTCCCAGAGATAGCTTAATTACTGCCACCATAATGGCTTTCAGACTTTGTATTGATTAATCCTATCAAATTTCTTGAAGAGCAAGCCGGAGCGCAAAGGTAGGGCAAATCAGATGAATTGATAAAATCCAGAAAATGAAAAGATTCCTAGATAGATGGTCCATAGAAAAAAAATATCTATGAACATTTTACTGAGATTTAATCTCAACTAGCGGCGTGATTTTTGAGAAAAAAATTCTATATAGAAGTTTTTGAAAAGAATTCAAACAAATCTATTTTTAAATTTGTAATACTTAATATTTAATAAATCATTTGCTAATTACAAAGCTTCTCCCGCAAGCCATAAGATGACCAGGTAACTTCTGCACTATCCCCTTTCGACAAGTACAGATCAGTTCCTATCCTGCATGCTAATCAGTACTCCCTCCGGGCTGATAATACTTATCGTTCTAAATAAGGGTGAAGTCAAAATTTAGATTTTTTTTATTATGAATCATTTTTAAAATATTTATCTTTCAAATATAGTGACTACATGTATAGATTAGTCTTAAAAAGTACTTTAATAAGATCATATATTTGTTTACAATTTTATACATATTATAATGAAAAATAATGGTCAAAATTATTTTTGGAGACCGTGCCCTTGTCCAAAACGACAAGTATTATCAACCCGGAGGGAGTATATACTTATTAGTAGTCAAAGTTCAATTCAAAACGTGTAAAGTCAAGATCACGCCATATAAAAATGAGCCGAGTGAGTGACAAACGAACAATCTGATGTACGTGTAGAACTTTCGGCTTTATAATCGTTTAATTATGTTCTGATTCGATTTTATTTAAGAAGCACCATCACCTGAGACATACACTCCCACTGTCGGCCCCCACAACACTCACAATCACTGATGCAGCATCGCCTTAGCCACCATCTTCAGCTTGTCCTTCTTCGCAGCGAAGAAGGCAGCGAGGTGCTCTCTGCTCGGCAGGCACTGCATCACGGTCTCATCCGTGGTGTACTCCTTGGCCCAACGGCGTAGAGCAGGATACTCGTCATCCTCGTCGGCGCCGCCCATCAAGCTCACTCCGGTCACCTCCTCAACCACGCTGATCCAGTGAGCCAGTCCACTGGCAACAATGTCGAGGTAGCCGACCGAGTCACCGGCAAAGAACCTCTTCCCATGGAGCTGCGCCTCCAGAAGCGCCAGGTTCTCCTTCGTCTCCTTCAGAAGCCCCTCCTGCTCCTCGCCGTCCAACCACAATGCCAGCCACGATGACCTCGAGCACTGTACATGTTCATGAATTTGTACTGTTCAGGGTTTGTTTAGTTTGTGAAATGAAAATTTTTGGGTGTCAAATCGGACGTTTGACCGGATGTCGGAAGGAGTTTTTGGACACGAATGAAAAAACTAATTTCATAACTTGCCTGAAAACCGTGAGACGAATCTTTTGAGCCTAATTAATCTGTCATTAGCACATGTAGTTTACTATAACACTTATGGCTAATCATGTACTAATTAGGCTTAAAAGACTCGTCTCGCGATTTACATGCAAACTGTGCAATTAATTTTTTTTATATATATTTAATTAATGCTCTATACATGTGTTCAAATATTCAATATGATGTTTTTGGGAAAAGTTTTTGAGGAACTAAACAGCCCCTCAGTAAGCGGAAAAACCTTGTGAAATTTCAGAGGTTATCGACAACGATTATATATATTGCCTTGTGTTCGATGAAGTGAGCCCAGAAACGGGCCATGGCGCGGTCGTAGGGGTCGGTGGGTAGGATGGGACGGCCGTCGAACACCTCGTCCGCGTACTCGACGATGACGAGCGACTCGCAGATGGCACGGTCGCCATGGAGGAGCACGGGGACCTTCTTGTGGATGGGGTTTTTGGCGAGAAGCAGGTCGCTCTTGTTGTCAAGGTCCTCGTGGATGAACTCGTAAGCCACTCCCTTGAGCCGCAGGGCAACCTCGGCTCGGTGCACGAACGGGCTGCCAAATGCGCCGATGAGCTTAACTGGATCAGCCATATTTGGTTGTTTGCTTCCAAGTGTGTTCTTGGCTTTCTGCTCATATATTGACTGAACTGTTGGTATTTCCGTATTTATAGGGGTAACAAGGAAGCTTCTTGACTCGGATTTTAAATTTGAAATGTGTGTTGCTTCTTCTCCAAGGAGGAAGCTCCATTCTCTTTTTTTTTTTTCGTTTCTTTCCTTCCAGTCAATTCTCTATGTTTTGTTTACTCAAGCTTGGGGTAATACAGTAGTACTCCACTAGATTCAACTTCCGTGCTCAGTAAGATGAATGCTGGTGCAGCTAAAAGTCAGCGATAATTGATTTACCAGAAGATAATGTTCATGTGAGGTCAGTTCCATGATAGTGACTTTGTTTGACTGTCGGTAATTCTTTTGGGCTGTGTTTAGTTTCACGTCAAAATTGGAAGTTTGAAAAAATTGAAACGATGTGATGGAAAAATTAAAAATTTATGTGTGTAGAAAAGTTCGATGTGACGGAAAAGTTGAAAGTTTAAAGAAAAAAGTTAAAATCTAAACAGAGCCTTGGTTTGGATTTTCCTTTCAGAAGCATGTAAGAAACTACTCTAATGGAGTTGGTAGCATGACATTTTTTTTTCTTTTTCAAAGGTATGCTTTATTCATGAATACTTCAGCAGTAGTAGTAGGTTTCAGTGTTGCAAAGTTACCTATGTCCCAAAATAAGCGCAACTATGGATATCAGTGTCCAACGTTTTACCGTTCCTCTCATTTGATAAATTTATGAAAAAGTAAAAAAAATGTTAGTACACATAGAGTACTATTCATATTTTATCATCTAATGACAACAAAATATTAATCATAAAAAAATTAAATAAAACGAACAGTCAAACGTTGGAGATGAACAGTAAAAAACTACACTTATTTTGAAACGGAGGGAGTAGTATCAAAACAGAACTGCACAAAGAAAGAATTAAAAAAACCGAACAAACCTAATCTCCTGACTGGAGTATATGGACAAGTCATGTTTGAGCAGTAATAGGATCAAATGGTAAGAGATACGATGCAGGAAATGAAATGTTTTTCTTAAAAAAAAAGAAAAGGGAATGAACTGAAGCACATGCCTAGGTCTAAACGGTCTAGGCGGGGATGTGACTAATCTGTTCATATTCGTTCTACTAGATTATGTTATTTTTCTATCTAAATTGATTTATTTTGTGATGGAGATATGGAGGGACTATCCGAAGCTTAATTTCCCTGACAGTTTCCTTTCCTTCAACTTTTATCCAACTTTGGCGTCACCGTCAAGAGTTTAGCGATCCGTATATGTCACAACTCACAACAAAATTTAAAATCTACCGGCACCCATATTGATTTCTACCACGATGAAGATGAACTGTAAAACAAACAACATTGGTATGTTCCATAAACTTTTTATCTCCAACATGGAAGTTGAAATTAAGAAAAATAACACGTTGAATCAAATAGTAACTTATTCCATTCCCATGGACATATATTTATTTCTCATGCATACAACTACGTTGGAATCATTTGTGCTGCCTTCCGGCGGCTTTGATCATCTCCTTGCGTTCACGGTAATACGCAACGAGTTCGTCCCTATTCGGCAGGCACGGCTTCACGGCCTCATCGTTGACGTAGCGTCTCCTCCACTCGCACAAAGCAGGGAACTCCTCATCCGTGGCCAAGGTCACCCCACATACCTCCTCGAACGCACCAAGCCAGTGAGCTATCAAGCACGCTGCTATGTCCAAGAACCCGATGGCGTCGCCTCCGAAGAATCTCCTCCCCTTGAGCTGCCCTTCAAGAAGCGCCAGATTCTCCTTTGCTTCCCTCACGAAACAATCCTGCATGTTGCCCTCCATTTGCACGAACGGGATCCAGAAATTGAACCTACCAAACTGCACCCAAAAACAAAATATTCAGCAAATATTTGTGCAGAAAAGATTTCACAGGATCGATGGAGATCATCATCTTCTTGACATGTAAATTAAGCTGAATTTTTACCTTCTGATCGATGAACTGCGCCCAGAAACGCGCCACGGCTCGATCGTACGGATCGGTTGGGAGGATGGGTGGACCATGGAAGCTCTCGTCGATGTACTCGAGGATGACGAGGGACTCGCTCAAGGAGCGGTCGCCATGGAGGAGGACGGGGACGAGCTTGTGGACGGGGTTGTGGTTGAGCAGCAGGTCGCTCTTGTTGCGGAGGTCTTCCAGGATGAGCTCGTATCGCACGCCTTTCAGGCGAAGCGCCACCTCTGCGCGGTGGCCGTATGCACTGGCGAAAGCACCGATGAGCTTCACCCTTTCACCCATCTTTACTCACAACCAACAGCAGGTTTAGACACGGCTGATCCTTACTTATATGAAGCTTCTCTTGGAGTTTCACAACAACAACAAAAAATATATTCTTCGTTGAAACTTGAAAGTGTTTAGTCATTTGATTTGCCTTGTTAATTTGCGGGGAGCTGCTGGCCGGTTTAGCTTACTTGGATGTTAATTTGGGACATTCGGGAGTGACGTAGCAGCTGAGGTGAAAGAGATCGCATCATGGGCTGCCAGAGTGACGTAGGAGCTGAGGTCCATGCCACGTAAAGTACTCGTAAATCGTAATCGTATACACAGATTTTTTTTTCCTTGCTCGTACTGTATCATGACGAAAGATTAATCGTACATACGGTCAAACGTGCATGTGACAAACAGAGACAACACAATAACACGTCGACAAGAAAGACGAAACTCAATTAGCCACAAGGTGCACGCCGCTATTAGTTTATTCGTTCATCACTAGTAACTACTCCCTCCATCCCAAAATATTTGACGCCGTTGACTTTTTTAAAAATATTTAACCGTTCGTCTTATTTGAAAAATTTAAGTAATTATTAATTCTTTTTCTATCATTTAATTTATTGTTAAATATACTTTTATGTATATATATAATATTACATATTTCACAAAAGTTTTTAAATAAGACGAACAGTTAAATATATTTAAAAAAGTCAACTGCGTAAATATTTAGGGAAGAAGGGAGTACTTTGGCAGCGTAGACTTGGCCACCGAAACGCACTTCTGCTTGATCCCGGTGAAGTAGGAGAGGAGCCGATCTCTATCCGGCAAGCACTCCATCACGGATTCATTAGCGACGTAATCCTTCGCCCACCGGCGCAGAGCAGGGTACTCGCCGTCGCCGTCGCTCAGGACGCTCACTCCGGCGACCTCTTGGAGCACGCCGACCCAGTGAGCCAGCACGCCACCGCCGGCGATGTCGGCGAGGCCGATGGAGCTGCCTCCGGAGAACCGCTTGCCCCTGAGCTCCGCCTCCGCCACCGTCAGGCCCTCCCGTGTCTCCTCCATGGATTTCTTCTGCTCCTCGCCTTCCCCGAACAGCGCCGGCCGCAACGGCTTCAGGCACTGGCCAACCATATCGATCAACAGAGTTGAGATAAAACATTTTGCAAGCAACTAATTTTTTTTAAGATAATAGAATAAAACATTCAGTATGTAGCCTTGCTTAAGAGCTACAGCTAATTATTACAAGGATCGTATAAAAGCAAACTCACACACATTCAGTATGTAGCTAAAGTAATAAAACCAAAAGTGAAAGCAAACTAATAAAAACCAGACAAGGTAAAATCCCACAACTACTAAATTTTATTGGTGAATCTTCACCCAATATTAGCAAAGAGCTGTATGATTATCGACTCAACTTTGTAAGCAACTAATTAAAACGAGGATGGAATGGATTGTTTGTTACATTTTCGTCGAGGAAGTGAACCCAGAAGCGGGCCATGGCGCGGCGGAGGGGGTCGGCGGGGAGGAGGGGCGGCCCGTCGAACGCCTCGTCGACGTACTCGACGATGACCAGCGACTCGCAGATGGCGGAGCGGTCGCCGTGGAGGAGCACGGGGACCATCTTGTGGACGGGGTTGTGCGCGAGGAGGAGCTCGCTCTTGTTGCCCATGTCCTCGAGGATGAGCTCGTAGGGCACTCCTTTCAGGCGCAGGGCGACCTCGACACGGTGGACGAACGGGCTGCCGAAAGCGCCGATCAGCTTCACCGGCTCAGATGAATTCATCATCTTTTGCTTCTGCTTCTGCTTCTGCCAATCTGTTCAGCTTCTACTCAACTACTCATAATTGTGGCACTTCCATGACTTAAACTACTAGGTCGTGGGGAAATTAAAGTACTCCTAGTTATTTTCAGCTAAAAGCCAAAGTTGGCACAAATATCATTGGGCCGGGCTGAACCGCGATTGCTCCACCGGTCTTGGGCCATGAAGGATGGGCTGTTCGGCAGGTAACCAAAGCGGGCGTTTCTCCTCCCATGGGCTGGCCTGCAGATACTCTCTTTTTCTTTTTTCTTTTTTTTTTTGAGAGAGAGTGTCTTTCTTCTCTCTTTATTCAGATGCCAGATTGCTCGGCTTTTTGTATGGGGTCCCGTTTAGTTCGGAAAAAAAAATTTAGATGTCACATCGGACGTTTGTTCGAATGTCGGAATGGATTTTTGGACACGAATGAAAAAACTAATTTCATAACTTGTCTAGAAACCGCGAAACGAATCTTTTGAGCCTAATTAATCTGTTATTAGCACATGTGGGTTACTGTAGCACTTATGGCTAATCATGGACTAATTAGGCTTAAAAGATTCGTCTCGCGATTTCCATGTAAACTGCGCAATTAGTTTTTATTTTTATCTATATTTAATGCTCTATGTATATGTCCAAAGATTCGATGTGACGTTTTTAGGAAAAAGTTTTTGGAACTAAATCGGGCCTATAGTTTTGTGATCAGGATTACGTGATACAAAGCTCGACAGAATGACAGGAGAAAGCATGAATACGATGAGAGGCAAGAATATTTGGAAAACCACAAAGCAACCAAGGTATCAGGGCGAGACATTCTTCTCCATGTCGCGTAGTACTAACAGAATAAACTGCTCCCTTCGTTCTCAAATACTTATCACCAGTAATTATTAATATCAAAACTCTGAACCCTCAACTATTATTATTTTTTAAAAAAGAAGTACCTAAAGTATGTTGCGTAGTACTCCCTTCAACCCAAAATGATCATCATATATGTTTATACACCAAGACCAAGAATAATTTAAATCACATCAAGCAATACACCATTCACGCATTCTACCACAATGTATAAGTCGATTAAAACATCATGCCAATTACATCATAGCATGCACACATTCTCTCATGCTGTATTAATTGTATTCCGATGAAATCCGTGTCCATACAATTATATAATTATTAATTTGACAAATTTTAAATTTTATTATGTGATGATCAATTTGTGAATGAGGGAATATTAAGTTTGCGCTCATCATAGTGTAACCATTTAAAAATTATCGGTGGTCAAATTATAATAGTATTGGTCGATCGACCTTCACAATTACTAAAAGCTGATAAAAGTTCTCAGTGGTCAAAAAGTTGTAACATGAATTAATGGAGTGAGTATTCTATATTCCTTTATCTATCCAAAGCTGGTAAATTCCTAAAGTTCAATAATTATTTTGGTCCTCCTACAGTATCTTTCAGCTTGTGAACACGCCGCCATCCTATGATAAAAGGTAAACCAGTCTAGCCACGAACCCTTCTTGTGCTGATGCCTGATAGTCTGGTCAAAATACAGGGGATTTGCGGCTATGCTTTCTTTCGCCATGCTGCCCATGCAATGTGCTCGCCGGCCTAGTTACTACTACTATACTCGTATAGTTCACCCTTTTTGACAAACGATTAGTACACAAGCTGTTGTGTTATCAGTATACAGGATCGAGCACGGCATGTTCCCTTTCTTTTGCACTATTTCCACAGTTAAAAATGTACAGAAAAGCTTATGGTAGTACAGAAAGTCAACCAAATAAATTCAACTGATATAGATGCAAATGAGCACTTGCTCATATATAATCCGTACTATGTTCATTTTGTCCAACCATTTTTGTGTAAAAGTATATACTGGCCGGTGAATCCGTGTAGACTATGGGTGTGCTTAGTTCCACGCTAAAATTAGAAGTTTGAAGAAATTAGAACGATGTGACAGAAAAATTAAAAGTTTGTGTATAGATAAGTTCGATGTGACGGAGAAGTTAGAAGTTTAAAGAAAAAGGTTGGAATCTAAACAGGGCCTATATGCGTCCACATCCCTTGTTCCTTTTTCGGTTTGAACTCCTGTTTTTTTTATAGCTTTAATCATGTGAACTGAATTAACACACGATAGCTCGAAAGAAATCCAACTCGTGTTCGTGTCCGCCAAATTAATGCAAACCACGCGAGAGAGAAGATGAGCACGCTCCATCTGAAGGCTGTGGTGTTTGTTTCCTCTAATTCAGAACTGGGTCTTTTCACCTCGTCGTTACCACATAAACGCCATCGCGTTGTAGTTCACAGCTTTCGGTGAATGAATCCTAGTGGGATGTAGTGGCAGAGAGCCAAGGCTATTATGTGTCATCTTGACCACTGGAGTTGAATCAAACTTAGCTTCCATGATGATCACATAAACGGGCCATACTAACGACTGATGTAACCGCCAATATCTCTCTGACCGGTGAGCATCATGTCTTGGCAGCTACAAGCACTAGCCACAGTTGCAGCAACTTACTACTAGTAGTATCATGTGTGTAAAATCCCATTCAATTGGTTCATACAAGAAAGTGTATGCATTCTGAAAATGTATTGTTGCGTCGTGAGAGTTGCAAAGCTTTCAGTGTCTAACTTTCAGGTGGCTTGATGCACAAAGTTAGACGGAACTCATGGACCATAATTAGGACACGGTTTTGTTGGTCATTGTTACGAAGATTTTCTAGAATCCGTTTGGTAACTTTCCTTAATAATAGCTCAGCTTGACCATGTGAACATGAGAGGTGAAGAGCGTGGATTCGCTACTGTTGTATGGATCATTCTAGAACTATATATCCAACTGAAAATGAGAAATTAGTAGTACTATGTGCCTTCGTTTGTCTTCCTGACCACCGACTAGTACTTGTTTTCTGCAACCGTCGGCAATGTCACGATAAAGACCGAAATGACGATGAAATTGGTGTAGTGCTCAAATCAACAGAAGCACTTCTCCTGAAAAACAAGAAAAGTAGCGAGCAGATTCTTTTTCCTTTTCAGAACTCGGAAGATTGAACATGCTAATATCTTCATATTCTTACGCGGTATAGGTACTGCCACTACGCAGCTGGCTCTTCAGTAGCAGCAACGACGTACATACAGTGCAATTCGCGTATCAACCAAAGATCTTTCGCTACTGCTCCTCCATAATGCAGTGCCCGGTAGGCACGTCAGAGCAAGAACGACAGCCGTGTACTTGAGTCTCCAACTTGGCCTAATTAGATATCCAACTTGCCCTAATTATAAATTAATCACTACAATTCGGGTCTCTGGAAATAAAACGATCGGAAATCTAATTTAGGCATAGGTAGGACCAACTTGACTTGACCTGGACCTTAGTAAGTTGCTAGTACTACTGATCACGGAATGAATCGGTTCGAGGTTCATTGCCCCCAAAGACAGAGCCTTGTCTTGACAGGCAAGCGAGGAACACGCGTGCAGTGTCAGTGAATCAACAAAACTTTTCTAGCCAATTACTAGCTGTTTTGCTTTACGAGGACGAACCATTAACAAATCGTTGTAGCAGTACGTAATTACGTGCTTAGTTGCTAATCAATACAGTGATCGCATTCTATATGCGCATAGCCAACCTAGGTGTCTTGTTAGGTTCGTGGGCACTGGACATGTTCAATTCACCGGGCGAGAAAATCGTCGCGCCACTGGCTAAGGTAGTGACATATCGTGGAAAACTAGAAAGGGGTCACCATGGAATGGAAGAATGCGATTGCCGTCGATCAGTGAGGATGGAGGCAAGATGAATATACAACTGAGACATCGACTTCCATCAACAATGTAATTAGTACTAGTTAAGAAATCAATGGAAATTAATGGACGCGGTATAATAATAAGGCAGTTACTTGGCCATCGAGTACAAGCATGTCCGTATCTGCGCAACTGGTGTGTAGTAGTAGTTGCGTGCTGCAATCATCAGATGTTGCCATGTTTGCATATAGGCCTTGTTTAACAGGGGAAATTTTTTATAGGTTTTGCCGTTACATCGGATATACTATACATATTTAAAATATTAAACGTAGTCTAATAATAAAATAAATTATAAATTTCGCTAGGAAACTGCGAGACGAATTTATTAAGCCTAATTAATCCATCGTTAGTAAATGTTTACTGTAGCACCACATTGTCAAATCATGACGTAATTAGGCTTAAGCCCTGTTTCTTTCAGCTTGGGATTATTATAATCTAGATTATTGAGTCAGATTACTATAAGCTATATTGTTATAATCTGTAGTATAATAAGCAGTTAGTTGTTTCTTTCCTAGATTATTAGAGCCTAGATTATTAGGTTTGCAAGTCTAAAGAGAGAGTGAGGTGGCATGGTGGGTAATTTTTCACCCAATAGTCTGGAAAAAGCTCACCTAAATGAGCTTATCAGATTATAATAAGCTAGGCTCTAGATTATAATAAGCTATTTTAATAAGTTGTTTGTTTCTTTCAGCTTACTCCCAATAATCTGGATTATAATAATCCCAAGCTGAAAGAAACAGGGTCTTAAAAGATTCGTCTCGCAATCTGTGTAATTGGATTTTTTTTCCCTATATTTAATACTCCATGTATGTGTCCAAATATTTGATGTGACAACGTGAAAATTTTTGTTTTGAGAACTAAATAGGGCCATAATAGAAAGTTGGAAACGAATTTTTTTTATTTATAATTTTTCTTATTAAAAGTTTTACAAAAATAATTTTCCATTTTGAAAATTGACGGGAGTAGTCGCCTACCGCCCTCTGGGCGGGCGATTTTTAAAAATCGCCCTCCCAGAGGGCGGCGAAAATGACGTGGCAGACGGCCGTTCGCTCTCGGGCGACGGCCGTCAACAAAATTTGCAGGCGGCCCCCTTGCCGCCCTCCGCGAGGGCGATTTTGTACTGTGCGGGGGGCCGCCTGCAAATGGGCGGCGAGGGGGGGCATGGAAATTTGCAGGCGGCCCCCTTGCCGCCCTCCGCGAGGGCGATTTTGCACTGTGCGGGGGGCCGCCTGCAAATGGGCGGCGAGGGGGCATGGAATTTTGCAGGCGGCCCCCTTG